ATGGTATGAGTATCAGAATGCCTTAACCGATATAAACAAAAATAATTTGACAGGGATGGAAATTTACTCTCATAACTATTTGGTAGCTAAAAGGTTTTGAGGTAATTTACATGAAATTGCTTTTTACATTGATCTTGAAATTGATATACAAATCCTCGGTATCTCTTTAGGTCAATTTGGTTTATAGAAACGTACTAGAGTACTGTAGAGTACACTGTCTGTCTAGTGTCTATACATCAAACGATTCAAACAAAGACAAAGCACATGTTTAAAGCAAACAAAAAAGAACATTTTAGTAAAACTCAAAACAAAACAAAAAATTTCCGATATAACTCATATAGGTTTTGGAGTTGCTGATATTTACTAGGTCAAAATTATCAGGGAAAATCAATTATGTTATTTTCCCAGTAATTCACTTAAAACCAGCCTGAGGGTTTGTGTCATCAAAAATCATTTGACTAATTGTTTACCAAAAAAATTAAACACATGTTTTTCACATAATTCCCATATATTATAGTACATGTATAATATGATATGACTAACTGTCTACAATCAGCACATTATGAATTATATATAATGATTCATTAAAACATAAAAATTGTCCAATTACCCTATTTTGAAAATAATTTTCTCAGACTCAAGAGAAAAACACAGCTCATCATTCTGAGACATACTCACTCCCACTGCAATGAGTTGATAAATACAATATCAGGAAAAACATGAACTGTCTATCACACCTGACTTTTCCAAGAAAGACTGGCAACTTGAGTATAAATAGAGCTGCGTGTATACACAATGCTGTTACAGACATGTCTCTGACCAGTCAGTGACAGGAAGCCTTAAGATTCAATGATATCGATGCATATATTTAGATTAATCCACAAAAAAAACATAATCTGGGAGTCGCACAGTGTGTTTATTAGAACAAATATGATATATTTTATACTGATAGCTCATTTTAAATACAGCACTTTTGGAGCTAGGTGTTAATATCAACTTGACATAAATACAAAACAAAATGTCAGGACTAGCAATGGTAACACAAGGCATTAACATGACAAAATGTTACCACATAGTTGCTCACAATATTATTAGTTCAATCTTAAGTCAGAGGAAAGTGATATCTAAAGTCAGATTTGAACTTCTGAGACCTTGTAGATGATTTTGACAAATTAGTCAATTTGAAGCAAGTTGAAAATACCGTTTTGACATTGAGAAGGTCATTGAAGGTCATATCTATTTTGACCTTGAAAATGTCATTGAAGGTCAAATCTATAGTCAGATTTGAACTTTTGAGAACTTGTAGATGATTTTGAAAAACGACCTCTTTGACCTTTTTCAACCTTTTTTGACCTTGAAAATGTCATTGAAGGTCAAATCTCAAAACTGTGTAATACCAAAGCACAATCATTTAGTTAAAAAAACAATATATAGGTTGAAGACCACAGTAGAGTTTCCCATAGGTGGCCATTATAACATTTTACCCTGTATCTTATTAACGATTAGTATCCAAGCCTAGTGCAACATACCACAGTGTTCGGGAGAGACTCGCCTAGCCTGCTATAACAATCTTACCATGGGTTGTCCACCGAATTTTTGAAATAAATAAACTTGAAGACACTAACCCCCTCTATCGTCAGATTTCTCAGAGAATTCTGGTAAAATCACCAAGGTCAAAATCACTCCGCCGCCAGCTTAAAATGAGATTTCCAAATGAACTCTGACATGTTTTCAGATAAATTAGGACCTACCCTATAAATATATAGTCCCGATTCACTTCCCAAACGCCAGATGGCGCTCCAATGGGGTAGGGAAGGAGAAAATGACTTTTTATTCAGAAAACCAAATCACTAACCGTAACCGCTAATGTCCTTACTCAGAACTATATCCATACCAATATACCAATATGTATATATATATCACATAAACTTGATTGACAAACTTGTTACAGTGTATGTCTATGATTTCGCCAGACCAATCAAAGAGAAGCTTTTCTAGGTCAACCTCAAGAAGTTTGAAAACTGTCTGGCCAGATTGACATTTTCCACTATTATGTCAATTATCGATTGCATTGATTGGAAGATATATATTCGACTATAACTGATATGCTGGTTTGGACTCTTCACAGAAAAATTGATCTACAGCCTATTTCACTGTTTAATTAGTAAAACCAAAAAATAAGAAATCAAAAGATCATTATGCAATAATATATGGAAAAATATATTCCTATTGTATAAAAATGACATTTGTTTCTAGTTTGGCTAATAGGTGGCCTCTTATATTTTGATGCTTCTCTGCCATAGTATTGTAATGACCCGAGGAGACCCAAGGGAATGACTAACTAACGAGCATAGTGTAACAAGCCAGATAATGAAAATGAAGAGAAAGTGTGCTAAATCCAATGCCTCGTGTGGGAATCGAACCTAGGAACCATGGACCCAAAGTCTCTACCGACTGAGCTATAAAGGCTTAAAGGACAACTGAAATAACTTTTCTCAACTTGCAGCTACAAAAATGCGGTTTTCTCCATTGTAAGCCCAACGTAGAGTTCTTGCGATAGCCATTATAAAATAAATGTTAGATAACTGCTAACGGTCATAGATAACGAAATAAAACTAACTGATTAATCAAATTGGCCCCCACATGATTAGTAACGTCATATACAAAATATAGCTTTGGTTTATTGGTTTCTTAGTAATCCCAACGTCACGGCAACCATAGGATTGTTGCGTAAACTAATAACAAAACATTTCTGCATTATGACGTCATGATCCAATGGACCAAAACGGGCCATGTGGGGACCAGTGAGAGATCACGTGGGGGCCAATAACGTCACAACCAATTCAAATATTGCTTATTAAGCAGCTAATAACGATCGTTAGAGTAAAATAATTTCCACACTACTGATGAGAAAACATGTCCAAATACATCTATCAAAAAATTATATTGATTCCTTTTAGGTTAAAAATACCATTTCATATCTGCTTTAAGCCACTACAGCTGGACCATAGTAGCAACTTCGTATCAAGGGTCATATACAAATGTCATTCGTGTACAATATGAATAGGGCGAAGGGGTGTATCGTCGACACCATTTTGGGGTAACTTCGACATGTGGGGTAACTTTGACACCTTGTTGTTTATTTGCTCTAATTTCTGATCTCGGGACAAGCCATTTTTTTCTCACATGGATAGAGATATCGCGAGATTTTTCCAGAAATCAAACATGGCGGAAAACTGAAATTCTACTTCTCATATGGAAGTCTCGAAGTTACCCCGACTCTTATGTCAACATTACCCCACATGTAGTTCAACAAGTTAAACCTAGTCTGGGCCTTATTTCTTTTCTGACATATCTTGTGGCCAGCCCTAGGTTTAACGTCCCTGCCTATTCGGCCCTTGATGCAAAAAATTTAATGGTGGCCTATGGTAGCGCATTGAATTCCATGCGCGTTTAATTAATAACTGATAGTGAGAATTTGCAACAAATGAAAGCATAGCACGGAAGTTAAACACAACCACGGCAACAAGAACATTCAGATTAATAAATGAAAGCCGTGGTATTGGGTTTAACTTGTTGAACTACCCCACATGTCGATGTTACACCCCTTTGCCCTAGACTGTATCCTTCGTCTGAATAAATTCAGACTGTAAGTCACCTATTGTAAAATGTGGTGTTGTATAAATGTTACAAATAAGTTTGTTTAATGATAAAATGATTACCTTATAAAGAACTTACAATATTATTTTTTCGTATATTGTCCTCTTACTGAAGATATTCATAAAATGTACAGACGCTTCTTGTAGCGAAGCCATTGATTAGGTCAAGCCATTTTGGCAATGCCAATTCTCACGATAAACGAGATTTAGCCAGTGACGTCAGTCTATTTGTAAACAAATAACACGTGGAGCGGACGGAGCAACATTACGGAAGCGTATTGATAAATTCCATTTGTGCGGGAATTTATTAGATCTAGTCATTTATTATCATTATCCCGATTAATTTTCGTCATTTATAGTAAATAGAGCGGAAATATTCATGAAGAAGGCCGAGGTTATCAAGTGGTCATGTGTTGTCAAAGTTCAAAAATTTGCATATCTCGTTTGGATCTCGTGAACTCAAACGTCCTTGACATTGATTTCGCGATCTACTTCTGAAGTTTTGGTGAGTCTGAACATTTCATTATTTTATATCAACTTGTACCCGCCTTATACAAATATTTTTGCTTCTAGTTTAAGATGAACATCTCTTCAACATATTCACCAATTTTCAAGGTGAACATTCTTGTAATAAACGAGAAATTTATGTGCAAAAAATATCACCGCGATTTCCACAGGAAATATATCAATCATAACAGACCGAATACTATATTCTATACTTTTCCATATATTATTGCACTAGTGTCCTGAATTCTTACTTTTGGGGTTCTACTGACGCAATAAAATAATGAAATTGGATGCAAAGGTGGTAAGCTGACAGAATTTACGCTGTTCAACTTGTAAAACTTCAAACTAAATTTGACTGGATTTTCATCGAATCGTTCAAAAAAATTTTTGGGATCAGAAAAGTTTTTGAACGATAACTCCTATTTTCCATGCCAAATAAAAACAATCATGGCTATATAACAATGGTTATTTGTAGAAAAAATATGTACTTACCTCAGTCCAAAATATGGACTGTAATTATTTCTTCTGAGTTGTTGAATTCGATACAAAACCGTCAGAATTATTTTTACACCGAATCTACCATCTTGAAATGTGGCACCCGAGAGTCACACGAGATTTGAAAATTCGGGGAGCGATCATATTGGACTATATTGGTTGAACTTTATTTCAAATGTTCTGAGCTTCTTTGGAAGCTTGAGTTGGCGATTTATATGGAAATATATCATACTATCAGATTGCAGTGATTTTTTTGCAATCTCCAAATTTGAACATGTTTCAATCGTAAAACAAGCGACTGTTTAAAAAGCACGTGCCTTTGTTTACTTCCGTTTACGCATGTGCACTAGAACCAATTTAATTTGTCAAATTTTACAAATCGACGACCAGTTGCTTATAACTTGTTTCACAGTGCAACGACCCGACTGATTGAAGTATAATTGCTATGCCAAGTAAGTTCAGGTACTGGCTATTGGTATGTCTGTGTTTTATGCATAATATTCTTCGGCCAATATTCTTACAGGCTTTTCAGTGGGGAATCCAAGAGTGTAAAGTGGGGAACAAAAAAAAAACCTCAACCATCAAAAGTTGTCACAATGACCTAAATTCTAAGTTTCGTGTCTCAAACTCACGAAAGTGTTGAGGTGATTTTGGAGCCTGATTACGCCGCAAGGAGGATTGGCTCCCAGAATGCAACATGACACGTGCTACCTTTCAAAATGGCGAAGCGGAACCTGTCACGAGTAAATAATGATGTTGCATTCTGGGAGTCAATCCACCTTGCATTTGCAGGTATGAAGCTTTGGATTCATTTATTGTGCTACTTAAAGTGAACAGGAATTATATTTCTACCGCTTGAGTGAGTTTGAGACATGAAACTTAGAATTTAGCTCATTGTGACAACTTTTGATGGTTGAGGTTTATCAACCTGCACATTGCTCCAAAGCGCAATATTTTGACATATATTGTTTTTACATTTTCAAGCTCTAAAATAAAGTTTCTGTAAATAAAAATTGTTTTTTTCTGTGTAATATCAAAGAACAATCATTTAGTTAAAAAAAGAAAAAAAAAAGTGCATGCGGGAGTCGAACCCGAGCCGCCTGCGTGCTAGGCGAGCATTCTACCGCTGGGCTATCAATTCATTATGAATGATTGGTGTAATTAAACGCTACTTATTTTGAATGCTATAATTCGGAAGTGACATCACGTTCTTAATTTAGAAACCTTCCAAAAATCATATTGTCGTCGACAATCGAAGCAATTCAATGAAGAATCGTTGTAATGAATGGCACATTTATCGTGAGTATTTGTACACAAGATTTGCCCCATTTGTTCATCATTCTATAATCTTTCATTAAGCTCAAAATGATAAAGTTCACCCCCGAAACAACCCAAGATTGCGTTTTGGAGCGATGTGCAGGTTTAATGTCTCCCACTGTATACTAGACTACCTTTATCCAGGAGGGAGAGATTTCCAAAAGATCACCTTTCATATTGGCATATTCGATAACCAATTTTATAAACAGGCCTCATTTGCCATTGAAATGGATCTCTTAATGTTCGCTTGTGTTTTATGAGTATTCTCTGAAAGGTTGGATTGAGTAACTTCAATAGTATTACCATAGTTTTGAAATTATGATGTTGAACTGATGTTAAACTAAAAATATGCCATTTCAACGATTTCACATTTTACTTTGCCAACGTAGGCACTGAGAAAGCACTAGTTCAACGTCGTTAAACTCAATAACGGCTTTCTTTACTATTGGGAATTTTGTTGGCCATTATTGCTAGCTGGGGCCATAAGAGGCCCAGGCTAGGTCTAATGTTGTTGGACTAAGAAAGCACTTGCTCATGATTGTTCACATGATCACATCCTGCAATTTGATTAGAGATCGTATAATGGGGAATACCCAAATACGATAGAATATGAAAGAATTATGGGAACTACTTACTTCTGACCTTTATCCAAACCCCCTGCACTCTTAGTCCGCACTGATAAGCCTGTGAATATTCTCAGTGATGCATTATGTGTCTAATTAAACTAGAAGAAGGAGAGTTCCTAAATACATGTTGTAATCTAGAAGGGTCATTTATAATGCTATCACATGCATGTCGCTAGTTCAACAAAATTAAAGTAGTCTCTGGGTCTTATCGTACATATCTTGTGGCCTGTGACAATGTTTAACATCCATGAAAATTCCACATGTTATGGGGAATGTTAATGGTAGTGCTTGTTTGACAAGCATACTAATTAAATCATGATTACTTACATGATGGTACATTACCCCTTCAGATCCAAGTAAGCATACATACCTTCTGAATACAAACACATCATCTAATATTCCCCCCTGTCCTCGATGATGGATATATTCAGAAGTATTTGAGACGGCTTTCAAAATTATTTGGAAAAATTTGGTTCAGGTAATGATAACATCTAAATGGCAAATCCGAAATCGTGACAAAAACCACCTTTGACACACTGAACGAAACGCCGTTGATAAGTATACTAGAACTGTTAAAAGTGCAGATGTTAACTGTTTTGACTCCATCTCGTGAAATCATGAAAATAGAAAAATTGTTCTTGAAGGCTACTCCATTTTGTAACTAAAATGGATCTATTCGTAAACAGTTTGAAGAGTTCGGCCAGTGGATTATAGATGTTCAATTGGATTTGCTGCACTTGCCCAATGCAATTGCCATTATCTAATTACTAAAATGTCAACTGTATTGATCACATTTTAAAAAGTGGTATATCCTTTGTGTCCGACCTTTGACTTTAATTTGTTATATGATATTTCCTCATACCTCTCAAGCCATTAAAGTCCCTAAAAGGGAATTGTTTACTCGCCTATTATGCTTCACAATTTCTGTTTTCAGGTTAGAAATTAAGAATAATGGCTCTAAGATGTCGCAAGCTTCACATCTTTCAAGTCTCATTAGCATTTCTGGCTGGCTATTCTGTACGGCTAATTATGGACATCCAAGCATTGTCCAACCCCCCATCAGATCCTGTCACATGCCCTGTACTTGCAGATGATGTGAATATAAATGAGGATATTCATCAATTGATACGTGAACCATACAAACCTAAAACAATGTATGACATATTGAGATACCAGTATTTTACAAACCAGGATATTTTTGATAACACTGATTTTGGACCAACAATTAAATTAAAAGGTTCTGCTCAGCTGGACATGAAAGATTTACTTCATCATGTGATGATTTTATTCAACAATGGAAAACCAAAACAATGGAAGTTAAATAAACTGCTGAATGGATACAGACGATATGATCCAATCAGAGGGGAGGAATATATTATCGACGTACAACTTAAATCTGGTGAAGAAACACAAAATCATCATATGAATGTTGTAAAACCTTTTTCGTCAATACAAATCCTTGAGAGTGCCCAGACAGTGAAATCTCCAACTATACACATGATTGTAACAATCTCAGGACAATTTGACAAACTTGTATCTTTTCTAAAACATTATGAAGAAATAGTTCTTAAAAATAAAGAGGATGTTCACCTCATAATTGTAGCATTTACAGGGAAACCTGGGATTGACAAAAATGTGGATAAAATAAGGAACTTAGTGCAAGTTTATACTGTTCGATATCGGCCAATGGCACGAATTCAACTAATATTCACATATAAACCATTTTCACGTGGGCAAGGATTGGATATTGGAGCAAAACAAATTCCTGGAGAAAAAGTGATATTTTTTTGTGATATTGACATGAGATTCAACAGGGAATTCTTAAATAGATGTCGCCAGAATCCTAAACGTGGCCGTCAAGTGTATTACCCAATCGTGTTCGCTCAATACGACCCAGATATAGTCAGGAATTACTCTCCAAAAGTAAGCTCCCCAAACCCAATGGCAATTAACAAATATACAGGTAAGAGTACAACAGATGATTCTTAAATTTTCCATAAAACATTTTATCGGAACAATCTCCATTTCAAAACCATGATCTTTTATTTATAGAAATCTTCACGTTTAATTAATCTTTTTAAAATACATGTATATCATAATTTTTGTCATATGACTCCATTGTAGGTCACTGGGTAGACTATGGCTATGGCATGATGTGTCTCTATAGACAGGACTATTCTGCAGTACAGGGCTATGATCTTGGGATCAAAGGCTGGGGTGGAGAGGATGTTGATATCTTCACCAAACATGTCAAAAGTAAACTGAAGGTAAGTCAACCTCTGCAGACAGATTGCGTATTAGAACTTCTATGTGATGCACAATTTCCTAGTGATCGTCCTTGCATCACACAGAAGTTGAGATGATATTGCAGGTTGATATTGTTATTATTAGTATTGAAGGATGTTGTTATTATTGATATTGCAGGTTGATATTGCAGGTTAATGTTTGTTATTATTGATATTGCAGGTTGATATTGTTTATATTGTAGTTGATATTCAATTGTTATCATTGATATTGCAGGCTAATGTTTGTTATTATTGATATTGAAGGTTGATATTGTAGTTGATATTCAATTGTTATGATTGATATTGCAGGTTAATGTTTGTTATTATTGCTATTGAGGGTTGATAAAGTAAATTGATATTATTATCGTTGATACTGTAGGCTCATATTGTTATAATCTATTTTGGTGGTTAATATTGTCATTATTGAAGGTTGAGTTTATAAGAGGTTGATATAAAATATTAAATTGTTATAATTCACACTTCAGGTTATCCGAGCTATGGAACCTGGTCTGGTACATCTATACCATGGCAAGAACTGCAGCACTAAACTTGACAAAGACCAGATGAGAATGTGTATAGACTCCATGGCTGCGGGTCTTGGCAATGCTCAACAGCTTGCAAAGAAAATACTCCATAATTCATTGAAATAGCGATGGAAACGATGTTTAATCAAAAATGGTTATTATGCAACATAGCTGAACAGCAATATTTCCTACTTCGCAATTTTGAAATTAGGATTGCAATGATCTTACTATGAAGATGACATGAAAATTAAGATGACCTCATAATGGCATGTTGCACTGGATTTAACTGAAAATCTGATTCCGTTTTCATGAATCTACATGTTATTGATGTTATTGAACGTCTTCCATAGGAGTCGTTGACATTAATATAAATGCTACAGTTTACCAAGGATGTGGATTCAAGTAATTGAGAAATCCAGGAATCCAAAATATTCAAGAAAATTCTGTAGCTTTTATTGTAAGACTAGCTGTAGAGAGCCGTAGTTTAGAATGCTGTTTAGAACCAAAACTGAAGCAATGAAAAGAAATGAATGATCTGAATCTACCAACTGTGGAACAGAATCACCACTTACATATTAAATTATGTCTTCCCTGAACAAGGACAATTATATATGATGTACAAGTGTTACTTTATTTTAACCATCTGTGCCAAATGACATTTTATAGAATTCTTCCATATACATGAACAATCAAGAAACAAAGTGACTAAAATATATTATTTTATTAGCTTTTTGAAGCATGACACATATTAAAAAGAAAATAGTGGTGGCAATAATTGTTTTGAAAATAGGAGAAGAGAACCAATCCAACACAATCAGCAATGTTGCCATTAAGACATAATACAGACAATCAAGTAAAGTACCAACACAATCAAATAAAGCACAATTGGCTCAACAAATTCAAGCACAATCAGCACAATCAAGGTGAGCGTATAGTTAAGGCAAAGTTGAAGCACAATCATCTTAAACACCAGTTTAAGCACAATCAAGGTGTGTGTGTAATTAAGGCTTAGTTATTATTATTACGAATAGTGAAATGGTAAACACAGCTAGTTAAGATGGAAACTCATTCCTTTGCCATTTGATTGATGAACAGATAATAAAATACAAATAACCCAAAACAACACAGATTCCACCAGGAATGGACAATTCATTATTGGACAATGTAGTGATCTGGGTTTGATTACCCATAGATTCTTTTGCATCACTTTTATTTCTGATTTTCTGTTCATCCATCATGCCAGATTGTACTTTAATCAAATTAAACATAGTTAGTTGAGGCATATTGACTCATGTTGCTTTAGTTAAGGGACTAGATAAGAGCAGAATCAATGTTTTTATTGCATAAGAAAGGACCAGGTATTGTAAGGCAAGTGATTTTAGATCTTTGACCATAAGTATTTTCTCACCATACATTCAACAATCTACAACAAACAAAAGACATGAAATATATTGTTATCCAATTGAGGTTCCAGGGATAGTTAATTTATCAATTCAACTCTCTGAAATACATGGATTAGGACCCTAGTACCTCAACACATTTTCCAATTTGACCCATTTTATAAAAAATGAGGCTTTTAAGGTACAGCTGGAAAATAATATTTTGGTAAAAAATTGCTATAAAAATAACATTTTGGGAAAAAATTGCTATAAAAATAACATTTTGGTAAAAAATTGCTATAAAAATAACATTTTGGGAAAAAATTGCTGTGCCTGTACATTTTATTTTCTGGTACAAAATAAAATATGAAGGCATTGTGTCAATTTCCTTGCTTTTTTCAGGAAAGTATCATTACATTGTCTTCTTTTAGTAAATCTGGTATTTCACACTTTCTATTTTCCAAATTTTCTTTTAAAGTTTCCAGATAACACAGGAGCTACCATTGACCTGTATCCAAGTTTACTAAAAGTAGACAATGTAATGATACTTTCCTGAAAAAAGCAAGGAAATACACACATGCCTTCATACTTTATTTTGTACCAGAAAATAACAAGTGCAGGTATGGCAATTTTTTCCCAAAGTGTTGTTTTCCAGCTGTACCTTATAGAGCATTATTGGCCCCCTGAAAGCCCATGTTAGTAACATGAAAGAAAAACGGGATATGTTGTTTTCAACTTTATCACATTTCAATGCAACCCCCCCCCCTTGCAGAAGTTATGGTCAAAGATATGACTGTCTATATTTGCCATACCTATTACCTTGTCTTTTTCTTTAGGTTGGTGTAAAACCCAGTAAAACGTATAACTACATGTACTTGTTATTGCCCATGAGTTTAGTGAAGACTGAAGAGGAGGTAACTAATCTCATTATCATTTCTTTTGATATTTTGACATTTTGTAACATACTGTACATGTATTTAGAAGTCCTCAGAACCACTTTCCTATAGTGGGCTATAGTTAAACACTGGCCTTAATGTGGTGCTAGGACTTTTCTAGGACTTAATATCAGCATGGGCTTTCAGCCACAGATAGTGGGGAAATCTCCATCATGCTTGAAACCTACATGTATTAGATCATGGAGAACTTCCCACTATCTGTGATTTCAGCCCATGATTTCAGTTATGACTGGCAGAAAACAATAAACATACATTTGCAATATAGTTTTGATGAGAGAATGTTAATGCATACTTCATGCAAGTTACATAAAGACATGTAGGTAATTGCTTGGTATGTTATCTTTTTAGATTATTATTTTTTGATATTTTTTCTCTTCTTATACTGATCTTTTCAAATATGTAACAGTACTGAATATCTTTGAGGTATAAATGAGTGCAATATTCAATATTTATCTCATAATTAGACTGCATTGTTTTTTAAAAAACAGTTTACAGATTTTGTTGAAAAGGAAGCCGGGGAGCTTTCAAAAATGTTAATTTGATGAATTAAAGAAATCCCCCTTCCTCGAAGCATTTTTCATGTGTACAATTTGATTTAATTTGAAAGCAATTACAAAACAGTTTGTTTCAATTGTTATTCCATTGTTATTCTAAAAATGACATTTCAATGTTTTATTGTTTTACAATTAGTTTTATAATATCGTAGTTTGAATAAATTAAACTTGTTTACAAACAATTGTATTCTTTTTGCTTTTCTCAGTCCAGGATCTAACCTGTATTATCACAACATTTAAACGGGCAATCTAATGCAAAAGATCTGTTATTGTTAGTGTATAAGGACTATTAACTTGAGTATATATTTTCAACACTTTCTAGACATTCGTTTTTTAAATTTAAATACAGTTTCATAATGTGTTATAGCATTTGCTCCACTACTTATGAAACATCTCTCATATAATACAAATAATCAAAATATACTTTTTGCCCATGTGTGGGTTTAAAGCGAATTGAATAATGAGCTCACATGACTTGAAATGCTTAAGTACTTGACACATATGTACTTTATATATGTAACACTCATTAATTACCATTCTTCAAAATGCACCTTGATATCCATCTTTGTGTAAGCCACGTGTTGTGTCACACTAGAGGAACCCCAGTACAGGGCCTTTGATTCATGTATCCGCAATTAGAGATTGGAGAAAGACAAATTATGAGAGTAAAATGTCATTTTTTGTTTGTGTAATTATTTATTATGTGATTTATTAAAAGCCAATGGGATAGGCCAAAAAATGTAAGGTTTGTAAGTTTTTACTCATGCATCAAGTTGTTTTATTATTACCCTCATATTGTACACTCAGACGACTTTAACATTATCTGTATTTTTTTATCAATTTTTAATCATAAAAGTCCATTTGCAGTTACAAATCCAGCCGTCAAAGCATTCTGATACTCATAGCATCTTTCTGTTTCACCTGAAAGTGTTTCATCAGGGCTGAGAAGAAATGAGATGTCATGGTTTATCATGATGCCATCAAAGTGCTGTCTTCAAGTGTTAATTATGTACTACAATCATATGCACTCTAGCAGTGGTGGGATCACTAATATATAGTCAGTTCAATGAAACTATTTTGTATGAGGATATGAACTCAGGTTTATAGTCATTTAATTTTTAACTGGAGAAATCAATTTACATGAGATAGTGTATACTGTGAGTGTCCTTACTATCAAATTGTGGACATGACCTTAGTCTTTGACATCTCGAAAGTAGGCATCGTGTTTTTTGAATACTTCTTCTCTGATTTGGTTTGAATTTTGGAATAGTAATTTTGCAATGGTTTTGAAATCACATAGGTAAGGTAAGTTACTATTAATTTGTTATCTGTTGTTTGTTATAATTCCAAATGATAGTTAAGATAGCTGAGGTGGCGATACTACTGTTTTTCTGTTTGGATCAGAACACTTATGTCCAACAAGGCATTTGGGCCAAACTGGGGGTATGGGTAAATGGTCATTTTATATTTTGATACTATCCGTGTATATTTTTGGTTATTCCTGGGTTCTTGAATTGTGGTTTCACTTTGGGTAGAGGGTCAACATTATCAGTTTTTTAACACAAATATATTTTGACTGAAATGATTAAAGGATTGACTGATTTTCAGATGTATGAGGAGGGGGCTGAATATAAATCCTTAGCTTGAAAAGCTCATGTTTGTGCATAGTACTCATAAACATGAGAAAAGTGGTATATGTGAATGAGGAATTTCAAAACAAAAGTCACCTTATGTTATCTTGATGAAATCGACCTTATTTAAGGTGAGCTTTCTCATACTTGATTGGGAATTAAAATCAGTGTTATGTTATTTCTGGCAGCTTAGTTGTGAGTTTAAATACTCATCTAATGTTAAAACATTTAATTCCTTATTATACACTTTGAACACAATCCGAACAGGTCTCATTGTGAACACTTTTTAAGACACCATCTTTTAATCTACCAGAGACTTCTACCATGTTTGGTATGTTAAAAAAAACTCTAAATATGAACACCTGCCAATCCAAACACTTTTGGCTCATCCCAATTGCATTAGGATAGGACAGGTTCTACTGTTCATTGTTTTTCGCTCTTTTTTTCTCCAGTTCGATTACTGTGATGACGCAAATACAATACAACAGTAGATATCTAGGTTTCACCATGTATATATGATGTCAAGTGGATCGAACTTAATATCTTATCTTTTAGGGAGAGCAATAAATGTGTACAAAGGGGCAGTAATTGTGTTTTTTGTTCTATTACCATCGCACCATCAGAAATTCTTTTTGAGTATTCAAAATAGAAAAACACAAAGGACAACAATTGATATGAAAAACAACACAAATCACTATAAACCATTATGAAATGTCAACTATTTCTTTATACATATATATACTTTAAGAATATTAAATCCAATTTTTACTTGATTACATATGACCTTATCATCTATTTTATAATTTGTTTTCTGGTATGTTTACAATTAACCTAACCAATACGACCAAAAGTTAAAAAATTTCATAATCCAAAAAAGTAGTTTATGTAAATGTTGTGTCATTTGTTTTATATAAGTTACTAATTAATTATTAATTTGATGTATTTAACCCACTTCTATGCATTTTGTCCTCAGTATGTCATTGATAAGATATTGCTCTTGACTCTATATGTGCATGTGTACATCATATTGCATATTCATGTATAGCTAGCTCTCTTATGATGAGACACTTTTATCACTGGCAAAGTCAAAGTATTTGTTTAGAAATCAAAGACATTTAACAGTATATTACTTGAGATTTTACGTTTACTATTTGATTGTAAAGGTAAGTGGTAAATCACGAATAGTAAACACTTAATTGTTATGTTTAGTATATAGTAATCAGTACTGTACTTTTAAAGCAGTTTTCAACTATTCCAATATTTGATTGTCAATAAAAAGTTGTTTGTCAACCAAAAACAATTTGACATTTCAGAACTATACAGAACTGTTCATGAAGCATTTATAAATGGGAATTAAGGTTTCTGTAATTAAGGTTTCTATATTTAGAGGCATTTCTGAAAGGATTATAAACAAAACATTAATGTTACTTGCATGTTATTTATTTTAGATTTACATAACATCAGGGTAATGACACAATTCACATGGATGGATACTCTTTTATTAGGACTAGTAAATATTGGAAACAAAATAATTGAAAATTTAGACTGTTAAAACACCAGTGTGGTTGAATAGTGAAAATCTATATACCTCTCTATACATATTTAAAAGGACTTAAAGGGAAAGAGAAAAGTCGAAAGTAAGTTTTTTTTAAATTGTCGCAATTTTACCATTTTTGGCTTTCATCATTCCATTTCATGTCTATTTTCTGTCAAGTCTAACAATTTATTAAAGTTCAAAATTGATTCTAATGAATTTCTGCATCTTAAATCTTTATTCTATATTTGTAATACCTTTAATAGAGCTTACCTTAATCTTAAATATTCAGATTAAAATAACAATAGCTTAAACATTAAGAATTCAACTGCAACTCACCAACATGCAATCAAATTAAAATTAAATAAGGCCTAAACTCATTATAAAAATTGATGAAGTACATTATATAGTTACAATGTGTTGTGTTCAGATTTTATAAAATTGCCCACATTTTTTTAAATGAAGGCTTCTTATAAAGGGTCTCAATTTCCAAGGAATTGTTAACAGTTTTCGTTTTCAAAGATAAATTTGGCTCCTCAACAATTTAAAGATATACATCTGATAAAAAAACATGATATATTTCATGTAAACATTGGTTGCATGACTTGCATTTTACAGATTTTCTTTACATTCATTTATTACTTGACTCTGAACACTGTTTGCTCAATGTTGTCTGCACAAAATTACACCGCATATAAATTATGGGTATACATAATGAAAAGCATGAATAAAATAGTAAATACAACCTTGTGAACAAAATGTTAACATTCTTTGATGCCCTTTAGTTTGACAGAATTGTGTTGTACAAAAGATTTATACATTGAACTTGATAGTTAATACCATGTTAGATTAATTTCTAGTAAAAGAAAATTTTAACACTCCTTTCAAATGTTTAACAACACTGTTGAACTACAATGTATTTGTTAATAAGTTTTAAAGGGTTGCCAAACTTTTGTATACCACAGTGAAAGTGTACTTAATATACCATGTATTAAGTGTATGATGCCATTGAACCGTATTGAACTCATAATGAACTATCAAATCACCTGGTTAGTAGCTACGTTCTAAAGCCTGCAATGAGGAAGTTAACCTAAAAAGCCAATATGATCATCGGTACACTCTTAATTTCATTTTTTAATTTCAGATGCAGTATTTAGAACAATGTAATACCAACAAAGCATCATGAGCTACATAGGAAAATACAAATGGCCATGGACAAGAAGATAACATAATATAATACAGGATAATTATTATCAAAATTCATCATGATACGTGGAATGTTTGCCAATGTTTTGATGCAAGATGTGGGAGAGGAAGGACCCTTGAATTGCACGCCCCCATCACTTAACGAGTTTCCGGGAGATTTCTTTACTGATGCGCAACGAAAGGAAGGGGGCTTAGTGGTACATTTCCTGATAGCATTCTACATATTTGGTGCCATGTCAATAGTGTGTCATGACTACTTTGTGGCATCTATAGAGCGTATCTGTGAAAGTAAGTCAGTCAGTTATCAAGGTTTTGGTCTGATAATGTAGAACTAACAGAAGTTGTTCAATTGAGCCTAACCATTAATGTAGTGTTGATTCCGGGTCTCCCACTGTTCTAGTTTATGACATTTTTATTCAAATCAACAAATATTACCTAAATTAAATGATTCTTGAGTCAAATGCCAGATTTGTGAAAATTCACCAAAGTAAAAAGCCATCAATTGGAAAAAATGGAAAAAATCACCAATTAAATAGCATCAAATGACTATACAGACACAGTACAAGATCAGAATAATGATAGTTAGTAAACTCATATTGTTTTAACATTTTGTTTTAACATAGCACATTTCTGCAGCTGGGGTGTAATCACATTCACCCTGCAGCTATTCAGCATATGATTTACATCTATATTTTATGATTGTATTTTAACTAACATATGAGAAGGTCAAAGTGAATAAAGCAAAATGTATTATAAATTATAAAATGAAAATCAACCACATTTTGCTCACTTTGTTGATCTGATAAGGGAATTTGGTCTTATTACTCCTGGAAATGTATCTGCAATGTTTGCTCATATTCTAAAGTGTTGACCATGAAATGGCATTTGGTCATTTAAGTCAGTTCTTTTTTACCATTGAAGGGCATTTGGTCTTATAAATCATATTCGGTTAACCAGTAATGGCATTGGGTCATTTTGGAGTTCTTTTTTATTACCATTAAAGGGCATTTGGTCTTATAACTCATATTCCATTAACCATTAATGGCGTTGGGTCATTTTGGAGTTCTTTTTTTAACATTAAACAGGGTTCGTACACACCTGGAAATGTCAGGGAAATTGATTTATTTTTCCAGGTGCTGGAAATGTCAGGGAATTTTAAAATTGGGTCAAAAAGGGCCAAAAATGTCAGGGAATTTTGAAACAGTATATGTGTCAGGGAAATGTCAGGGAATTTTGTATGATTGTTGAAAAAGTAATGTTCCAGCAAAATACATTTTAAGGCTGTGACAGGATATCAATGAAATTCAAAATCAAATATTAAGTTAAAGAATAAGTATAGATGGTTCAATACAATTATGCTTTCCATGTAGTAAGTTAGTCTTAGGCCATTCAAAGTCAGGTATATGTTTCATGGTTTGTTGAGGGGTTAATCTGAAGAGGGCGAGAGGTGAAAGACAAAAAACAATCTGGTAACTCTTTACAGTTTAAAATTGTATTTATATTAAGGAGCTGTCTGTTCGATAGTCCGGTGGGATTCAGTCTATTTATCTATCAGGGTGAAAACTCAAATATCAGTTGACTGATTTGGTTAAAATTTTATATACCAATGCTTTTGTTACTGTATATAGAGCCTCTGCCAAAGAAGCTACTTGCCATTTTTCATATAATGTTCTCAATGAAAGTATTCAATAAAATATGTTTCATTAGGTAGGAATTGCCCCTCAAGGGAGTTGCTATTTTTCTTAAGATCAACATTTTGAAGTTTCAGTTTTTATTTGGATTCATTACAAAACATTAACAAATTATAGTTTTAAATGCTTAGAATGCACCATATACAATTGTCAATTTTGAAAAATTTCCGGGGGTGTACCCCTGTACCCCCCCTTTTGGTTTTCCTGTGCTCTCAGTCATGCAAACTCCAAAAGATGCACCTCCTTGACACTTGTTGGTTATGCCCCTGTACATGTATGTTTACATTTGGCCTTATTCAATGTAAATATGTAAAGTTGAGAATATAATGTATCAGGAATAAATTGGTGAATAAGACAGCCTGTAGAAGTAAAGTTAAGTCATGAGTAAAGGTACTAAAGGACAAACCCAAAATGTTTCATAATAAGTCTTGTCTTTTAAATAATACAGTTGTAAGTGTTACGCGGAATATGACATATATTCATGGCATATTTCAAAAGCTTGCAAAAAGCTTTTGCGATACATTGATTTTAGTGAATACCAAATAATCACAGCGGAATATGCCATATACCGCAGATGAAATCACGATACAGAAAGCCTCAATTTGATTGGTCAAAAGAATCGATTCTACACTAGATTACCAACATAGTCTAGTTAGCGCTTCGAGTACTAATATGAATGAATCCTGGATTGATTAAGTACGTTTATTACGTGTAATTGCTGAATGATACTCCTGAAAGTATCAGAATGTGTAAATCACGATTGCCAATATAACAATATATGAATACTCGTGACTTTTTAAAGTTTTATGTGGCTTTTGTCAACTGTCGATTTGGTTATAAAAGTCACTCATAAGCTTTACGAACGTAGGTTCGTTTATTTATACGTCATAATGTTTCCCTTGAAGTGTGTTTTGCGTGTAACACATATACAAAACAACATCAGACAATACAGGTACTGTACCGGTGTATGATATATTCAATGCACTAAGATGTTGACTCTATCATAATAATAATTTATAGACTTAGCACATTCATTGAATCAATGTAATTGACAATTGCGTATTTCTGTATCGCGTTCTCATTGGTTAGTGTGTATGCCATATTCCGCAGGTGAATCTGGCATACACCGCAAGTGAATATGCCATATTTGTTGCGGAATATGACATATATTTGTATTACCACGTAACAGAGACTTTTTAGAGGCCGGCAAGGAAAACTAGATCTGGAAATTTCCTTTTTTGCCTGGAAATGTCAGGGAAATTCATTTTGAAAAAGGTGTACGAACCCTGTTAAAGGGCATTTGGTCTTATTTTTTTATCTTTTATTAACCATAAATGGCATTTGGACTTTTTGTTTTCAGTTCTCTTTTTATCTTTAGACATTTAAACTTATAACTTATGCTTACCATGAAATGCTATGTGGTCAAAAATTACATTGTATGATGTTTGTACTTCGTGTAGTTCTTGAACTAGAAGCAGATGTAGCTGGGGGCACGTTCATGGCAGCAGGAGGGTCAGCCTCAGAACTCTTCACTGCAGTTATAGGTCAGTAGTCAGCATGTAAAGTATACAAAATTTGGGACAAAACTGTTCATGAATTTATTCAAATAGTCACTTTGTTATTTTATTTGACACCGAGTACAAGTATGTAATTTTGAAGAACATTACATTTTCAAATGTTCTTGGAGTAAATATATATTGTAATATTATATTTATATCATATGCTCATGATTCCTATATAGCCGTAAACTGACACTAAACTTTTTTCCAGGTGTATTTATCTCAAAAAGTGATGTGGGAGTAGGTACAGTTGTTGGATCAGCTGTCTTCAACCTTCTGTTCATTGTGGGAATATGTGGAGTGTTTGCTGGCATGGTAAGCATTGATTGGCAATATGTTGGATATGATAAAATAATAAATCTCTTGTCAGCTCTTTGTATCTCAAGGTATTGTTTATCTGATTTTTGATTTTTGATTTCTTATTATCTTTTTTTATTTCTATTGATGTCAGTTCTCACTTTCAATTTCTTTTCTGTCTTGCACTTTTTTCTACTTTTAATTTTTTACCTTTGATTATATCTCTATTTTCCTTATATTTCATTTGATCTCTCCTTATCTCTTTATCACTTTCAATTTCTTGTTATCTCTTACTATCTGTTTTGATTTTAATTACATTATGTCCTGTGCTCTAAATTTTTTTTTTTTTTGATAAAATTGTTCCACTTTCAGACCATACATGTGACATGGTGGTCCATGTATCGTGACTTAACCGCTTATTTTGTCAGTGTTGTTACTTTAATGGTGGTTATACTGGATGGACTAGTGACATGGTAAGGCTTCCTCTGATTGGTCATCTTCATATTGTTGAAGATAGTGCATTCTGGGAACAAGTATCCTCTTGTATGGATGTAACTAGTCTTAATCTTGCATCAAGTCCTAAAGTAATATAAAAATGGTGAGAATTTCCAGAAGGGTTAGAGGTGCAACATTAAATGTTATTGGGAGGGGGGTAAAATAACATGAAATATGAAATTTGGTAAATAAGAAAATTAAGGTTGTATAAAATATGAAAAATATGGAATGTGTGGGCCAAAAAATAAGCGATGTAGTGAAGGCGAAAAATATGAAATACTAGAAATTACCACGTACCTTTGTAGTAACCCCCACTCCACCAGAGACTTGATGTTAGACTAAAATGAAACTAGTTGCAATTATACTTAACTATTCAACAATATGACCCTGACCCAATTATCCCCATTGTTTCCCCTGGGTGCTTTCCCTACAGAGGTCATGGTAAGAGAGCCAGTTCAAGCACTGGAGTCCTTATTCTGGTACCATGGCCCATGAATCATGCACTGCCTGTAGATGCCCAGATCTTGTCTTGTAACCCTGAATTTGAAAAAGAAATAAAAGTGAATTGTTAAAAAAGTTACAAAAGTACAGTTACCACTATTGAAGTCTGATTTAGGTAAGGTTTGGGCTTATACAGATTTACCCCCCCCCCCAAAAGTGAAATATATTGCTTACACAAATATTAATTGAATTGGTGTTTTAGACAGTGCAGCTAAGCTGGTGGGCGATCTACAGAGATGTACTGGCCTACATGCTCAGTGTAACCACACTGGGGCTAATCATATATGATGGTCACATTCACTGGTAAGATGTTAGGGTACTAGATGCATGTTGTGAGGTGGTGTTGGTGTGTTTGTAGGTAATGTTATACATGTGTGTTGTATCTAGGATAGACTCTGTGATGCCCTTCATTAAGAAATAAATATTATATACTAACACAGTTAATTAAGTTTTATAATGATATGATAACTATCTTTAGATGTATTCTCTTTTCAATATTAACAGTTGCTTAATCTATTATTATCCCACTGAATGAAATTCAAGTAGGGATATAGAGAAGTTCATCAATTATTTGTCTGTTCATTTATTCATCTGTCCATCCATTTACCTCTCTTAGATACAAAGTTAAGATCATAAGAATATATTCAGTATAAAAAAGAAAACCAAACTAATCATGCAAAATTATATTTGGCTGCTAAAATCTATTTTCACATCTTATTAGCTCATTTTAAGTATACCAACACAATTATCATAATTGTTAAAGATTCAGAAATAAGAGAATTGCTTATAACTCATACTTATAAAGTTATTAACTTTATAAGTATGGTAAAAGTAAGTTCTTTATATATCCTTACACCTTTTATATGTATTTAGAGTGCCGTTTGCTTTAAAGATTATTCTAATAATGCTTTTATATTCTGCTTTTTAAAACAACTTTTAACATAGCTCATGTTAGAGAATTTATTGTATGATCTGTAAAATGAAGCTCTCTGATTGATCAGTTCTTGTGCTGTACCAATCTGTATTGCCACTGAGATTGTCCCCATTGGTTATCTCCATAGCAATGCAAAAATATTGGTACAGAGGGGATAATCTTGGTAGCAATACAGAGAATACAAAATCTTTTAACTAAAATGTATTGGCCTAAGATCACACGATAAAAATGTTATTGGATGATATAAAAGTGCAACACAGGATATATTGTGCTCTCAACCATCTGTTTTTGCACTTGACTTCATCTTGTGCCAATACAGAATTTCTCGAGAACAATATATCCTGTATTGCACTTCAAATCATTCAATACCTTATAGTATTGCTTTATAGTTTCAGTGATTGTGACTTCTTTCTAGAGGAATTATTAATCACATAATTTACAGATGGATTTCAAGGATCTCATATGCTACATACTTCAGTATCTCATAAGTTGTATGTAAAGTATAATGTTTTGTGTTCTACTCTGCATTCCTAATAGTACTGTCCATAGAATATATTTGTGTTAAACCCTGCTTGCCTTAAACCTCTTTGATAGGATAGCATTTCAATAAAATGTACACACAAATGTTATAACATAATAAGTTCTAAATTATGATTAAGAATTTCACATAAACGATCAGCTTTTATTGATAGTTAATTTTGACTGTAACTGTTTTAAATGTAAATTAAAGAAGTTAATAGCCTTCTGTTTGATTAATAAACCCTACATTAACTATATGATATATTGTATTGCTTTCCAGGTATGAGAGTCTGATCATGGTTGGCCTGTACTTCTTCTATATCTGCCTCATGTTCAACAACAGACACGTTGGTGGCTTTTTCAAGCGAATCGTTCAAAACTGTAAAAGTCGCATAACACGTCGTAGATTGTCACCAGTTCCATCTAGGAGGGATTTAGAATCAAACATTTTATTAGAAAATGAAACAACGCCATTGTTGTTTGGAAAACGAAAAACTTCCGAACAAATTGAAGTGCCAAATGGTGTACCCAGTGAGGTTATAAGAAGTGGAAGTGTCAAAAGTACAAGTACTAAACCACTAGAGGCAAGTGGACCTGGTGATGCAGAGACAAGTTTTGGTGGAACCTCCTCAAAGACTGATGAATGTATGTCCTTGTACATTTTTACATTATGTCTTGTAGCACAGTATGGGTTTAGATCTATATGAAGCAATTATTATCCGATATTGTGAAGCCCTCCATCCATCAGTCAGTCCATCAGTCTGTCTATCTGTCCGGAAAATAACTTGAATGCTATTGGACAGATTTTCTCCATATTTAGTGAAAATATGTTTATTTGTGCTACGATTCATGTTACCATTCAATAGTTTAATACCTAATTTTCACCATTTTGCTATCCATAATACTTCTACCATACACTCTGTATTGCTGCTAATAGAGGGTCTGATTCATCAGAAAGTCTCCTCCAAACAGTTACCCACCAGAGTAGTGGCAAATTTTGATAATCTCAGTTAACAATTGTCTGTATTTTTTCTTAAAATTTGATCCTATTTTGCCAAATTTTGGAATGATATTCTGATTATTATCTACACCAAACTAGTATCTCTGAATTCACTTATAAATCAGAAATTTCCATTTCACTTCCAGTTCCTGCCACACAGTTCATATCTCCCTGGAAGTTCCCAGATAATACTTTCTCACAGATATTTTGGATCATAATGCTCCCATTCACTGTGTGTGTGTTCCTGACAATCCCAGACTGCAGGAGACCTGGTATCTGGAGACGTCTCTACATGTTGACATTCCTTATGTCAGTACTGTGGATAGCTGTGCTGTCTTATCTCATGGTGTGGATGGTTACCATTATAGGTGAGTGATTTGGTCAAATATATTAAATTGGTCACCCTTATCTGTAAATAAATTTATTAGAAAATGAACATATCTCATTGGTTATGTGCATTACATTGTGTTTAATGCGACCTCCAATTTTCAGATTCCTTATTTACTCAGTGAGACTGAGAAAAAGTTGTCCAAAAATAAGCCTTTTCTGTTAATTGTCTTATTTCAATAAAACATCTACATGTAATAGTGCTGTATGCCAATGTGCCAATGTTTTTTTTAAATTGCATTCTGTACAATTAAATGAATAACAAAAGAAGGATGTATTTTGAATTTTGAGTATCTTTTCGTGAAATAATCACTCGCATGATATGTTACAATTACTCTAGGTACCACTACAGGAATCCCTGATATTGTGATGGGGCTTACATTTTTAGCAGCAGGGGCCAGTCTACCCGATGCACTTGCTAGTCTATATGTTATACGAGATGGTATGGCTTGTATCCATGGCATGCAATATGATGACACACTTGTTACATCCACAATCATTTTGCATTTGTATCCACTCAAGAAACCCAGTATACAAGAGTTGAAATTGAAAAATCGTACAATTAAAAATTGGGACTATTTAACAGAAATAATGATGGATAGAGCAAGCCATGAGAGTGTAGGCCTCTTATATGGAGCAGAATACATTTCATGTGATTTGGGTCCTGTGGATACATTTACAATATGTCTAATATATAAAAATTATTGTTTATGCAGCCAATGCTTTAAGTTAAGGTACGCTACATGCTTTTTCTTGTTTTGCTTTTGAAAAGGTTCTTGTAGATGCATGTTAAACACTGCAAAACGCTCCCAAAGGCAGCCCCCTCTACAGGGTGTCTAAACATAAAGGGAAGATATCAATTTTAAATTATGTGTTCCATCTATGTCTGGCCACTTTGTATGTTATATGAAAATCTATAATTGCCTTGATTTTCCCAAGTGTCAATACAGAACAGAATTTTTCACATAGTGGAAGCTATGACATTCAAAATTCATGAACTGGAAATAGTTCATAAAGTAGAATAACTTTGCAATTAATACACATATGAGCAATTGCTTGATCGACCTGAAAATGAATTTAGTGAAAATGCTTGGACGATCAAGGCACCATTCTTTATACATAATATAATTACTTTACATTAAAACCAGTAAATATGAACACCCGTCTCAAAAAATAGTTTTCGGCCCCATTTCTTGGATGTCCCAGTGAATTACATGGTTATGTTATAAGAACCATTTTATGTGAACAACATCCATCTTCAGCATAATTTACTTGAGTCAGGTTAACAGTACATACCCCATACATATAGCTAAATAACTGATAAATAGACTAAGATAGTTGTACTTGTATGTATATTCTAGGAGATACAATCGCTATTCCTGAGATAGTGATGGGGTTGACTTTTCTGTCAATAGGTGACAGTTTGCCCGATCTGCTCAACTGTATATTTGTGGCTAAAGATGGTAAATGCTTAAATCACTCAACTTAATATTTGGTGAATGACCAGTGTATGTAACATAATTTGATCAAATGGTCATGCTATGTTAAAACTAGATAAATACATAACTTAGCAAGTCCCACTGAACAATTTAAATAAGGCTACCCAAAAATGCATTCTTATATATAGTATTACATGAAAATATCACTTACATATAACGATCAACTAAATTACTCTTTACTTTTGGAGTTCTAGCAATACATATAAAATAGCATGCAATGCAGGCCACCATTTTTCAAGGTGGCCGGTACATTTTTTCAAAATGTTTGGATTTGGACAAAATCAACATCATAAATAAAATTTTCCATCAAAAAACATTATAACATTACAATTTTATAAGTTGTAAACAAAATTATATAAAATGATTAAAATCAGCACTAAAATGGTGACATAGCTTTCAAGCAGAACTTTTTCTCGCATTAGAGATATGCATTTATCCCATACTTGGACGTGTTACAGGTACATAAAGCCGGTTTGTAAAAACTTATATTTTCATCAGCGGGCAGATATAGCTTTACGTCCCGCTCCGAGCGGGCAGATATAGTATATCTGCCCGCTACGTCATAGTCGCAGCTTGCATATTTGTTCATAATGTGTAACGTTCGCGTAATGACTGTAAACGACAATGGAGAAAACACAGACTATCGGGATCTGTTTGATGGTTTAAAAAAGGGAAGGAGCATCCACTTAATCAATCAAAAATTAGAGAAAATAAATATGGGAATATTTGAGAGAACAGGAAAATCCGCCCACGGCCAAAAAAACAAAACTGGACATGAGTATTCTAAAATATTTCCATGATTGAACAATGTTAACCAGATGACCAAGATTGGTATGGGATAAACATATTATCCTATAGTCGGTTCAGGATATTGGGATTATCCCTTGGCCAATATAATATATTTTCCCTCGGGACCTGCGGCCCTCGGGCAAATATATTATATTTGCCTCGGGATAATCCCAATATCCTGAACCTCATATAGGATAATCTCTATATACTGTATAATATAAACAGTATTGGGCCAATATTATTTGTGTTATTTTCCTTGATGGATGGACAGAGGTGTTCTCCATATAATCCTGAACTTTGTTCAATGGGATAAGTAAAGTTTATGTACAAAATCAGAAAAATCTAATATTATTAGTAACATTATGATATAATATCTTCTATATAGTTGTACTTTTTTGTCACCAGCACAGTGTCAAACACTTTTACTAACAAATAAATAACGCAGGCATATTGCTGGGCATGTCTTTTCATCCAGTGTAAATCTGAAAGTGATCCAAAAATCTGATAATTCTTGTTCTTATAACACATTCTCAATAGTAAGAGAATGGTGAATATAACAGTGAATAATAAAACAAATATTTCATACTATTTTTGGTGAATACCTGTAGCACTTTCAATGATTCCGGAAGGTGTATTTTCCCCTGGCCCTGTGGGCTTTGGGGAATACACCTTGCAAGAAACATTGAAAGATGAACAGGTATTCACCTCAATCAGTGAAATATTTGTGTAACATTCAATGATCTTTTACAGATTTGTCAAGCAAGAATGAGAGAGTTCATCCTATATTTTTTTTTGGAGTATTTTAATTTAAGAAGCATATTTCTTGATTTAAATGCCAAGTATCTGACATTAGCATATCAAAGCCTCCATGTACATGTGGCACAAAAATGCATGTCTGTGACTCATGTACAAAATAACAACAATACAGTTCACATCTCAATTCTACATTCATCCTGTAACATATTTTGAAATATCTCATTACATTTTATTGCATTCTGATTGCAATTTCTGGCAAACTCCAACTTGCTAATGCATTTTAGAGTTGGAAAGTCCTTTAATTATTTAAAATTGGTAACAAAATGTTTGTATTATATGTAAAACTGTATGAGTGCATTTGTTTAGATATTGATCAGTGAACTGTGTTGGGAAGCAACTTGCTTGTGCAACCACTGACCAACCTGTTGCATGTTGGGTTGAGTCAACTTATTAACACTATCTACCCTTTCTTAACACTTTGTAGAACTAACTGAACTTTTCAGGCACCCTGTAAAGCACTTAATCATATGAATACGAATGTTCTGTTGTCACCATTACAATAGAATAATAAAATCAAAAATTACATGTATCTCTACAATTAATCTCTAAAATCTTATATAGATATCCATTAATTCTCATTAAGTGCCACTAAAATCTTTATGGGTTACTTTTTAATACTGCATCATAATATACCAAATTCTACATGCTAATTGTATTTCTTGGATTAGATAATTTTTATTTAGAAAGAATGAAACCTATTTCATGGACGTTAGTTTAGTGAACTATTTAATGACATTACATCAGTAGATGTTCCTCTTCATAGATTTGCAAGTGGTATTGATAATGTCAATAAATTGTAAGACCATTAAAATCTATCATGAAAATGTAACATCATGAAAATGTAACATTGTTGAAATGTAAAATCATGAAAATGTAACATCACAAAAATGTAACATCATTTAAAAGAATAATATAGTCAAAATGTATCACCATTAAAATGTAACATAATGAAAAAAAGTAACATTGAATTGTAACATCATAAAAATGTAACATAATTTAAAAGAATAATATAGTCAAAATGTATCGCCATTAAAATGTAACATAATGAAGAAGTAACATTGAATTGTAACATCATAAATATGTTACATCATTGAAACGTAACATCAAATACCATAGTAAACAGTTCATCTTTTGTTTTCAGGCTTCGGTGACATGGCTGTAGCTAACTCAGTTGGGAGTAATGTGTTTGACATTCTGTTTTGCCTTGGCCTCCCATGGCTCCTTCAGACAGCATTCGTTGAGCCTAATGGTGTCGTAGAGATCAGTAGCACAGGATTAGAGTATACTCTCATAACACTCTTGTTTAGTGCTCTTTTTATACTTGTTAGCTTACATTTCACTAAATGGATGCTGGGTAAAAAATTAGGCATCACCTGCATTGTATTATATGTTGTATTTATAACATTCGCCTGCTTGTACCAGGGGAATGTATTTGGACAAGTGACACTACCAACATGCCCTCTTGTGGAGTAATAAGATACTAGAGAGCCGCAGACATAGATAATGGGAGTATTAAAAGTATGCCATTAAAAGTATGCCATAGACAAAGCATATAATAGTATTCTGAAGATCGCTCGGACGAATTTTGAAATATGTGACGCCTGAGACAGAAAACGTAATATAGGAAACAAAAGTTGAAAAATATGCCATTCAAGGACTACATGGATCCATCAAGCTAAAAGACATTGTTTGTATGTTTGACATTGTCTACCACTGCAGCATTATAAAAAGTTGTACTGTTGATGAATCATGCAAATCCTGTGCATGGATTACATAACAGAAATCAAGTGCTTTAACCATGATAAAAGAGATTACAGCCTACAATCTTTGGTATAAGAAAATTGCATGTGATAGTAACTTTAACAAGAACTGTCAGTTGAGATCTTTAATATTTGCACTAGTCAAAATATGTGTTGGATATTTTCATTAATTTACAAAGTCTTGGTTGAACACACTTTCCCTTGTCATGATTATAATTTTTCAGATTGGGGAATATATTCTTTTAGTGGGACTGTTTTTAAGATAGATTCTTATAATACAGTTATAAAGCTTACTTAATGCAGTCCCGGAAAGAATTTTACGGAGTTTTACAGAGCAATTGTCGTTATGACAGAATTCCTGCAGGAGTTTCATTAACTGAATATGCAGAATTTTCAGGGTCAAATGAACTACAATTTTTGAGATTTCAAAATAATTTCATGCTTTATTGTGGGGTGATTGTAAATGTAATGTCAGTGCTCCATTCTGAGTGCCACACCCCTTTTTTATGATTTTAATCTGCATATTATAAAAATGATTCCACTATCTTCACAAACCTTAAGTTATCTATTGTATTTTATTGTATATGCTATATTTTATTGTATATGTTGTCTTATATTGTATATGACTGCAATATTATGAGTATGTAAGGATAGAAGCTGAAACAGTCAGAAAATCGGGTCAGAAACAATATTTTTTCTATTTGAAAAGTGAGATTGAGTATGTGTATACTATAAACCATACAATATACCAAATGCAATAATTTATAGATTTCTACTATTTGTCAAAGTATAAGATACATGTGACATATCTTAGTGTTATGTTAGCAACAATAAAGTTAGATCAAATCGATTTGAGCATTTTGTTTCCTGTTTGTATGTTAATATAATATAACAGATAATTATAGTTTTGTCCATCTGGAGATTATTATATTATATAGTTTTAAGTAATTTCTCACTATTCCAGATGTTTATTAGGCCTACAAAAATGCAAGTTACTATATGGAAGGCTATTTTTCTAAAACATTTGCCTGGGTGGTCTTTTTGTAACCATGGCTACTAAAACCAAAACATTTTCCCTTGACCCCATGTGGCACTGATCTAGATATCAATGTCATTTATTACTTTATAATAACAAGAACACAAATGTGTACAAAATGTCCCCACCTTTGGGTGATCCCGTCAAATGGTTATCCTAAAAATGAGTAGACAAGACTTTACAGACACAATTTGTGGACGGAAAATCCAAAATGGCCACCTTAAAATTTACCCAGAATGCCAAAAAATTAGTCAGTTCTAGATTTTCATACTAAGAACCACCCCTGAAAATTTGAAATTGATCCGTCACACAGTTAACCAGAAAACATGTAAACAAGACTTTACAGACAAGATATGAGGACAGAAAATCCAAAATGGCTGCCTTGACATTTATCCAGAATGCCAAAAAACTAATCTGTTCTAGATTTTCATACTAAGAATCATCCCTGAAAATTTGAAATTGATCTACCAAACGGTTCACCTGGAAATGCGTGGATAAGACTTAACAAACAAGATTTTAGGACAGAAAATCCAAAATGGCTGCCTTAACATTTACCCAGAATGCCCAAAAACTAATCAGATTTAGATTTTCATACTAAGAATCATTCCTGAAAATTTGAAATTGATCTACCAAACGCTTCACCTAAAAACGCGTAGACAAGACTTTATGGGCAAGATTTTAAGATGGAAAATCCAAAATGGCTGCCTTGACATTCATCCAGAATGCATAAAAACTAATCAGATCTAGATTTTCATACTAAGAATCATCCCTGAAAATTTGAAATTGATCTACCAAACAGTTCACCTGGAAATGTGTAGACAAGACTTTACAAACAAGATTTTAGGACAGAAAATCCAAAATGGCTGCCTTGACATTTACCCAGAATGCCCAATAACTAATCAGATCTAGATTTTCATACTGAGAATCATCCCTGAAAATTTAAAATGATCTACCAAACGGTTCACCTAAAAACGCGTAGACAAGACTTTACGGGCAAGATTTTAAGACGGGAATTCCAAAATGGCTGCCTTGACATTAACCCAGAATGCCCAAAATCTAATCAGATCTAGATTTTCACACTGAGAATCATTCCTGAAAATTTGAAATTGATCTACCAAACAGTTCACCTGAAAATGCGTAGACAAGACTTTACAGACAAGATTTTAGGACGGAAAATCCAAAACGGCTGCTTTGACATTTACCCAGAATGCCCAAAAACTAATCAGATCTAGATTTTCATATTATGAATCATCCATGAAAATTTGAAATTGATCTACCAAACGGTTCACCTGAAAACGCATAGACAAGACTTTACAGACAAGATTTTAGGACGAAAAAATCCAAAATGGCCGACAATAAAAAAGTGATTATGAGTTTTTGCTGATTTCTTTTTACAAAATTATCACATATAACTACTGTTAACAATAACATAGGCTTTTACAACAAAGCACACCTGAAATTATTTATAAAGCTACTAAATAGTTAAAGTATGAAAACTGAAAAACACCATTCAATATATGATACAAAGTATTATCGTGCGCTAACTTTTCTTAAAACATTCAAAATGGCTGACATGACTGAGCTAACAGGTCCAAAACCTAATCAGATCTAGAATGAAGTGAGCTGAACAAGATGTTAAAGTTTTAAAAGCAACTGTGAAGCCATTTTTCTTAAAGTTTGCAGACAAGGATTTTAGCATTTGACTTCAAAATGGTCGACAGGAAGTAGGTATCGAGTTAATTTTTTTTCATCCACATCTGTATGCACTCATAAGTTATCCCTGAAAATTTGAAGGTGATATCTGTAGCGGTTTTGGAGAAAACTCCCGGACGTACGGACGGACGGACAGACGGATGGACGGACAGACAGTCGGACGCGCCTAGGCCGACAATATGGCCCCACACTATGTGGTGGGGACATAAAAATTATTCTTTAAATAATAATAAAAACATTTATTGCTTTTTCATGTTGACTTGTAGGCTACACTAACTGATGTGTGTTCTGTTCGTCATATGTCCGAATCCTTGCTTTTCTCCTGGTTGTTGATAAGTCTATCATAGCTGAAGTTTCACTTGCATGAAAATCTATAATTTCTCTTATTCTTATTTTTAGTTTTTCTAAATTGTCACTAGTTTTTGCAGATATTGTCAATGTGTCATCAAATGTTAGAAATGTTTTGGGACGTGAGGTTTCCTCCAATTGTAAAGATGACTCTGAAAAATAAGTTTTAGAAAGTTAAATATACAGTCAGTAGTATTCAGGATGATATCAAACAAATCATTGAAATTCAGATCTCGACAATTTTGAATGGTGAGTAAGGCAAACAAATCAATCTTATCAAATATGGGTCCTTTATTAAATGAGCTAAAATTGGCATCATTCAGTTGGCGCACATGTGATTCCTCAAAGTCCAACCCTTTGCAAAATTTATGGAAATGCCTAGAGAAAACTATTAGACAATAGAAACTGAAACTGGAACACAGATACTTTTCAACATCACTTAAAACTTAAATTTTCTAATATGGGAGCACTTAAAATGATAGACTCCTATATATTGTTAACATTTTAAGATCTGGTACCAATGGTGTAAACTATCAATAATTACCCCCAAATTGAGTGATGAGTTTTTGCCTGGATGGATGGACAAACAGATGGCTTCTCTATATCACTACTTCAACTTTCTTAGGTAGGATAATAAAGCAATGTAATATTGGTTTATCAAATAGTCAAGGCCATTTTATGTACCTTAAAACAACCATGGATTGTCAGTTTGATAGAAATTAAAAATGATAAACTAAGAATGTATCCATGATCTAAAAAAAATAGTTGATTGAAATCGCCAATTCATCAATACATTCAATCCAAATACATGGACACTTTACCTTCTACATTTGCTAATTGTTGTTTTAATTCATGTAGACATTCTTCAGTTTTCTTAATTTCCTTCTCTGACTTTCTGAGTGTTTCTGCATCAACTTTATTAATACACAATATGGCGGGCTTCTGTAATAGTTCTGGGTTATAGAGCTCTATTTCCTAAAATATGTATACATTTATTACTTTATTTTTTATAGATTAAATTAATGAGTAAATAAAAGTTACAGTGTAATAGTACAAAGAGAGACAAAAAGTTTGAGACTTTAGCTCATTTTTTAAAAAAGTTGGCATGAGTGGTTGACACTTGGTGCAATATCACTAGCTATAAATGAAATGTATAAAGCACACATAGAATTATTTAGGAAATACAATCACACATGCCTTTTTATTTACAAAATACAATTGCGCATACCAGTTATTCAAACAATTCAATATTACAAACAAACACCTTATAAGGACACATACCTTATGAAGACACATACCTTATTTAGAAGCATAATGGTCTCAAATGCTGTTCTCTTGGGATACTTCAGCCCCAGTTGGAATCCATGGACATCCACCATAAACAATAAGAGCTTAGTTCTTTCTATGTGCTTCAGAAACCTATGCCCAAGTCCTATATTCTCACTAGCGCCCTCTATAATGCCTGGTAAATCCGCAACACTGATGGCCCGCTGGTCTTTGTACTTAACAATTCCTATCTGTGGATTCTTTGTTGTAACTGAAAAAGTTTTGATTTTTAAATATAATGATCAATGTACACCTTGAACTTTGCAAATATGTTTTCATTTTCATCAAAATCACTTAATAACAGACTCTTTAATTCCTAACTTACTGCCATTAATTTTCATATCAAAGCAATTGAATTACATGAACATTGCACAGTACAGTACAGTGGAACACCTTTGGTACCATTAAAAAGTGTTCCACTTGTGAGGTGTTCCACTTATAGAGGTTCATTTAACAATAAGTAAATTGTTCTTTGAACTCTCAACTTATAGTGATAATCTTCACAGGTTTCACTGTACATGTATTATTAGTTCTAAAATAACTCACATGCCCATGGTGCAATTTCTGGTTTACAGTTTGATATAGCTTTCAATAAAGTTGATTTTCCAGCATTGGGAAACCTGGAAAGGAAATCATAAAAATATTACATTTTTGTGCCTTGCTCAATGTTGCATCTCATCTTGACCATTCATCATTCATTGATTATTATTCCATAGTAATGCTTTTCATTATCACAACAACAAAAATAACAAGGCATTAACATGCAAAATGTCACCACCTGCCATTTGTTAAAGATGCCAAACAGAAACGACCAAACACAAACTGCCAAACATCAGCTGCAGAACACCAACCGCCACCACAACAAAGTTTAAGACTATAACAATATGTCACCACTTATGGTAGTGACATAATAATGAAAAAGTGATCAGGAATATCAGCTATGAACCATGCACATTTAGCCTGTTAACCATGCAAACTTACCCTACAAGTCCAACATCAGCAATTAGTCTCAAGTCTAGAGTTACTGACAATGACTGGCCCTTCTCTCCTTGGAATTTGTTCTCACTCTTGCCACCAGCTCCACCCTTTGCAACTAGGATCTTATCATTGTTTGAATCCAAGCTACCTAGAGTAGGCAAAATTGTGTCCAAGTTAATATAATATGGGTTTATAATGGTTTTACAGAGATTTGTATTTTACTGAAGGCATTAATATATATTCTTCTCTATTCAAATTTTTAAAATACTGTACAGACATTTAAAGATCATTTTTTTACAATTATATTCACAAACATGTTTTCTCTTGCACCACATATATAATACATTAATTTCAGATGTTACTTATAAATACATCTTACCCAGTATATCTCCTTCATCATTCTTCACAAGTATACCAGGCTCAACATTCAATAGTATGTCCTGACCTTTCTCCCCCAACAAAGCTCTGGCACTGAAATAACAGTGAGCTATCAATGACAAATTACCCTGGTTATTTTTTAAGCAATATGTAATGACCCTGGATAGCAAGTTGCTACTACAGCCCAGCTGTAGTGGCTTAAGCCTTTATAGTTCAGTTGGTAGAACATCAGTTTATGGTTCTAATCCTCTAAGGGTACTAGGTTCAATTCCCACACAGGCATTGAATTCAGCACACTTTCTTTCATTTCTGTATCTGGCTTGTTACACTATGCTCGTTAGTTAGTCATTCCTCTGGGGCACACTTCGGTCATAACATTAGTGTCAGATATGGGATCAAAGCATTTGTTGTATTATTTGCGCCTGTGTGTGTGAGGTAAGTCACTGCTAGGAAAAGCAGGGCTGATCACGAGGGCCTGGTCCTTTCAAAAGAGAATAGTGTTAAGACCCTGGATAGGTTGCTACTACAGCCCAGCTGCAGTGGGTTAAGCCTTTATACCTCAGTTCGTAGTGCACACTTTCATTTCTGTCTTGTTACACTATGCTCCATAGTTAGTCGTTCCCCCGGGGCGCCCTCGGGTCATTATGAATGTAAATGTTCTTCAAAGATAAATTATTCTATGGTAGGCCTAGTCATCAATGAATATCTATTATCTATCAATATTACAATCATATGTAAGTAATGTAATTAAGTACTTAAAAATTGTACTCTGGTTATACAAATTTGGTGTCATATCTGAATAATTCTCAAAATATATTTTCTTTCTTTATCTTACTCAATCAATTCCTAAGATGATATTAAGATATATAATGGTGCCAAAAAGACAGAATTAAAAAATCTTGTCTATGAAATAAAAGATCCCTTACTGACTATTTCCCCCATTGCCTGCTATGAATCTCTTCTCAGGATGTCTCTTTGCCAGCTCCTTCAGTGACTTTGCTTTATCATAACACTTAACATAGACATCACCTCCATCACCACCTTTACCACCAAACTTTGGATAACCTTGACCACCAGCTCCACCCCGGACATAAACTCTGAGGCTGTCAAGAAATTGTAACTGCAAATAAAAAGTTATTTTCTTTCACTGATTGGTCATCTATGACACTAAAATAAATAAAAAGTAAATGGATATCATAAAACCCACTCAACGGAGAATCTACAGAGCTTTAGTGGCAATGAACAGATTTATGCTGTATGGTTCCATATAAATCTGCCAAAAGGTATGACCTCATTTTTTTTTTATCTATCATGTTTTATTCAATACAATAATATATGTTAAAAGAAAATTTCCAAAAGGGCGACTTTGTTTAACATTATAAGTCCTCATTACATGTATAGCTTTATCATCGTTTCACAAAAAAGTTACAAATTTCAAAAAACAGACAAGTTGATGCAAATACAGATTTATTGTACATTATTGCCCATGGTCTGTCTATATGATGTCACTGACAAGTGACAAATTTCAAAAAACAGACAAGTTGATGCAAATACAGATTTATTGTACATTATTGCCCATGGTTTTGTGAAACGATGATAAAGCTATACATGTAATGAGGACTTATAATGTTAATTCCATGGTCTGTCTATATGCTGTCACTGACAAAAGGCAGCATTACAGTGCCAAGTGACGTACATGATCACGACAACGAATAAAGAAGAACTGCTCTTTCCCAGCTGTTCCTCCATCTTTTCCAGTGTGCCAAGTGGTCTTTTCCACATGTCAATGTGGCCGCCATAATATATAAAGTTCATAACAACAAAAAAAGTTGGTATGAAAACAAGAAAATATTTATTATTGGTGGGTGATAATTGATCCATACAAAATTGAAAAAATGTGATTTAGATAACTCATATAATCGTATTGAATAGAATTGAATATTTTAAACAAACTTACCTTTTTAGCTTTCCAGCATATTGATGTTAGTTTTACCATGTTCTATAGTACTTAAAATGCCATTGATAATCGTTAATATCTCGATAAAAGATAACTTTTGCAAAACCCAGAAGTAGGTCAAACTCGTAAGGGATCATGGGTAATGTTTAACTTTTGTTAAACGTCTATTGATTGGCTACAATATTGTCATTTGCGATCTTTTGACCAATTAGATTACTTTTGACATACACATTTCGGAAGGTCAGAAGAAGGAGGAACACTAAAATAAATATTTTTATTTACAGAAATTTAGCTAATTATTACCTAAATGCAGTGGACAAACTCTTAATTAGATAATGGCTGAGTCGGAGAGTATATCGGGCCCGATACTGCATGTAGTTGTAGTAGGATTTCATCATAAGAAAGGCTGTACTGTAAGTTCAAATGTCAACATAAATTATTCTGAATATTTTCTTCTTGAAATTCTTCTTCCTGGAATGAGTCCATAGAGAGTGACTGACTACTATTTTCATTTCACGATCCATGAGCCTGTATTCTGGATATTTCTTTTTCCAAATTGCATTGTAATTGTTACTTTGCATATCATTCTTTTGCAATTATTTTCTAAGCCACTCGTCGAACTGTTATAATCTAGTCTACAGAATATCAGATTATTTTGAGTGATAACATTTTTATCCACGAGTTGATATAAAATATCAACACAAGCAAGCAAAGCAGAGCTTATGAGACAATGAAAATGAGGCGAAGAAATGATATCGTGACATTTGATCTGATATCGTGTTTATCCAATATACCCCCTTGCAGTAAAATTTTAAATGTTTGGAACTACTTTGAATTTAAAAAATAAGCTATCAAATGACTATATTGCAACATTATACAAAAAATTGGAAACATATGTACAGGGCGTTCAATAAGTATTGCTAATTTTGCTGTAACTTTTGTTCTGTTTGCTTTTTCTTCATGGAACTTTTACAACATAGATCTAAGGTGCATATATGATATCTGACTTTGACCAATAAAAATTTCAATTACTCATATGCGAGTAGGTAGTTACCAGTTTCGCCACCAGGTGGCCCCTTAAACTTGAATATGCATCAGTTTTAATGGCTCACTTTTCATATTACCTTTATGTATCTGATAGTTATACAAATTAAAATATGTCCAGTAACAGAAAATATTATCTGCCCAACACAAGAAAAGATATTTCACTTTTTGTGGTTTTACAACATGGACTCTATGGGGAATCTCCCCGACCTAGAAGTCACATTTTAAAAGAAAATTGAATTTTCAAAGTTGATAAACTCTTTTCAAAACCACATTTCTAAATGCAATTTTACATTTTACATGAATTGTGAATTTTTAATGACGTAAATCAAGATTATTTCTTCTCGCACCTGGGATATTCAATTGAATTAGTATTCGTAAAGTTATGGTTACTAGCCATGTTAAAGGGGCAACAAGGCCTGTAGAGAGAAAATTCAAAAATTTACTTTTTCTAAATTATCAGGGCAACATTTGGCTTAACATCATCTTTGACATACCCAGTGTTTTCAATAGGCTTGTCCAAGATTGCGTCCCTGGGACGTAATGATTTTCAAAAAATGCGTCTCCCCTCAAAAAACTGTGTCCCTTGAAAAAATGTTCCCGGGAATTCAAAGTCACATTTTTACACTGGACGAATTAAAACGATGAATTTTTTTATAGCTTTTGCTATTTATCGGTCTAAATCAGCCTTCTAGCGAGTCTAGTATGTCATTGAATGATACAGATACCATCACTTGTGAGGTATAACTTATCTTCACCCATTAAAAACACATTTTCTTTGCGAATTTCGAAGCAATTTGCTTTTGATTTTGTTTTTGTTTAGGAGCAATCTGCGCGAGGTTCAATTTTTTGGTTCAGTTTCTTGCGCATGTGCATACTCAAAAGTGATCACGTGATCGCACTTGACCAATTGAAAATGGTTTGAATCAGGTCTACAGCTACCGGCCAATTGTAGGACTCATACTGATTACTGCTTGGAAATCGAGTATTCAATAACTTTTTGTCCTATCACATGCCTCGGACCATTTCGATCAGAAATCAACTTCCGGGAAGGAAACTTCGTAAGAAAATTTTATTTCTTTTAGAAATAGTATTTCCTTCAATTATTAAGTGGATTCTGATGAAATAAAGAGACTGAAGGTAAGATCTTTATCAAATCTTTTATTTCCGGGTCCAAGGGATATATTTTGCGTGTATGTAATGTAAGGACGTCGTTATTGAAAACATAGCATACCTATTTTCTTAAAATGTATGGGTAAACTATCAATTTCAGTATAAAGAAGTGTAAATTAAGTTCAAAGCATCTATAGAGGGAGTCCCACTTATAGATTTTAAATTAAGATTCACCATGTCTCAAGAGGAATATTAGCTTGTTCATCCAGGGGGTTTCTTTGGAAATAATAAAAATGTTTGTTAGTCTTGAAGAAATAACAGAACTTAAATATATTTTGACACTGGTCCATGATAGTTGAATGGCCCCTCTGTACTCATTGTTGCACCTTTAATTTTTTTTGAAAATAACATGGCAGAGAAACATGAAAATATAAGTGGCCACAGATATGATAGCTAAACTACAAAACAAACGCCAATTTGACCCCATATTTATGGTGGTAATCCAATAAATCAAATCTTATGCAGCGGTGGCGGTAGGCATATATTTTTGTGAGTCATCATGACTCAGGTAGTTTCAAAAAAGTGAGTCACAAGAAAAAAAGTTGAGTCAAAGCTATAAAAGTGTTTTTCTTGAGTAAAAATGCATACAAAATGTAGAAACCACATACAAAATCTATTTTTTGATTTTGTACATACCTTTTATTGTACTCTTATAGCACATTAACAACTAACAATTAATTAATTAGGCAATTGCAAGAAAAATGTCACTATTAATCATCTGATTATCTGGTCCAGCGAGTCATGGGTGTGAATGGAGTGGGAGAGGAGTTTCTCCCTGTGTGGAGTTACACAAATTGGGGTCAAAGCGTTTCATGTTGAAATTCAACATTTTTGCAATCATTCCAAAGTCTAAAACGGCAATATAAGTCCGACCACAATACTGGGCATCATTTAAATTGAATACGGTAGAATCTTGTAATTATAAAATGAAACCGAAAGTAGATTTGTTTTCATACCTAATTTATCATCATTACCCCCCTTAATGTGCGATCGACTGGATTTTCATGTGCCCATTATCTATCTTCATAGGATCAGCTTTAGATCTAGTGAATCGAAGATCTTAACTTGAGGGAGTTAATTGAAAATACTTGGTGAAAACTTACGATAGATCGGTCACTGTGAGCACCATTGATAAACCTACTGCGCATTACATCTGCGCATGCTGATGAAGGGGACGGCTCAAGGAAACTTGCTAACTTAGCGAAGGAATTTTGCGAACTTGCGAAGGAAACTATAGTTCGTAAATCTAGCGTGTGAACATTCAAGGAAAGATTTTATGCGGTAATTTAGATAAATATACGATCACTAAAATCCTTAGAAGGGAGTATGAAATTAATAAATTATTGTTCAATGTTATGTTCGTTCTATTGCATTTTTGATACGCCCCCTAGCACACGAGATAAACAAATCGAGGGATCGATCAATGTTTTCAAGTTTATCATTGAATCTGAATCACAGGGCTTTAAAAATTATATGAAATACCGAAATAAGAAAATGATCGGTAGGAAGGAGGCTCGATTGCGCTGAACGAAATGTTAGATTTCCGGAATTAGCAAAATTATAAATTTGATCAATCACGTATTTTCACGTATAGGGATCAATTTAACCAAGTACCAAGCGGGAATTTTGCATGTGAAACAAACGTGCGTCAGAAAGACTCGGTAGACAATGAATATTTGCGTCAGAGTTGCAAAAATGTGAGTAAAAAACGTAAAAAATTGCGTTAACGCCACCTCTGTTATGGTAAGAACTGATGTAAAAAAGTCACACCACCTTGGTGGGAATTGAACTCACAACCTTCCAAGTATTTAGAAAAATAAATAGTGGACTAGATACATAACAATTATAACAGTCCATTACTTCAAATAGGATAAAATGAAAGATCAAAGAAGAGAGACATTTTTCTTAAATATCCATACATGTGGTTGCAGGTTGAATATTCCTATCCTCCTCTCATAGAAGGTAACCCAGTGGAGAGTAGTGAACTGCCTGCACAGTGGAAACATCTTCCATCCTTGGCTTTGCCAGATGGAGCTCACAATCATGAGGAAGGTACATATGTAATCCATATATTTATAATGCAAATGCATGAATATATTTTCACACATAACTAGACATTCTATACCAATCATTTCATATAGTACTAGTAGTAGTCTGTTTAGCCATTCTGTTTTTACAAATGATGTAAATGTTGCTCTGCCTATCAGAGAAAAATAAAAATAAAGCAATCAAATATTTAAGGTGATATATTTAAAATCAATATTTGTAGATACAATATTCTTCCACTTGGAGTCAAGAGATGAGCAGAATGAAACAGTGTTTGGGATATCCTGCTATAGGCAAATTCTGGCAACAGTAAGTGACATTTGATTTACAAGCTTTTATACAAGGCCAAAGTATGGTTTAGGACATGAATATATCAGCACAAGTATTAAAAAAAGTATTAAAAAAAGTTAGAAAAGGGAACATTTAAAAGCAACAGGACAAGTGGAAACAAACCCAAACATCCTGAACATAATCTCAAACATCAAAAATAATTATGGATACTTATCATACTACACCAACTGCACTATGAAGTACACATTCAAGATGGACCATTCAGTGTCAACATGATGTGAGACATGCAGAATCTATAAGCAATCACTGAATCCCTTACATGCTTCATTTATTCTTTTCCAGGATTTAATCAACAGAGGGACTGATGTCACGAGGAATACTGTACAAAAGAGTGTATGTGTACTCAGCAAATATGTAAGCTATGCTTTATTTATATAATAATGTACTTCAAACCAGTAGATATAAATAGGTTATTTACTAGGAGGGATTGAATATGGGTTTTATTCTGAGGGACAATATGATATTGACCGAAGGGTATTTGTTTCATGTCAATACGATTTTTATTCCTTCACATTTCCCTGGGAAAACAGTAGTATTTAAGGAATAAATAATGATAGGCCATTCAATATGGTGAAATTCAGCACGAGTTGGACAGAATGTCGTACAAAGCACGAACCGAAGGTGAGTGCATTTGTACTGACATTCTGTCCAACGAGTGCTGAATTTCACCATATTGAATGGCCTATCATTATTTATTCCGATTCAAACATATAAAAAATGAAAACATTGTTCAGAGAATTGGGGATTGGAGCTACATGAGATACACCAAACTCGAGCTCGCTGTTATTTTCGCCATTCCAAGGTGTGACGTCACAATGCAAATACAATGCGTAGATTCCCGGATGATTGGATAGAGCACGGTCGTGCATCTATGGAGAATTAGAGAACGTTCTATATTGGCTATGCTGCATTCTGATTGGTTGAGAAATTCAATTAGAGCACGGTCATGTTTGAATATGGAATAAATGGGTATAACGAATGCATGATATATTTGTAGTTTGACCTACTTTTGCAATTTGACCTAATTCAAAAAATGAATGTAATGAGTCAGCATATGAGCCCACTCGATGGTGTCATTTTTATGTCACCACCAGGTTTTGTTGGTGGTTGGTGTCTGTAGCAAATTATCCAAATTATTGTATACATTATTTACAACTTATAAAAGATCATTTTCAATCTCTTTTGGTCTTACAAAAGAGTAAAAGTTTTGACCTTTAAGATTTATTATATATGAACTTGGTTTTAAAATAATTGGTTTGAAATAATGTTTCAGTATTGATGTTTGCAATGTTAAATAAAAGAAATTAGACAGATTAAATATTCTCTGTATTATATGACATTAGACAGAAATTGAACTATTTCCTTGTCATTGTAGCCTCTTTTTGGTCTGATCACTGCCAAGCTGGAGTTAATTACACATGCCTACTTCCAAGAGAGGGACTTCTCCCAGGTGTCCCTACTGGAAGAAACTTACAAGAATCTAAATATGAGTGTCACTGGTGCAAAGGATGATGCCCAGTGGTTTGTGGGTACGTGTATCATGTTTTTTTTGTCTATATTTTCTGAAGCGATAAAGCTGTTGAATTTTTTTTAAATTTTTATTTATTAACCTATTTTGGTACATTTAATTTTAATTCAAAATATTTGCCATATGCGTCTATTAACTTATTAGAGCATTGACATGTGATTTTAGGCCTGTCATCCCGGGAAGCAGTGATCCAGTTCAAACACAAAATCTTAGTTTTGTTTAAGTTGATGATGCTAGAAAGAAGGGTAAGATAATATCTGCAATTTTGTAAATGAAAGTATTAGCAGGAATTACATAAGATAGTAACATTAACCTCTTGAACATCAGGTTCTAAGCAATTTTTATTTTTGCCAGTTTTCTGACTCATATAAAATATATGACTCTACAGTTCTAAAACTTTTTCTTCAAATCCACATTTACTAATATAAAGATAATTTTTGATTATATCCAGACATGATTGTTTTTAAACATTCAGACACAAGATCTCACTCTTTGTATTTCACTTCCTCTTGATCTAGTGCAACTCATTTGTTCTGTCCCTCATGTACATTTATGAGCACCTCACTCAAGGTCCTGCTTTTGAAATTACCTCAATGCCGTCTGACTTATTACTTTGTTTTTTGTTCTCAAATACTGTAAAAAGACAAGAGAAATCACACTCTATACAAGCTACTTAAAAGATATTGATTTTGAAGCTTGGATTCTTAAGGAAGAAATAACACAGTAACACCATACCACTCTGTTTTCCAGGTGTTATTTTTTGGCTCCCCAGTGAAGAAATTATGTAACACTCTACTCTCTGTGTTGGCCCTCCACCCTGGTATGATAGAATGTGGTCTAAAAGAATCTGCCTGTTTAACCAAAGCATCAAATTGCGTAGCGTCATCTCTTAAAATAACCAACATAGGTAATAACATGGATAGTGTGGACAATTTCCTTGAAGTGCAATACAACAAAGAATCTGATAGAACAACTTTGGAGAGTAAATTAGAAGACAATGCTTTCATCAAAAATGATGCGCCTAAAAGTGATAACCAAAACCAGCTTGAAGAGACTCTGTCTGATGAGAATAAAAACATTCCACATGTGGATCATAAAAGCAGTGATAATGTTTCTAATGATGGTGAAAGGTTGACTCGTGAGTTGAGTGTAGGGAGTGACGTTAGTGAGAGAGATATCTCTGCAGTGATCTCTAGAGGACGACTAGCAAGTGATAAGCGTAAGGTTTTGGACAATAAGGGTCATGAGATAGTTTGTGAAGATCCTTCTCACAAGGAGCAGGCCTGTGATGTTAGTCAGATTACCCACATAGAGGCAATTCAGAGGCTATCATCACAAGATGGAGATGAAGCCATGTTAAGCAGTTCTCCTAAAGTTAGCTCTGGACCCCTGGATAATATTAATGACATCACACAAGTGAGTACAGTTTTCAATATTAATGACATCACACAAATTAATACAGTTTTCAGTATTTAATGACATCACGTGAGTTCATATAGTTTTCATTTTCATTGACTGAAGTAAATACAGGCTTCAGTACAAAAGACTTAACACAAGTGCATACAGTTTTCAATGTGTGTGTACAGAAGTGTGAAGTTTCTTGTTAATTTTTTGGAAAAGTTGCTCCTTAGCTCTAATTCCTTATTTGATTGTTTTGGCAGATATTTGAAAGAATTTTTTCATGCAATTATAGAAAAATGAAGTTAAATATAAAGGTACATTAGGCTACTCTTAAAACAACCCGAGTTGGTGATCAACTGATCAAGAATTTCAGGATAGCTATTGTTGCTCTACAGGTTGAACCAGTGCAAGGTTTGCGTGTAGATGTCACTCAGCCAATACCTATCAATGTCCAGGACCTTGACACACCTGAGAGCATCCAACAGATAGACAATGAGGACCTTTTCTCCTTTGAGGAGGACAAGTTACTTCTAACAATGGAAGGCACTGACACCAGCAGCACCAGGACACCAGATTCCGACATTCCAGATTTATCAATAGGTGGCACTAGTGTTGATCCAGATAAGAAAGGACATGGCTTGTACATTGCCACTTCTGATCCAATGAACAATATGTTTAACAGTGAGGACAGCTTCCAGGACATATCTCTGCTGTCAGATAAAGACACACCAAAATCAGAACTTGCACCTGTGCCAATCATAGCTCGTAAAGACAGCCAATCCAGCATCAATTCCTCAAACTCTATTAAGTCCAACAACAGCAACATTAGCAGTAAGACTATGCTGTTGAAGGGTAAACTCACAAGTGTATTTGGATTTAAAGGAGGTCAGAAGCAAGAAGTTGAACAAAAGAGTGAAAGTCCTGAGATAATAGAAAGACCCCTCTCTCCAACTACTCTAAATCTTGATGACTTTGGCCTACCTCTCTCAATCTATACAAAGGTAACTTAGAAATTATAACATCTTTTATTCATTTTTTAGAGAAAATTCAATGTAAGAAATTCTTGAAATCCATTACATTGTAACATCACTAACATGGCATGATTTATGAATTTTTATCTGTTATTTTGACTCACATTAGGTAGTAAGCTAGGACACAAAAATGTTTTTACCAGTGAACAAATTGAAATTACTTGTTTCTTAAGTATTTTTATGTAATACTTCAGAAATTTGTTGTCTGACGCGCCGTATCCGGGGCGAAAGTTGCCAAAGTGGGGTTTTTGACCCTAATATAGAAAATAACAGGGGGTACTTTATTATCCTTGAATAACTTTTTCAGTTGATCTTTAATCATCACAATAACTTTACTGGAAGTTGTTAATATCATTCTTGATTAGTATGCAAAGTTTCAATGATCTGTCATTAATGGTTGTCATGGAAACCATGATCTTTGTTGAAAATGTCCATAATTTTGGTAAAACCTGTACCTGTACATCATAAAGAATGGGCATTATTTTTCAAATCAACAGATATCAGAACATGTTAGGACTCTAAAAATTATCAGGACAGTTCAGACATTTGTTTAAATATAATGGATATTGTTATTCACATGATTGGTAAGTGTCAAAGACCATACAATTACAAAGGTGATCAAAAGTGGGCGTCGCCCTTATAATAGTAGATGATTACCATTCCCTTTAAATACAGATTTTAAGTTGACTTGAGATACAATTATAATGTACTTCTATTGCCATAATCTATATCAAGCAATTCTGGTAGATACATATAAGTGTTGTAGGTATTACATCATGCTTGGGATGGTGGGTACATTGGGGGGGGGGGGGTGGTAGAGGTACCCAGCCTTATATACAACTCATATACAAAGTTTAATTTCATGTAGTACATCTTTTGGATCTTGATCTGATTTATCTCAATATATAGGATATTGCAATTTACATTATTGGAAAGTGTATAAGACCATACAATACAACAAACATAAGTGTTTAAAAGTGGGGTTTGCCTTCATAATAACTGGGTTCATACACCTTTTTTAAAATGAAATTCCGTGACATTTCCAGGCAAAAAAGGAAATTCTTGCGCAGCCTACTAAAAAGTGTCAAACAACTGTACAAGACTTATAATGAAACATTTTACCCAGTACCCAGTAAATGTCAAGGGGGTGAAATTTTTCGGGTTTGCATCACTATGAGTGAAGCGAAACCCAAAAGGGAATACTGGGGTTCACCTCCCTGTAAATGGTGCATTCTAAGCATTTCAAACTATAATTTGTCAACTACTGGTCATTGTTAACATTATATGATAACAATAACCTGGCATTACTATTGTCTTCTCCCTTTGGGAAAATGTACACCAAGACATGACACCATTCTAGAAATTTCTTCTCTAGTAGCGTCACTATACGGAATAGTCCTATGATACCAAATAAAAAATTCTGTATTTGTGTTATCAGGAATATTACCTCATCTGAAAACAGCAACTTTTTGAGTAGCAACAAGCTTTTTTCTTGAACAGAGTCATGTTCCCATCTGCAAAATAAATCTGAACCAAAAATGGTGAGTGTCTTTTTGAGCAGAGGCCCCATATAACCAAAGCATCAGTATATAAAGTTTGATATTTGAGTTATTGCCTTGACAGATGGGCAGGTGAATAGACTGACTGTAAGACAGCTTTTCATATAAATACAGTTTTACACAGAATCGTTATTGTTTTTCACCACCCACCCTCCTCAGATTAAACCCTCAACAAAACATGAAACATATACCAATAATTAACTATGAATGGCCTAAGACAACTTACTACAAGGAAAAGCATAATTGTATTGAACCATCTATACATACTGTATATGTATATTCTTTATTGTTCGGTTCCAGTATAGTGTTCACAATGTTCTTATAAACAGACAATACCAGATAGATTGTCATCCAATCAACCCTAATGAAAATATTTCCAATTAGTGGAAACAACTGAATGTTAGAATTTGAATTTCATTGATATCCTGTCATAGCCTAAAATGTATTTTGCTGGAACATTATATTTTCAACATTGATACAAAATACCCTGACATATCTACTGTTTCAAAATTCCCGGACATTTTTGTCTCTTTTTGACCCAATTTTAACATTCCCTGACATTTCCAGCACCTGGAAAAATCAATTTCCCTGTCATTCCTCATCGTGAGAAATGAAATCTTTCTATTCTAAATTCTAAATATGGAGTATAACTTATAAGATACAATTATACTGTATTTCTGTTATATTACCATAATTCATATCTAGCATTTCTGGAAAACACATATAAGTCTTGAAGTGGGGGGATAGAATGGGTGGGGGGGGGGCAATGCTAGTCAGCCTTAGGTATAAATCTCATCAACATAATTTTGTGTCTGATAGTCAGTACATTTCTTGGCCTTGCATTTTCTAAGCATATTGTGGTCTTTTCCAATCATTTAACATTAATTGGCATAGTTGCTTCTTGTTTGCATCATTCTTCAAGAACTCATTCCAATCTTTTGGGACTCTTATATTTCTCCCTTTGGTTAAGTTGCTGCCAAGCCTCTTCTCATCCTTTCATACCAAAATATGTGAAGCCCTCCCAGCATTTCACGCTTTCACTGGGTGTAACACTGTGAGTGCCTTGGTTCGGAGGGGCAAAAACACCTTTCAAAACAATGGCAAAGGGGGAGCATCATACAGACACATTCAAAGGACTAGGACTCTCAGCAGACATAAATGACCAAACAACCAGTAAAGTAGAAAAAGTAAATGGTGTTTCATATGTATGCACCTCATACATTTAACTCATACATGTAGCTTTGCCACCCTATCATGATGATGATATATATCATTTTGTTCCTTATGAAAAGTTACATGGGACTGGAAAAAGATACAATCCAACAAAATATGTGGGTATGGGGTCATTTATAAGTAGTTTTGTAAGGATTTTTATGCCAGTCCGGTTATCTGTTCACTGTGTCTGCTACCCAATTTTAGTGATAAAGGTGGTCCCATGAATCTTGTCTATATATCTTTGTGCATAACTGCCACAGACATGTGGACTGAGCTCTGCCATGGTGACAATAGCAAGAAATGTGCAAAACGTAAACTAAATTTGTCCTTTAAATTGTCCTCAAAATCACCAGAAATTGCCATCTAAATGACCGGTACCCACAATCTTTGATAGATTATAACTTTTGTCAGTGACACCCCTGGATTCTGAAACTTTGGAATCCTATGTAACTTTCCATGAGGCACAAAATGATATATAATATGATACGGTGGCAATGCTACATGCATGTTTAGAGGGGGTGCATACATATGAAACACCCTGTATACTAGTATGAGAAACCTCAAATATCCCACATCAACAAAGCCAGATATGTGTTATTTAAAGAGAAGTTTAGGCCCCATACTAAACCAATAACTGACAATGAAGGAACAGATATTACTTTACCTCCCCCTTGTCAAGACTCCCCATGCTTCACTTAGCAAGGGCCAACTTACAGGCACTTATCTGGCGTATGGCCCATTTTGAAAAAGCTAATATTTCAGCACCAGATGGGCATGGGTGGAAACTTAATGATTCTAAAAAACCTGGAAGTTCAATGGGTAACAACAGATATTCTACCACAAGAGATTGTTGATATCTTAACACCAGGGGAAGAATCAGAAGATGACCCAGGAGATTGACCCTATAAGATCCAAAATTATGTTGATGAGATTTATAACTAAGGCTGACTAGATTTGCCCCCCCCCACATTGCCCCCCCCCCTCCCCCATCCTGATGGAATAACATCAATACTTAAATGTGTTTTCTAGAAATGCTTAATATGAATTAAGGTTATAGAAATCCAGTATAATTGTATCTCATAAGTTAAACTCCATATTTATAGAAAATGGTGGTCTTCTATTTTCATTATGAGGGCAAAGCCCATCTTTGATCACATTTGTATTGTAATTGTATGGTCTTTGACACTTTCCAATAATGTAAATTGCAATATCCTATATATTGAGATAAATCAGAACAACATCCAAAAGATGTGCCACATGAAACTAAAACTTTATATATGAGTTTTATATAAGGCTGGGTACCTCTACCCCCCCCACTGTACCCCCCCCCCTGACCCCTCCATCCCTAGCTTGATGTAATACCTACAACACTTATATGTTTCTACCAGAATGGCTTGATATAGATTATGGTAATAGAAGTACATTATAATTGTATCTCAAGTCAACTTAAAACCTGTATTTAAAGGGAATGGTAATCATCTACTCTTATAAGGGCGACGCCCACTTTTGATCACCTTTGTAATTGTATGGTCTTTGACACTTACCAATCATGTGAATAACAATATGCATTATATTTAAACAAATGTCTGAACTGTCCTGATAACTTTTAGAGTCCTAACATGTTCTGATATCTGTTGATTTGAAAAATAATGCACATTCTTTATGATGTACAGGTACAGGTTTTACCCAAATTATGGACTTTTTCAACAAAGATCATGGTTTCCATGACAACCATTAATAACAGATCATTGAAACTTTACATACTAATTAAGAATGATATTAACAACTTCCAGTAAAGTTATTGTGATGATTAAGGATCAACTGAAAAAGTTATTTAAGGATAATAAAGTACCCCCTGTTATTTTCTATATTAGGGTCAAAAACCCCACTTTGGCAATTTTCGCCCCGGATACAGCGCGTCAGACAACACATTTCTGAAGTTTCACATAAAAATACATAAGAAATAAGTAGTTTCAATTTGTTCACTGGTAAAAACATTTTTGTGTCCTAGCTTACTACCTACATGGTAAGGATATGTGAGAGTAATTTTTAAAGGTTTTCATTTGAGAGTTTTTCATTTCAGGGTTCATTGTGTCATCCCTACTTGTCCCTACAGTATTATGATCTTCTTGTGGATGTCAATGTAAGATGTCTTGTGATAGGGGCAACCAACATGCTGTTTAAACATAAAACTGCCCTCACTGACGTCATTGTTGAGGTAAACTTCTAGTTGATGTTTGTTATTACATTCATTTTATATTCACAAATGAAAACTTAAGATGTTCATATTACAAACATTCATATTATAAATTCAAAAATAGTAATAGCTATTAATAGCAGTAATAGCTAGTCACATTGTTGACTAAAAAGGGAATCATGGAATTGGTACTACATTACCTTGGTCCATTACTTAGTTGGAAACCAACTCAACAACACTTTACTTAGATAGCTGTAAAAGTAAATCAAGTCACAATTTATTAACTGTTTGGTTAGTCTACTGAGCTAGCCTGCTTACCAAAAGGTTTCAGACTTTTCCATTACAGAGTGTCATCATAATGTTGAGTTGTACTTAAGTGTTCGTTAAGTGTCTGTTACAATTTCTTACAACTTCCAATGACTGGTGGTGACATTTTGTCATGTTAATGCCTTGTTCATATTTGTAGTTTGATGAGAACAAGATTGAGATTCATGACCCAGAGCTGAGGAAACAGCTGAACCTTTCTACTGCAGATCTAAGATTTGCTGACTACATTGTACAGACTGTTCATGAGGACCAGGGGGACATTTTTGTTGATGACACAAGTAAGAAGAATACCTTTTTATGGAGAGTAATGATAATGCTGATCAGTCCAGTGCACATCCCAAGGAATATGACTTATTATGTTATTAGATCCATTGTAAATGAATGATGGATTGCCTTGAATCTTTGGTTTGTGCATTGGAGTGTAATTACAAGTACAGAGCTTAAGGCATTTGGAAATAATGCTTAAATGAGTACTGATGCTTTTTGAATTTTTAAACATTGAAAACATGTATTAAATCACTGATTTTTATATTTCCATGATTAAACCGTCTTTATATGCATATGAATGAAATGTTGTTCACATTTAAAGCCTGCCATCAGCCATCAAGTGAATGCATAGGTTTGTAACTAGGGCTTATCTCTCTTCTGGTAGTAACAGTGGTCATCTATAAATACGAAACAGAGAGGATTTCTGTTACAAATAGAGATTAACACAATTAACAAGCTCGAACTTAAGGACATAACCTTGGATAACATTGAAAATGATGTATTGGGATAGAAATTGATTTTTATACGAGATCCAAAGTGCCATCCCCTTATTATGTCAAAAATTGACCCCTAGGGGTCTCTGGTTGAGAAAAAAGCACAGAAACATATGGTTTTCCAGGGAGCATCCTTATAAATGTTGTTGAAGAAAAAGCATTTGAGAATGAACATGACCATTGTTACTTGTAGAATGAGAGACGTGAATTGTGTGATGTAAATGTTTAAGCTCATACTATTCATTAGACAAATTCTGTGTTTGAGACATAATTTCTTTTGATTTTATATGCAAACTTTCATTTTTGGTTTTAGGGTTTAGTTAAATTTTCTTAACGATGATATGTAGAGTGTTGTTTCTAATAATAATTCTTTCATTTTCTGAATTGTAAATGCACGATTCGAAATGAAAACTCACAATTATTTCATCATGTACAGGTGGAAAGAAAGACAGCGTAGGTGTGTATATCACTGCTACATTGGTACATCTTGCATGCTATTTTGTTAGACTTTTATGCTTCTGTTGACTTTAGTTGGTTTTATTTGCTTGATACATGTACATGAAAGTGCCATGGTAGAACTGAGAAACGATTATTTCCAGAAATAATTTTGAAATTGAAAAATGTTTCTGTTATGAAATTATTAATAATTGTTATTTTTATTTTATGGGATCATGAATGAAGGTCAATCTTGGTGCATTGGATAACAAATTAATAACACTGGACTGCATTCTAAGTTTCTGGATGTTTCTAACATGTTCCACTCATCTGAAATGTTGTTCCATTGTTTCTTTGTTATATTTTTCTTGTTTTTATACATTATCTTCATATACTCTTTGAAAAAGAATCATAATACCAGGCAAATGCCCTGCAAAAAGTCCAATGTTTTTGACTTTAGGGCAAATTTAAAAATCATAAAAGTTGCAGCAGTTTGAATGACATAATACAGAAATATGTTTTGAGGTGTATTGGAACTTGCCACAGATTTCACTTCTAATCTAAGTGCATCATAATTACCATATATAAAGCTTTTTGCTCATATCATCTACATTTTCATCAAATGTTGAAAATGCATCTATATAAGGCTGAACAGAAACAAGCTATAAATGGTGGAAGATACTTTTTAACTAACTTATCTTCGCAAAGATCAATGCTCAAATTTTACTGGAAAGTGGATTGAGGACTGTCTTAAGAATATATTGCTACAGGGTTGTATTGATAATAGTATACTGCTACATATTTAAGTTCAAATGAAATTCTATACAAATTAGAAGTAGAGTAACATATAAATAGTACAACTACTTGTGATAACTAATAACCACCCTAATTAGCTCCAGTTTATTATGTCACCACCAGAAGTTGTGACATATTGTTATAGTCTCCAAGTTTTTGTCGCCAGTGTTCAGTGGTTGGTGTTTGGTCTGTAACAGTGTTTGGTGGTCGGCATCTGTAACAGATTCTTACAACTTCCAATAACTTAACAAGCACATGTACTGTTTAGACTGACTTCAGATTTTTACTCTTAACATATATAAACATATATCTGAAGGTCAAAATAGGTATTTTTTCAACTTGCTTCAAATTGACCATTTTTCAAAAATCATCTCCAAGTTCCTAAAGTTCAAATCTGACATTCATTGAGATTTGACCTTCATCTATAACAATTGTTTCACTTTTGTAACCATTTGTAGGTGGTGACATTTTTCTGTTAATTTTTCTGTTTTCTGTTAATATACTAACTCAATCATAAGTAGATATTCACATATAACATGTACAATTATACTTGTTTATAGCTTCCATGCAATATGGTGTCTATTGTATGTGTTGTCATTTTTATGTTGGTTTATTGCACTGTATATGTAATAGATTTGTTTGATTTGACACAACTTTTTAACATTATATCAGCCATTAATACTGTATTCACAATATATTCACAACATGTTTTGTCATAAATACAGACATAAAATAACCGAAGGACTATACATGTTCTAGATGATGAGGCTGAGCTATTTCAGTATTTGATTTTGTTTTACATTTTTTAACAAAATAGTAAAGTTAACATGCACTCTTACCCATGGTTGAACCTGAACAGGAATTTAAGATATATGAAAATACATGAAAAAACACAAAAACTATAACACTTGTGTTGTAAAGGGGTATACTTTCTATGAATCTAAGTTTTTGATCACATGAATGTCCCATGCATTGTAATGCCACTCAACATCACAACATCATCCTCATATTTACTATCTCTGTTTATCAGGTTGGGAAGGTGGAGATGAGTGGCTGAGAGCTCAATTCAAGACTTACACATTGTCTTTGCTGGCAACCACACTCTCAGATGGTAAGTCCCCCCCCCCCTTTTACTAATGTACTGGTGCTCTAACATCCTCCCATAGTTAAAGGTTGGCTCCTGACCTTCTCTATGCAGTTGGTAAATGAGTGTTGGATTTTGACCAGAGGTGTTGTGATATTGTTTTACATCTCCAGAAAGGAAAGAAGGACAATACAATGGAAAGAATTAAAGCAAGTGGTGGCATTTGTTTATTCTTCAGCTTTATGAGCTACATAGCAACTCCCTTATTGAGGAGGTTTAAAAAACTGCTAATCTGGTGATTTTTAATTAATCTGGTGGTAATTATGACATTGGTTGAAAATTTGAATATAATCCAACTATAGTACCCCGGACAGGTTGAATGATGCAGTTGTGTTTTTACTCTATATTTCCAATAGAACAACCATTCTTAATGAAATTTTCGTATTTGATTCTGGGGACAATTTCCAACATGGAAAATAAATATTTTAACGAAATTCCAAATTTTGTGATTTTTATCAGCTTTTTTCATAAAGATGCCACTGTCAATAAAATACAAGTTTTTTCTTGAACAATTGAACTTTTAACGTCATTTCAAAGATTGTCAAGCTATTGAACTAAAGTCTTTCCAGATGTATTTGATGCCATATTGATTACGGCTGATTATTGTTATTCATTTTTGTCATATTCAATAGGCCTATTGTTATTACAGTGCATTAGGCCAATGAAAAACTTGTCACTCTGGGTCAAGTTTCCTCGGATAACAAACCTTTTTCGCCACTGGGTTTTTCCGCCGCTGTCACTCAGCATGCAACCCTGTGGCACGTAAATTGTACCATGCTTTGAATATGTCAGGTTTCCCTGACAATTTCATGATAGAATGTGACAAAGCTATATTAACATCTCTGAAGGATCTAATGCCAGAAACACTTGAAGTTGGAGATTTGTAATGTTTTACCTCATTTTGGACAGTATTGAACAGTTCAGTCTGAACTCCTGTCCATTGACAAGAAGATTGACCTCCTCTATCTGGGGTAAATCTAGGGAACGCTTCACAAAATGAGACCCAGAGCAACACGTTTTTTATTGGTCTAATGCAATGTAATAATATTGAATATGACTAAAGTGAATAACAATAATCAGCCATAATTATTAATATGGCAACAAATATATCTGGAAAGACTTTAAGTGGCCGAAAATTCTACAGCCAGACAATATTTAGAATGACGTTATAAGTACAATTGTTCAAGCAAAAATCTGTATTTTATTGACAGTGGCATCTTTTTGAAAAAAGCCGATAAAAACCATAAAATTAGGAATTTTGTTAAAATATTAATTTTCCATGTTGGAAATTGTCTCCAGAATAAAATGTGAAATTTTCAATAAGAATGGTTGTTCTCTTAGAAATATAGAGCAAAAACACGACTGCATCATCCAACCTGTCCGGGGTATTGTCAATAGAAATTATTAAAAGTGAGTCATTATAGATAATCTCTAATGCTGGGCAATTTTAAAGTTATTATGATTATGACAAAATCTAAAATGTGTCATAAATTGCTCCCAATGAAATAATTAAAAAAAACATTTTTTTTAGATGAAAAGGCTCTGGATGATTATAACAGTCATTTCATGAATGCTTGGCGTACAACACACAACTACAGAATGTGGCAGAACACCCCACATGACGCCATCAAGCAAGTGGAACCAGGGTTAGTAGAGATATGCTCCTTAAAACTTGCATGTTTTCAGTGAACCTTGGAAACTAACTAAACTTAAGTCAATGAAAATTGATAATGGGAACAAGATGGGGTATCAAATTAATCAATTTAATATTTTTCAGATTTTGTAAGATTGCATTCTATACCATTTATTCAGTTCAGGAACATTCTGGATGTGTAACAGAAGCTCTGGTCTGTTGGACATGTTTGTTCAATACAACCGATGATTTTCCGCATGTATATGGCACAAAAAATAGTTTTTTGGCTCACACAGTGAGCCTATGGGATCAACCAGGCGTTCGTCCGTCCGTTGGTCCATCCGTCCGTTGGTCTGTCCGTCTATCCGTTGGTCCATCCGTCCGTCAACATTGGCCGCACAAATTAAAACTGCTATTTGGATTGAGTCATATCCACATTCATTTTATGCATATCCATAATGCCCATTTGACCTATCATTGCCATTTCCCAAGTTTGCCCGGTTTCCGATAAATTGCTGATTTTGAAGTCAAAAAGTCAAATTTTCTGTAAATACTAGACACTTTGTTGAAGTAGAACTTTCAAATAACTTGTAGTAGTTGCTGTATATGCAACTTATGTCCTCTGAAGATTTCAAAGCTCTTAGAATTACAGTTTTTGGTGTTTACTCTATAAAATTTGACAAAAAGTAGGACTTCTCATGGCAGGTTTTGTGATTGACAAGTTTCTCAAAGTTTGCCTTATACTTGATCATTTCTTGAAATGAATTACATCATTACTAGATTTAAGCATTCCCTACATTTATTATGTCATAATCAAATGTTTACCGTTTTTGAGAAAAAACAGTCAAAAAACAGTAAAAATAAGTTATTTTTCAACTTACTTCGATTTGACCAATTTTTTGGAAAATCATCTACAAGTTGTCAGGAGTTCAAATCTGACATCAGTTTTAGGATTTGACCTTTACTTGACCTTCAGTGACCTTCGAAAGGTCAAAAAGTTGATTTTTCAAATTGATTTTTGGATGTAAATTTTGGTCAACTTAATCACAAAAGACCTTACTGAGCTCTGAATAAGTAAAATTTTCAAGGTCAAAGGTCATCAAACTAGGTCACACAGACACACAACTGTGCTATCTAAGTTCGAGACTACAAATACAAATCAATATTTTTGTTTGAAAGTCAGGATATACATTCCTCTGAAGGTTCCAAACCGTGTGAGCACAGGACCTTGGGTCCTTTATTAGATCTGAGATTGTTCACAGTGTATCACATTTGGTTCTAGACATCCATTCCGTGGGCAGGTGAATGTGGCAGACATGAAACTGAGGCTAGCGCACACAATGCAATATACAACTGGTGGCAAAAGAATCAATGCAGCTGTTATGTCAACTGGCAAAGCTATGTCTCAAACTGGCAAAGTTGTTGGTGAGTACACTTTTATCTACTGGCAAAGCTATGTCTCAAACTGGCAAAGTTGTTGGTGAGTACACTTTTATCACGACTTCTTGCACAAAAAATTCAACATTTTCTTTGTCTATTGAAGCAGCATTCCAATTGAACTTTCTGTCTGTCTGCAAACATGATGCATGTAACATAAAACATAACATGTAGAATAAAACATTAATTATTTTCAACATAAACATTAATCTTTGAACCTAGAAATTGTTACAGATTTCAAATATTGACCTTTGTGTTTTATTACAGGAGGAGCACTAACCAATGCAAAATCTGCAGTGTCTTCATGGCTAGGCTGGCCTAGGAACCAACCAGAAAACTCAACATGATCTGTATACATATTGAATGTGACCCAAGCAGAATTGTTTTGAGGTTGAAACAATAGGTGGTATCGACAGGAACACTCTACCTGAGTTTCAATGCATTCTGACATATAGTGACATGACACTTGTGTACAATTGTAGACATGACACTTGTATATAACTGTAGACATGACACTTCGTAACAGTTGTAGTTACATGGCATTTGGTAACAGTTGAAGTGATGTGACATTTTGTTACATTTGTAGTGGCATGATACTTGTATGTATGTGTATACTACAGCTGCTACATGTGTGGTACTATAGCTGCTACTTGCATGTGTAGTACTACATCTGCTACATGTGTGGTACCTCAGCTGCTACATGTGTGGTACTACAGCTTTTAACATGTGTGGTACTATAGCTGCTACACATCTGGTACAACAGCTGCTACATATGTACTACTACTGCTGTTACATTTGTAGTACTACATCTGCTACCTGTGTGATAATGCAGCTACTACATACATGTGTGGTACAACATCTGCTACATGTGTGATACAACCTCTGCTACATGTGTGATACTACACCTGCTACATCTGTAGAACTACAGCTACTAGGAGAAGATACAATTGAGTTATACTTTGTAATGGAAGTGGTCACAATCCAATTTTAACCATTAAAGTTGAATGGGGATGAGAATTTTATTCATTATCTGTTCAAATTTTGCAGTTAATGATGGTTTTTCAAGAAAATGTATAAAAGTTAGATTTAGTAGAGGGCGTGATAAGAGTTTCAAAATGCTTCCTAACGTTAGATAATGTAGGTAGAGGTAGAAGGGGGGGGGGGGTAACAGAAGTGTCCCAGAATGTTACCTAAATGATAAAAGAAGGTAAAGGAGGTAGTAGGGGAGGTATGGAATTGTCCCATGTCCCAGAATACTACCCTTAGTGAAAAATCCACTTCATATGACTGATTATTATGATTACAATTTCTAATAATTGTAAAAATTGTATTTACATCAGTTTACTGATTTAACCCCAGAAAAATAGTAATTTTAAAGTGAAGGTACATGCATGTATACAAAACCTTTAAGCCAAATGTAATATGTAATATGCAATTTAAATTTTGCAGTATCGATGTATAATTTGTACTTGTTAAAATATGTCATAGTCCTTTGTTGTAGGCACAATAGATATATTCAATAAACCACTCTGCCTATTTGCAGTAACAATAACCACACATGTTTAGTGGTCTATTCATACATTGCAAGTACTTTCAAGTATTTCCTGTATTAGCCATCTTGTAAATGGCTAACATGTTACGTCTGTGTGTACTGATAGCTTCACTGTTTAATTAATTTTAATTATTGTTTATTAATTTTGATAGAGAACGTGTTTTTAATATCCATTACAATAGCTTTGCTATGTTCTTCATTATTACCAAGTTGCATGAGATGCTTCACATTATAATATAAAAGGCATACCATTGAGTTAAATCATAGCAAGAGTTTAAATCTTTATTTTTTGTAAAATAGTAAAAAACAGGTTTTTGAAATTGAGCATAATTGTAAATTAATATTGAATATTCTATGTATTGCATCATAATATACCATTATGCAGGGAGAGGTCTAAATGACTAAATAAATGAATTAGCCATATAAGAATCAGAAAAGGACCAAGATATTTTGAGTTTGGCAAGTATTTGATTTATCTAAGGGATGGAGTCCAAATATCAGCATGTCAAAATCCTGTTTCAGGTCTTAGACTACATTTGTAACAAACATTAGTTTTAGCAATGAGTTAATACTGTATTTGCAATGAAGTTGTAGAATGTCCTTTGAAAGTTTTTGATGTGAAAGCATTCATGAAATGACTTCTGTATGAATGAAGTCTCATAACTTGTTTTGAATTGTTATAGAATAGTTTCTGAAAGGTGGGGATGGGGAAGATTAGCGGCTCTCTTTGTAAGATCATAATGGGAAAGATCATAATGGGGATGACCATAATGGGGATATCATGGTTTGTTTTGTTATGATTGGTTTTACTCTGAAATTTTCTTTTTTTCATCTTTCCCATTTAAGTTTACATATCTCTAAATTAATGATGTTCTTTAATAGTATGCTTTATTTTGATATCTTTCTAAAGGTGCCTTCAGCACCTCATTGTTGGTTGTGTTATTATTCAAGGTTGTTATAAATAATATATTGTTATGTTTGATACGTAGTGATAGCTTAGATTTTATTAACCACAGCTGGAGGTCTATTTATCACTTTACTATTATATGGGACTATTTATTAAAATAAAGAACACTAATGACAATATTACACTGTTGTTTATTATTTATTATATTGAAACATTTTATATTCTGAATACAAGAGCCTGATTATATACTTATGAGTGTGTTATACACCCCCAACCCATTCAAGTCTGAGATATAAGAGGGCAGCAAGTGTACATTTCTGTAATTGTATTTGGAACAGTTTGATGAAACACTAACATGTATACATACAATGTTTACAAGCTTGAAAATAAATACCAAAGAACTCATCATTTACCAACCTACAGTAAAACCTGCCTGTGTCAGCACTTCTCCCTGAATGGAATACTATCTGAATAATATACACTTTTCTTGATAAATAAGGCAATATGCCACTCCTTGAGATTTTCAAATATTTTTTAAATATCAAATTACATCAGAAAAGGGATGGATCGGTTTGAAAAGTATAACAATAGGCAGGCTATACTGTATGTCCATGGAGATCAATCCTTCATTGTTGTACAGAAGTAAGCAATGAACAAACCCTGCAGACATTTCCATGTCAAATGTCAACACATGCTAAGGACAGTATAATAGTATTGGAGTAAAATACACAGCAATGCCCATCAATGTCACTATACTATTACAGCCTGTCACATTACATTACTATCACAGTGTTTACAGTCATCTTCGCACGCTCGCTCTTCACTGCGACAGGAGCCGAGTGAACGAAGATGGTTTACACTGTATTACAGTCTGTCACTGTACTATTAATGCCATTTTTAATATGAGCCACTGATATGACATGTATGACAAATCTTATAAAAATTGCACAAAACATCTAATGCATTTTAATCAATGTAATCCCACCTTGATCCGTCATATCAAGGTATTTCATATATTGACTGAAGGAATACACTGATTTAACAGTATGTGTAATCCTAAATGAATGAAGTATGTGTAATACCATCTGATTACTAGATATACAGTAAAACCTGTATATAGTGTATAGTGAACATCTATGGAGCAACAAAAAAAGTGTTCACTGTAGGTAGGCATTCACTACGGAGAGGGAATTCAATACAGGAGTAAATGTTAAATGTGTGTTGAAGTGATGTTCACTAAACACAGGTGTTCACTAAGACAGGTTTTACTGGAGTATATGAGATATGAACATAATGTATGCCATTTATGCCATAATGCATCAAAATCAAAATGAAACCCATGCTCGCAGACATATATTATATTATGAAGGGAAAATACATAACGCAAGTGACACACCATGTAGCTGACACACCAAGAAGGTGACATAAGGATGTAGCAGACATAGAGAATTATGAAACACCCATTGAACACATAATTACAGATCTGTATTGCACATGTATTTACCACTCTTTCTAGTATATGTAGTATTCAAAGCTCTGTTTAGTACATGTATTTACGGCTGTCTAGTAGATGTAATATTCAAAGCTCTGTATAGTACATGTATTGACAGCTCTGTCTAGTATATGTAGTACTCAAAGCTCTGTATAGTACATGTATTGACAGCTCTGTCTAGTATATGTAGTACTCAAAGCTCTGTATAGTACATGTATTGACAGCTCTGTCTAGTATATGTAGTATTCAAAGCTCTGTATAGTACATGTATTGACAGCTCTGTCTAGTATATGTAGTACTCAAAGCTCTGTATAGTACATGTATTGACAGCTCTGTCTAGTATATGTAGTATTCAAAGCTCTGTATAGTACATGTATTGACAGCTCTGTCTAGTATATGTAGTATTCAAAGCTCTGTATAGTACATGTATTGACAGCTCTGTCTAGTATATGTAGTATTCAAAGCTCTGTATAGTACATGTATTGACAGCTCTGTCTAGTATATGTAGTACTCAAAGCTCTGTATAGTACATGTATTGACAGCTCTGTCTAGTAGATGTAGTATTCAAAGCTCTGTATAGTGCTATCAGTTATCAAACGTTTCAGCATGTGTACTCCAGGTAACTATTATAATTTTGTGTGTTTTGAAAGTTCACTTTGAAATAATATGATGTCACACTGTTGTATTCGTACTTGTAAGTGAAATAATATGATCATACTTTTTATTTTAGCTACGAAGTGATATAACCAGTGACGGCATAGAGTTACTATTGACTCCGTAGTAATACAGCCCACCGTATCACATGAAAATCAGTCACATGTCATGTGATACAGAATATACATTGTCACAATTGACCAATCAAAATGCTTAGAAACTCCTAACCATGTGATAAATGTATTTACAGCTCTGTATAGTACATATTGAGTGCAACATCAAGGTCCATATCTGCCTGATTGACATAATGTCTTGCTATTGATGAATTAACCACCCCAGTTATCTTGCAGAAATCAGCTATTTGGCATGCACGCACTTTTTCTATGGCCAACCTATCTTCCTGTGTCATCACAACTGGTGACTCTGAAATAATATTCTTGAGTAGTTATTTTGTTCTATCTTTCACAAAGATCTCGAGGGCTTTGTCAAGGTCCATGTTGGCCTTGTTTATGTACTGTCTTCCTATGTGGTAGAGAACTCCAGTCTTCTCACAGAACTCAGATATCAGTAATGCACGTACACATTCTATAGCATGCCTGTCTTCCTCTGTTTGAAATATTATTGGTGATCCTACAATGATATATTCGTATTCACATCTACATCAAAGTCCTAAACTGAGCAAAAAATTGCAAGGCATCAAAATGCAAAATGTCACAACCTGCCATTTGTTACAGATGCTGACCACCGAATACCATCCAAAAAAGTTGAAGATTGTAACAATATGTCACCATTTATGGTGGTGACATAAAAATATTATTATACAGAGTGAGGCAAAAGGTGACCCAAACAAATTTTAATAATTCAGCAATACAGTCATACAATCATATTTGGCACACTTAAATCTTGTTCTATTCCTGATGGTCACGATTTGATGGCTATTTTATAAAACATGCAGGTTTAAATGTGCAAAATATGACATTAGACAGATGCTGAATGACTGAGTTTTTAATAAGCATTTGTTTGGGTTACCCTTTTTGGCTCACCCTGTATGACATGTTATGGCATAAATCAAAAAGATAAATGTCCTAATTACTAGTAATGTGTGTTTAAATTGAAAATATGAGGACTTTTAGCTATCAAATTTGACATCAATGTCTTTTGAGAAAGAATATGGTATGTAATATTGTTTTGCCTACTCCTGTAGTGATCACATGTAAACTTACTTCTAACAGGCTTGGGTGGTGTCACACCTGGCTGAGGTGTCACAACTGGAGGTGGGGAAGTGTCAATACTTCTTGCTCCATCCTGAAGTAACAGAGAAACCCCAAGATTAAATCACAGTTTGGATCATACACATAATTATTTATATGGATTATGTATGTTATAGGATCACAATATAAGCCTAGGATTACATTTGCTAAGATTGCAATAATGCTAGGATCACAATGGTGCAAGGATAACAATAAAGCTAATGCGAACAATGGTTCTATCACATTGGTGTTAGAACCACATTGGTGCTAGGATTACAATGGTGCAAGACCCACAATGACGCTAGGTTCATAATGTTCCTAATATCACGAATATTGCAAAGATCACAGTGGAGCTGTTAGGATCACTTGTGTTGTTAGGTTCACAATGGTTCAAAGAGAACATTGCTGAGCATTTAATTCAAAGGTTTGACACTTAGCAAAACATACACATGTATTATATGATTGTACCTGAGGAGTTATATCTGGGGTCTTAGTTTGACTATCCACCTTGGGCAACCTTATTGTGGAAAGCATCCAATCCTTCACAGCTGGGTTTATCTGCAGGTTTGCTTGGGTGTCTGCATCATCATCACTATATAAGATGTCGTTTTGTGGGCTGGCGGCCATAGCCTGGGAGCCATGTTGGGTGACAGTGCTGCTAGGTGCATTCTGTTTTTTAGAGGATTGACTGCCTGAATACATTGAAATGAAGAGTACCTTATTATGTGTTTTTTTATAAGGGAAAATATTAAACAAATATTAAATAACTAAAGTTCATTAATTTCAGAGAATAATAATTTATTTTCGATGTTTTGCTAGCTTAAATCATTATTAAAACATTATTAAATCATTCTTAAATCATTATTCTATGTAGTTAATGAACTTTACTTATTTAATATATTACCAGAGTGATGAATCTACACATAAATAAATATTGTTTCCATGTTATTTTACCTAAATGAGCCACTTGTGAAATTGGGAACTACCTATGGGCACCTAAGCAATTAGCTTGACTTAGTGAAACTACACCAAAGAACAGAAAAGTCAATATAATTTAGTATAATACAAGACAACTGTATGGTGAACTTACCTTTTGTGTAAGTTATGACATAGTCTATAAGTGCTCGCCTACTGTTGTAGATCACAAACTCATTGAAGTCCTTTGGTTTTCCCTAAATTAGACAACATTATACAGGTTAAAGTACATGAGGCATTATCATGTTTAAAGATACCAACTGCAAATGGTAACAAAATGCAACATGCAGTAGTTACAAATGCCATCCCTATCCCCAAACACTGGCCTCAAGGTTTGCTATGGCAAAATCAAACAAGTTCAGACTCCAGATTCAAAACCTTTTTCGAGCTTGAAGACTTAAGATTGGACCATCTTTAAACTGAACATATACGATAGTCTTGCAAATCTCTCTCTCCCACTAGCTGCTAGCTAGCTAGTGGGATGTGAAGTTGATAGACTACCTACCTTTACAGAGTCATAATACTTTCTCCCACCATCTTTAACATTTTCTTTTTGCGGTTCACGTTTCAATTTTAAGTCCTTCTGACCAGGTTTGTACTCCTGAAAAAATCACATAATCATTATTTGTGATAGCCTTGCAATTTTGATTAAAGGATAGAAAGATGCATACTCATTGTAGTGTACATGTATTGCGCAAAGGCTTGTTTTGAGGCACGCCATCCTCCTAAGCAGGTATCCAGAATCCGTACCTCCTTCTTCCCCCTGCTATAACCAATTTGGAAGCGCCCGATTTAACTGAATCACGTGATCTATTAAGCGCAATGACTTATACATGATTTCTGTCGCAGTGTTGCGACAGCCAATCAGATTGCTTATCGCAGGGGGTAAAAAGAAAGAATATATTCCCGTTTTTGAAGACCTGTGATCGGAGGGTGGAGGCATGCAAATTAATTCATTTTACCTTCAATAAAAAACAAAATTCATAAACTACTGCTAAATACCTTAACATCACCAAGCAGTACCCTACACTTCAACATATATTCCACTTTTCTCTTCTTCTTTTTTCCTTTCTTGGAATAGCTGGCACATTTTGATGGATCATCACTAAAGCAAAAAATCATAGAGGGATATATCATTAGCATAAATGAGATTAGATTACCAATCCTCCACTTTTAGTGACCCGAGCCAATGAAAGGCATCATTAAAAACCAAAATGTCCCATATGAATAATAACACATACTTAATGTCAACTTATGTCATTATGCGATTTGTATACAAAAAGTGTCAAAAACATTGAAATTCAATTTGGAAAGCCAAAGTGGTTACATTTCAAGCGTCAGCAAGTAGAGTTCATGTAAAAGTGGTCCATACCTGAAATATATTCCATTTTTGCCAAAATGTCCTTTTCTGCTTAGTCTTGAGTCAAGGCCCTCCTCACAGAGGACACTCTTCTCAGCTGAGGTACCATGGTACAAATACACCTCCCTCACTGAAATATGAGGTAAACTTGAGACAAATAATAACATAAATTAGTTCAATTTCTGTCTGTGGTATCAATTATGCTTTTTGATACTTTTTGTAATTATTTTGAATTGTTAAGCCATTGCAAACTTAGTTACAATTGATGATACCATGATACTTACTTACATTTAGTGAATCTGAAGACTTGAAACTTATTAAACATTAATCAATGTTACTATTTTCTGAAAGTATAGTGAAAATACCTGAATCATCACTATGGCCATCATTGATCATCTTCGCCCTTTCATATAAATAGTCTTTTGCACTTGTTATATTCTGCAACCTTTCAATTGTCTTCACTGTGAATGGGAATTGCTCAAACTCCAACCTGACTTTATCATATTCCTCCTTAGAGTTTCTTTCACATCCAATATCAATTAGTTTGTACTTCCCACGAAAATTTTTATCAATTGTCGAATTGCCATGGAAACCATATTTATTAAATGGGACAGGTTTCATAATGTTATCTAAGCGAACTGTTTTCATGAAGCCAGTTGCTATGGCAGCCCCACCTATTGCCAAAGCAACTTCGGCATCATCAGAATCATTTTCTGTTTCTTTATTCTCATTGTCAGATTCAGCTCCAGCATATATCTCATCAGAGTTCACTGAATCAGCATCTGAATCTCTGGATACAGAACTTTCAGATCGGTAATGGTCAAAATCTTGATCACTATCATATACTGAGCTGTTATCGTCACTGTCCCTATCTTCAATCTCACTTTGTACAGAGTTACCATCACTATCTCTGTCTTCGATGTCACTCTCATCAGATTGTTTATCATCATCACTCTCATCTAAGGTTGTATATGCTGGTGTGGTACATATGACTGGGGCATCTTCAATGACACAATCTCTGTCTTCAATATCACTCTCAACAGACTGTTTCTCATCATCACTCTCATCTAGAGTTGTATATGCTGGTGTGGTAGACATGGCTGGGGTATCTTGTAGGCGAGGTCTCTGAAATAATTGTAATAATGAGTGATGCTATATATGTTGATGCTACTCCTTTCCAATCTATTTTGCATTCTAAAACATGACCATTCACAATAAACATATACAGGGTGTTTCATAATTGCTGTCCCCCCATCAACCACCAATCCTAAATAGCATACACCCATATGTTACCATACGAAAGCTTGTTCAATTTTGGCCTTTGATTTTAAGCTCAACAGTTTTACAACTTGCAACATATCTCTACAAAAGGTGCCCATTTTACCTTTACCATAGAATCTGAAAGCCAAGGATATATCTTAATGATACTTGAAAGACAGACAAGAGTTGTCAGTATTCCAAAGAAAACCCAGATAGCTCTAGATGATATAGTGGACTATATAGCGATCTGCTCCTCTTTTAAATCCATTGGGAATAGTAGCTACAAATCATGCGAATTGAAGGGATAGTGACTATCAAACATAAGATCACAAATTATGCTCCAAAAGACCAGAATGCTAATATTTGGCATAGAAGTCCAGAATTGAATAAGCTTTATTATGGTATATGGGGCCATGTGATCTAGGATTGACTGCGATTGAGGGACAGTCATTACGGAACACCCTGTACTTACTTTTTTATTTAAATTTTGAATTATGCTTTCTTGTAGGACCAGATAATCATGATCAAATTTTGAAACATCAATAGTTTCTTCCTCTTGGAGGCTGAGTGCTAGTACAGCATCAAGGTCTTCATTAGTATCTTGTTGGTGTGGTCTCTATAATATTTGTAAATAAAGGCAATACCTGGATATCATAAACAATTCATATTAGTCCAGAACATAACTTCATATTTTGTTAAGAGGATTATACAGAATGAGGCTCGCCAGCTGCACGAATTTTTGCCTCCTTTCTCTCCTGCTTTCTCTCTGATCATTTCAACATTATTAAAATTTGAATGAATTGCCTCATTTTCTTGCATTTCTAGTTGGGTACATGCCTGTTACTTCATTTCTTGTTGATTCTACACATTTCCAATTTATTCTGCATTTGACCACCCACAAGAAATGTAAAGGCCTACTTACTTTTCTATTTAAATTTTGAATTATGCTTTCTTGTAGGACCATATAATCATGATCAAATTTTGAAACATCAATGGTTTCTTCCTCTTGAAGGCTTAGTGCGAGTACAGCATCAAGGTCTTCATCAGTTGTTCCGTTGTCTTGGAGGCTCAGAGCTATTGCATGATTTACCATACCATCTTCTGCTTCTTCTACCAGGGCATCATCATCATCAACTACAACCTTCAATACATGGGCAGGGACAAATGATGAAAATTTTGTTTAGTAATGAATTCACAAATCAGACAGTTCAAAAAGCAAAAAAGTCATTTTAAAAACCAACAAGACTTATCGAAACATTGTATTACACTATACTGTACTTATCATATGTAGAAGTAGCAAAGCAATTTTGAAATATCATATGAAATTCATGATGTCATAATCTGATGCTGCAAATCAGAAATTGATTCATTTTGATATCAAGGTAGTTCCTTTTGTTGAGAAATTTTAATAGTTTTGCTTTCATGGAGTCTCATGTTATTCTTAAGTGTACACAAGTATATTTCAATTTTGTAAAGAGAGTATGTACCTAAATTAGTGTTTAGGGTTATACTTTTCTAAAATTCAATTCAAGTTGTATTTGATGATCTAAAAATCTTAGGTTAAGGGAAATTCAAAAAGCATTTGAAAATTGACTTTTTCCAAAAAAATGTCTCAAACATTTTAAAATCACAACATGATGATTAAACAGTATTTTCAAACTTTTCACAGGGTCTTTAATCTTCCTCTCATCCTATACACAAAGAAATATAATTACAAAGTTATTACAACATAAATACAAAGAGAAACCCAATTACATTTTCTGAATCTAAGTCTTGTTCTAAAGCAGCATCAAATCGTCTATGTTCCAACACTTCTATCTGCCGATTCTGTAGTCTTGCATCAGCCTCAAGGTTCATTTGTAATGCAATGGATTCATCATCATCTGTGTGGCAAAAATGCTTAATTAAATATTATATGCCAGCGTTTTGCATGACCCCCAAAATTTGGGGGGTTCTTTGGGGGGTTCCAAAATGTATTTATTTCTTGCCTGGCAGATTTATTGGTGTGTAGCAGGAGTTAAAAGATCGAAGGAGAAAGGATGGAGAATGTAAAGCGTTGGAAGAAACCTTTTCAAAAAGCCAATGTTATAGTTCTTTCTGAAAAGGAGTTGAGATATCCAATCAAATAACATTTGAAGTTATTGAAGATTAATTATAATTGATTAAGATGTACAAATAGCAAAATTCAAAAAAGACACTAAAGAGGGGCATCTACTTTTTAATATTTTCCAGATTAGCCAAAAAATGGAAAAATTATCCTGCAATTAAGTCAGAACTGTCAGACTTTTTAGAAAAAAGGGATGACTTGGCTGGTACAGTAGAACCTGTGCAAGTGTGTGGACTTAATGCAATGTTACATGAATTATCTCATCATAATCCAAATTGAAATTGGTCTTCTGTAGAGAGTGACTGGTCGGTGGTCGGCAGTCGTTTTTCGTAAACCCCAGAAATATAACCAGGCAGTAGAATTGTCTCAATAATGCAGATGCGAGTAGGTAGTTACCAGATTCACCACCAGGTGGCTCGTTCGGGTCAGATAGCATGGCGGGTATAGTAGAAAGTTCCCTTTAACTTAAATTACATCTATTTGCGTGGTTCAATTTTCATATAACCCTTATGTATCTAATAGTTATGCAAATTAAAATATGTCCAGTAAAAGAAAATGTTAGCTGTCCAATACAAGAGAAGGTTATTTACTTTTTGTGATTTTGTAACATGGGGTCTATGGGGAATCAACCCGAACTAGAAGTCACATTTTCAAAAAAAATTAAATTTTCAAAGTTGATAGACAATTTTCGAAACCATATGTCTATATGTACTTTTACATGCAGATTTCAAATATGAGATCACTTTGACTGAATTTTGAATATTTAATGACATAAATCAAGATTATTTCTACTCGAATCTAGTCTGCATATGCATAATGCAGTAAAACATTTCTTAGTGAACACCTCTTCTTCGCACATACTTGACTTCTGTAGAAATTACCCTCTCTAGGGAACACCTACCAACACTGAATGCTTTTTCTTGCCTAATAATGTTCAATATACACAGGTTTTACTGTACACCCGTAGGCTTTTATTTATACATCTGAGAAAACTCCAAAAGGCCAACTGGGGCGAGACCCTATCTGTTGCAAGACTAATGCCTGGCGTAACCGTCACCGTGTTATTCAGTGTTTTTTAAGTAGCGCAAGGATCCTGCCATGACCGTGGTAATGTTATCGTGAAAGCCTGGTATAACCGCGACAATGCTGTATTATATTGCAATGCCTGCCATGACCGTGACAATGTAATATAGTTCTGCAAGGCCTGGCATGACCGTGACAATGTAATATAGTATTGCAAGTTCAGGCATGAGAGTGGTAATGTAGAAATTTACGATTAGGACTGCTATAACCGTGACAATGTGTATTGCAAAGACTGGCATGACCATGGCAATGTAATATAGTATTGCAAGGCTTGGTATGACCGCCATGGCAATGTGATATAATATTCCAAGTTCGGGTATGAGAGTGGTAATGTAGAAATTTATGATTGCTATAATTGACCGTGACAATGTGTATTGGAAAACCTGGCATGACCATGACAATGTATTATGGGATTGCAAAGCCTGGTATGACCGTGACAATGTAATATAGTATTGCAAGGCCAGGTATGAGGGTGGTAATGTAGAGATTTAGGCTTAGTTCTACTATGACCGTTATAATGTATTGCAATGACTACAGGCCTGTCAACTTGGGAACACCTAACATGAGTGACTTGGAAATGTTGAACACCTCCCCTCAAAATGTGGACACCTTGGTCCAAATCTGAACACCTTGATCCAAATTTTTTTTAACACTTCCAGGGTCATGACAGGCCTTGCAATAGAATACAGCATTGTCACGGTTATACCAGCCTGTCACGGTTATACCAGGCTTACACGATAACACTATGGCAGGATCCTTGCGCTACTTAAAAAACACTGATTAACATGGTGACGGTTGTGGCAGGCGTAAGTCTTGCAATAGATAGCATGTGGCTGGGGCAGCCCTAGTATGTATCCAACAGACTGACTAGAAGTCAGTCTGTTATGATGTACTACTTTCCTGTGGAAATTGCAGTGAAATTTTTTGCACAAAATTATCAATTAGAGGAACCATTTCTTCAATAAAATAAACATTACAAAATTTCAAATAAATAGTAAGGTACAATTAAATGCAATAAAAAGTAACACAGCATATTGTCAAGTGGAAATAAAGCTAGTTGAAGTAACAAATGAGCAAATTAATTTTACCAATCGGCCATTTTGAATAGCACTTCCTATGTAAACAAATATATCATATTACCAAACTTTAACATAGGTGCCTTATAGTCTGTATATAATTCAGACTAAATAGGATATAGTCTTATCCCGTTCCCGGACTATAGTCCTGCACTGATCGCATTCATTTGCCTGTACGATTACAACTTGGGAGACTTATCTACGCCCCTTACACTTAAGATACCTACCTCAATGCATTATAGAACTCAAGATGTAACTTCTAATATATTGGAACCGCCGATTGTCTGGGTATATCGGCAGAACGAGAACATTTTCTCTTTTTCATCGAGAGAGATTCCATCACTTTTCAAAATGGCGGTTGGATTTAAACGGGGAATCCCCCGTTTGGCTGCCCCGGATGTAGCCCGGAAGTACCAATATGGAGGAATTTGACGGTTGAAAAAGGTTAAATGTTACACGCAAATAATGCGATCAAAAACGAAAATGTCTTCGTTCTGCCGATAAACCCAGACAATTGTGGATTCAACTACACGAAAAGAATGCTAAATTACCAAGGAATCTATTGAAGTAGGTATCTGAAGTGTAAGATCAGTAAAAAATTCTCCCATGTTGTAATCGCACAGGCAAAAGATTGAGATGTTCACAGGACCATAGTCCGGGAACAGGATAAATATAGTCTAGGGGCAGCCCCGTCTATTTTCACCCATGATGTGATGTCATATATTATAAATTCTTTCTTGAATAAGGGTCCCATGTTCATATAAGGCATAACAATCAACAACTTAATGTGATGGGTATGAATTATAACATGGCTTTTTGCTAGTGACTCCTGAAATAATTATGGCTTCCTAGAAATCCCATATGAAAATGAAAATTACAAGAAACCGAAATTTATTTTAGACTTTTGACATTTTTCATTGTACATATATTGTTTTGACAAAATCTGTCCTATGGTTAACTACTTATTTATCTTTACTTGATATATTTTATGAACAATACAAACCTATATTCATACTTGGGGCAGAAACTATAGTTTTTGCTCCCAAAGTTCAGCAGTGTCAGAATCGAAACCAATTTTTTAAGGGATTCCCCTATCGAGTGTCACATGACAAAAATAAGAGATTCCCCAGGTCATGGTATGAAACGTCAAATTCTGTCAATCACTGGGGTCAACTAACTCTGAAACCATATGAAAGTCTAAATAAAAAATTAATGAAACAATGCATGTGCTACATATATCCATTTATCTTCTAAATTGATCAGAAATCGGTGAATATCAAAAATCTCCCGCGAAAATTGGGGAACGTGACGTCATTAATCCCGAGCACCGTCAACAAAGTTCTAGTCGTGGAAAAATTGTAAAACAAAGTCATAATTTGTGACGATCTACTGCTGCAAGTCAATGGAAAAGAAGTCTGACTTATAGACCAATATATGTGGAACACTGAAGTAAAACATCGGAGTGAGATTGGGATGATAAGAGGGGGAACACCGTCTGGTTCTGTATCAGACGGTAGCTCGGCGCCATCTTGGACAAGTGTCACAACCACTAACCCCATTGTAAGGCCCATCAGGCCGCCATCCTGTAAGTAACATGCTTGTTTGAAATGTAGTCTTAATCACAAGCTACTCTATAATTATTTGTGAAAGTCTGACTGAGATCCATTATGTTTGCATTAAGAAAATCAAGGGCAAATTTTGAGATTTATTTGATTGATTGGTTTTTGATTCCCATTGAATTTACTGAACTGGTTGAGTGGATGTAAGTCTCACATTCTTATACTTCTGTCTATGGGGGATGAAAAAATGTAAGAATTTCATAATTTTATCAGTTCTTTAACAGTCTTTATTATCTATTCATTCTCTTTATGACCATTTCCAAGGAAAATACCCACAAATATATGTCCACTTCATAGAATGTCATGGAACATGAGATAACAATGACATGGCCCCTGAGGATCATTTTCAAGAGGTCAAATGATGGGCACATATAGTTCATTTTTGTTTACACGCCAGATTTTCAAATAATTAATATATTACATGACTGAATAAATGTTATGTGGAAATAGAATGATTCATATACTATACAGTAAGTATGCAGGTTACAGGTTCAGCTTTAGATTCTCTGATTAGCCGATTAGATGTGAGGTACAAGTGCTGCTATTTATAGAGACATGTAACTGATATTTAGAAATATACAGTAAGTCATCTATATGTCCAGTAAAATTACAAAAAACAAAAATGCATGGGTTATATGCCCAGTTATATGTAGCTTGCATTTTATAATCTCTTTTTAAACTTTTATTATCATCATTTAAATCTTGCTATTGGTCATCCAGCTGTTGTTTATGTGCACTGTATTTATATATCTTTAAAAAAGAATGATGTATAATGATGCTAAAGGCTGAAAAGCTATAACATGGAAATGGTAATTTATCTTAGGATTCCTAGGCTGTCATATAATAAGGTAGGCAGGACAAGGTTATTATACACTTCAGGGCATTTTCAACCGTTTTGTCATGTATTACATTAGATGTTCAAGAACTTCAAGTCATAAACGAAATCAGTTTGTATCAGTTTATCTGCATACTCTTTGTGTGAGAGGTTGACTTCTTAATCTGTATAGGACAACTTCAGATACCCTCTTTGAATTAGAAATAATTCTTCCAAGAGGCTTGGTTCTTGGAAGTGATATCTTTAAAACAGCTACATATTTGAATTTGATTGGTTATCAGCCCTGAAATTTCATTTATCTTCTCATAGCTGATATTCAAAATTCATTCAGTCAGAGATATCTGTCTTCTTCAGATGCTAGAACTTTAACGCCAGTTTCAGGGTAATATGAAATAATAAGAAAAAGAAATGCCAATGACCTGTCATTATTATACCATCATTATTATTACTTTATTGTTAAGGTGTTAATGAAAAATGTTTACTTATCATAGTTAAAAAATGTAATATAACTCTTCTCTGAAGACAGGCTGATCATATACTAGGTGTGACCAGATTTAGTTGAGATTATTAAGTTGATTTGTACACTTCAGTAATATTGATCCTACGATTAATCTAAATGTATTGAGTAGCGGTTCTGCAGTGTTTAGGTATGCAACTCTGCTTCTATGCCATTTGATCAATAAAACATCCCAAGTGCTAAAAATACTTCCATGCATAGCTCAGTAATCTAGACCGAGAGTCATTTCTTAATTAACATATAAAGCTACAGCTTGCTAAACATGTAACTTGAATACTATCGCATGAAGAAACATCAATGGTATAAAGAGTTAATCGACCAATCAGAAATGAAGTCTCACTGGATGCTGAATGACATGACAACCTTGTTGCAGAGTTATGCTGGCTAAGAGGTACATAATGCATACTACATGTTATGGATTGATCAGAGAATATCATAGATATGAACCTGAAATCAGATGTTGCACTGTTCAAAACAGCTGTGCATAGATGTGCTGAATAGTACATGTAATTTGAAATTATAAAGGTAATAAAACCTGTTTTATTTGTGCAGCACATTACTAAAGATGCATCTTCGAATTGATCGATGTCTTTCTCTATGTAAACCATTCCATGTTGCCATGGATTATTAGAGCATATGAGACTGCAGTAGGCAATTCACTTAATGTACTGGTTTAGTGGTTTATAGTTAGTTTGACCTTCAGAATGTGTAATTGTAGAACTCTGATTACTCGCTATACTATTGTATAGCCTTGCTTTGCAACAACAATGCATGGGAGGCAATCATAGTATTCTAAGCAATATTTACATTGCGCAATTGATTTTCAACCTAAAAACAAACATACAAGTTGCAAGCATGAATCATATTACTAATAGAAAGATTATTGTACCTATTTGATAATTTACTACTCCCATTGTCCCATATAGCTGAACGAAGGTTGCAAAATTAAGTTATGTTTTTGATATTGTGCTTCCTTGTTTAGTTTAATCTTATAATAACATCCATCTAACTTCTTTTGACATGTACATTATGGATGTGCAAATGGTTATACCTTGTACCAAAATCAGATGTGGTTTTTGATTTTTTCATGTAAATCTGTTTCATTCTGAAATATATTATAGATGTTAAGTATAAATCATTTTAATGCTACAAATAACATGCAGAATAGAATATCTAGCCAGAAAAGTTGTAACTAGTACATTAACTGATATTTGTCCTGATGAAAAAATCAATGAATTAAGAATAAATCAATGAAAAATTGTTTGACCATCTGGTCATCAATGTTTATATGGGTTGAGTTGTTCATATGGAAAAGTATGAGAGGGAGGGGTCTGAATATATAAATTGAAAGTGTAACCTCAATCATATAAGAATTTAGCAATTTGTGTCCCCCCCCCCCCCTTTATACCTAAAAAGGGATAATGCTCGCTTGTCTAGTATTCTTCTATCTCTCTATGTATAGACCATGTACTTAGCTATCTAAGGGAAGCCATTGTCAATATAATTAGATAGAAATGATCTACATCTGCTAGTGTATCACAGTGACCTGGTTTAATTTCATTGCCTATGCATATTGCATTTTTGTAAACTCTAAAAGAATGGAAGCAGTCACTAAACAACCAATTCATTGTTGTTATTTTGTCTCATAAGGTGACGTTTTCTAATGACCATTGACTTAGTACTCTTCTGTCTGTCCGTCCATGATCTATTTACATTCTCAGCTTTTTACACCCATTGAATGATTCAAGTGAGTAAGAAAGACATGTATTTTTTTTATTACAGCCATTCAAGTACAAGGTCCAATGCCTGGTGGGTTGATGCAGCAGAGTAACAACCTGATGGAGGGAGGGCCTAGTGGTCCCAGCAGCCTTCAGTCTGTACCTGTAGATCCTCGCAAACAGGAGCTCCTTGAAGCCAGGATGTTTGGGGTGAGTATACCTTTATTGGCAATGAGCTCCAAATGATATTAGAGGTATCTTAGCATACTGAAGGGCAAGGCAAGGCACCACCTCTGTGAACCACATGTCACTTTCAACAATCCTACATTTGACCATATTTGTGAATGACTAGAAACTGAAGGTCTATTGCAAGAAATCTGAAATACATATAAATGGCGTAATTGCCTTATTCTGGCCAGATCTGATATTAAGAGAGGTTATTTGTAGAAAATGGTCGCTACCAGTTGGTCGCTATGACATATTTCAATAATTAATTGACCTTCATGATATTTTCATTTTAATGAATTCTGTTCTTTTATTGAATAATATTGATTATGATAACATTATTGATTTCATATATAAAAATAATGTATATAATATAAACAATATGTCATTTACTCATCGTCCAATTCCTTTATCCCATAAGATTATTACAGAAATCACTCTTATCATTTTTCTGTTTGTCCCTGTCATTACAAAATCACTCTAGAAAATGATATGACAGTAAAGCATACACAGACATCTAGATGTTTTATTAAATTGGTTTGCAAATTTTGGATCACAGATTTTTCCATAACAGACCTTGAAGATGAGAACTTTGACTTTGTTAAGTAATTTGTCATCTTAATTAAGTCTAGCAAAGGCTACTATTGCTTGATTTGATTTTCAAGAACATTTATAGCATCTACAGTATCCTAGTATATATGTATGCATTATTGCATCTTGGACTATATCTTTCCATTTGAAGACAAACAATGGTTGATTATTAACTGTGTCTTTTATTTGAAGGTGGCAGTGGAGGGCAAATGTGATTGTATAGCAAAATTCAGCTCCTTTTTTCAAAAAGACTAATTTGTTTATATTTTTTCTACATAGATTACATGTTTCCTAATGCTGTTTCGGGGGGTTTGCCATACGTTCCAAATTCCAGTGAGAGTTGGTATCAGAAAGTAGTAATGCTGAACCTATATCTAGATTTAGATAATGTTTCCAGACATGACCATTTAGAACAAATGACTACCATTCCAACTGTGTAATATAAGTTTTATCAAATTATCTGTGTGTAAAGGGATAATAAGACAGACTGATAATTCTCTCATTGATTATTCAGAACAGGATTTCTAAGAGGAATTGGTTGCAAAATTATTTTTTAAATTAACCCCAAGAGATATTGTTGATCCATCTTATGTCACTTAAAACTTGTAAATCCCTTTTATGTCCATTTTGTACATGGACTGAGTTAACATATTTTTCATATATACAGATCATCTTCAAAAGATACCTCTTATGATATAAATATTCTTATGTCTTATATTATCTCTTTTTCACCAGTATGTAATTTCCACCTGTTATCTGTATCATAAAAGATGAACAATTTTTGATAATTCATAATTATTATCTTTTTACCATTGTAGGGTCTTGGGAGCCATGCAGGTCAACTGGGCCAAGTAAGCCATACATTCCCAGGAGCAAACCACCACCCACCCCAGGACAACTCTAACCTCAGTGGTGGCAGTGACTCTATGGGGGCCAATAAGGACCCCACCAACAGCGCTAATGCTGGTGTCAAAGATGACCACATGCAACAAAACCAGGTTAGTATACCGTACTATGTGCCACATTGTTAACACACAATATAAAAGTGTTTTGTTTGATTGAGCACTTAGATTACTTTATTTTAAAATATTTTTACTTTGTTATACCGTATTAGCCATAATAGCGCCCCCCCCCCCAGACTTTTGGAGGTTCAAGGGTGAGTCCCTGTGTGGAGAATCAACGATCATTAGGGTCAAACGTAAGAAATCCAGTAGGCAATGATAGGTACTTTTAGTTGTTTTTTGCAGTTTTTCAAAAGGTATTCCAGCTTGAATATGTCACTCTTTTAATCATAAGATGTTTATAATGTTGGTAATTCAAGTTCATATCCATTATTTTGACATCTACCTGTGAGGCGCCAATCGAGGCTAATATGGAAAGTAATACTGTGTTAAGTCTGATCCCATAACAACCAATTTCTCTGACTATTCTCTGTCTGAGGATTATGGTGGCAACATAGGGACTTCATTTAAGACTAATACATACACAATCTGTAGTTATACCACCAAACTGAGCTAAGTAGAAATTAGGAGAAGGTATCCACCCATGCTTCTGTCTATACTTACGCTAGTCTAGGTGGTAGCTCAAATACCATTTGACAGATTTTTATTTTCAAATAGATAGGCTGATGACTTATGGGCATAGAACCTCTGCTAGAGAATGAATATCCACTATGGCTCTCAATTCAAAATAGCCATTATTTTGTCAACCATATTATTTTTTGATAACTCAATTGATGAATTTGATTCAGATTTTAAAACCTGGTGCATTAGGGCCATATACGACCACTGCTCAAGAAGAAGTTTTCAATATGGTCACTGAATTCAAATTGGCTGCTATTTTTAATGTACAATAAAATGTTTAATGACTAATATACTAGTTGTCAGTTTTGATCCAAATTTTAAATGCCAATGTCTTCTGGGCAAACGTCCTTTTCTTGAGAATGAATTTTTTCTAATTTGTTATGTGTAGATTTTGCCAAAAGAAGATAATCTGCCTGGTTATCATTTATCATGTTATGTTTAAAATAATGAGTAATTCAATAAAATTTATTTTGTCCCATGGGATATGCTACTCCCGGAAGTTGCTGTTTACTTTCTAGTTATTTCCTGATTGAAGACAAATTAACTTTCATTATTCATTACTGGTGTATGTTTAGATGATATTACACTGTAGTGTCTCAATTAAATCTATCAGTCATTATATAGAAACCAGTAATTAGAAAAGTAGGGAATGTCATCAAGGTTAGTTGGGATTGTAATGTGGGTGAAGCACACTGGAACACCCTGAAAACGGTTAAGTCAGATACTGTTGTCACAAATGGTGGATTCAACTGTCACTTCAACTCTTTAATCACTTGGTTCTCAGTTCATTAGACCTTGTCGCTAATTCTTTGGATGTATTTAGCTCTTGTGATGATGTATTGTATGAAATCAAAATTTTGATCAAAAAATGTCACTGCAAATCGCCACAATTTACCGTCTTCCATATGTGGGGATACAATTAATTTGCATAAAATGGCACAAAGAGAGGAGAGTTCACTGATACATTGTTCATATTGATGTAATATTGGTCACCAAAAAAACAGATCTTCCCCTCCATATTAATAAAGACTGATTTATCATAATGTAATAATGAATGTAAGAATCAACATACTCTAATTACAATCAAAGTTTATTGTTAGAAATTGCCTCACAGGATACACAAAATTATAAATACAATGAGAAAAGAAAATTATTTTTTAATTTTAGGTAGTGTAATAGGTTTGAATCAGTAGGTTACTAATATGTAGTTTACGATGTATATTTCATAATAGTCTATGATAAACTTAGTGGTGGTATCATGTTATACACCAGTTGTGAATATTTGTGTCATATATCTTTGCATACACTTGGTTTCTTAAAATCCCTAGCACGCAGGGTGTTCAGTTCTGGGAATTTTGACAATCAAGATAGAATTAATGGTTATGGCAATTGTCATGCAAATTCAGCTACCAGGCTGAATGACAGCAGTTTCATCAGTACTTGTAGGTTAACTCCTTGTAGGTTAGATTCAGTTATATAATCTGTATAATCAATTTTCTAGATGACAGTAGAAATAATCTTGATTTTCATCATTAGATATTCAAGATTAAGTCAATGTGATATCATATTTGGATCACATCTATTATGAAGTTCATAATTTTCTTTATGAACTTTGAACTTTAATTCTCATTGAAACTGTAAGGTCAGCTAGATTCATACATTCCCATGTCATAAAATCATGAAAATCAAATATCTTTTATATATTTTCTTGTATTAAACATATTATAGATATTCTACTGAACATATTTTTGATCAATGAAAATTGATCCAATAAATCTATTAACTGTTCAACTCTGAGAGCACTTTTTCTATGTCTGCCATGTTACCTGGCCCGAATTTGTGGTAAAACTGGTAACTGTCTTCTGGCAACTATAAATGAAGATTCCTTTTACATCAATAACTACTAATAATATTTTAATTTTGGAATTCATACCACCAAATGCCATAAGCAGGTGTGTCCAAATATCAAGAGTTGTTGATCATTTTTAACAAAAGTATTAATTTAATGATACTTTAGAGCGAAAACCAAGTTGACTTTTGAAACACTCAAATTGAAAGTCAACATTTGAAATAAAGGTTTTAGACTGGTAAGGGGAAGCAGGGAAGCCGTGTACTGTTTTCGCAATAATGACCTATGGCTCTTTAGAGAATAATGTTTATACTCTTGTGTTTTAGCACACGCCAGAGAAGATGAGGACGCCCTCTGGTGGTGACAGAAAGCGTAAACGTAAGGGTGCTCCAGTGGAGAACCACGACCATAATAGTGGTATGTACATCGATGGACATTATTATATGATATCTATTCCTATATGGTTTCTAGAAATTTGAACCTTTGACATTTTTGAAATTGAATGCACTTTTTGGCTAACATGGTCAGTCTATCACCCACTCATTGAAGAAATACATTGAAGAATTCTTGTCTTGATCTTGCTAATGATCTCATGGAAGACCGCATCATCTTTTGTATACTGTAATGATATATTACTTGGAATGTTATATGGAGTGACTAATACTTTTTGATGGAAAATTCCTGACCACAAATTCCCCTTAAAACCATTGATTCCTAGTCTCTGTTCCCTTTGATACCCTTTTTAAAGAGAGTAATTATCACAACCACCCTCTGGATGGCTTAAATGCTACCTTTAATGATTGTTTATTAAGAATGTGTAATAGTTGACCTTCGTATAACACACATATTATCTATTAAACATTGTCTTTGACTTTAAGCAACTTTTTATTAATGATTTTGATATACCCATTTTTTATAAGTATTTGTAGGTCAAGTATATGTATTGATAGCAATAGGTCATATGTATGTTTATAGGTCATTTGTATGTATTTACATTTATAAGTTACATGCATCTTGAGGTCATAGGTGTTTTTATAGGTCATTTGTATGTTTTTATGGGTCGTGTTAATTTATGGGTCATGTTATATGTATTTATAGGTCATGTGTATGTATTTATAGGTCATGTGTATGTATTTATAAGTCATGTGTGTATTGGGTCATGTATATGTATTTATAGTACAAGAATGCATATATAAATCATGTGTATGTATTTAACCTTCTGCACTCTGACTTATTTCAGCAAATATATCCCACGCATCTGACTTATTTTTCAAAAATGATATGCCTGGACTAAATAATTAATATCTCAATAACTACTGAATGAATCTGGATAAAATTTTCACAAAGGGAAGATACACTAGCGTGGCTCATGAGAAAAATGTTCTCATGAATTTTCGTACATAAACACGACTGGGCATAAATATACCATGAATACTGCTCCGGAATCCGCCGTTTCGCCCCTCGGGAGATTCAACGTCTGGTCAGAATCCAAAACTGAATTTGCAGCGATCGAATGTTCTTCTTTTCAGTTCAGAAAATATTCTAGTTTCTATTTTCGATGACCATTATCGGCTTCCAAGAGCCTTAAGAGCTCAAAATCGCAATCCATTTCCTCAACATTTTCGTTGTTATCGTATTTGGCCGTCATTTTGTACGATTTGTTCACTAAAAACAACTTAAAAACTGTTTAAATTGTTGAATTGAGAAATATTTTTCGAAACATCGACATTTCTAGGTCAACAGGAAGTCACCTACTAAGGACTGAATAAATCGGGCAATCTAATTGGATCATAAGAACGGCGGGAAAAAGTAAAGTTTTCAAAAGTTAGATTTGTGTCGTCCGGATCCGCCGGTGGATTCTGGCGGTAATTTTGAATGGGCGGATGCGGCCGCCGGTGGTCTGCTAAAGGTTAAAGGTCATGCATATATATTTGTATTTATAGGTCATGGGAGGTCAGCAAAAGGAGATAATAATGCTAAGAAAATAAGTGAATATTTCAAGGTAAGTGTAACAACAATATATTAAGGTATTTTCAAATAACTTGGAAGGATTATGTAAAGTTTGAATGAATGTTGCCAAATGATAACATAACAACATTATCCCTGAGAGGTTCATGCTTTTTGCTAATGTTTAGATAAGATTCTGCATGATCATTATTAGGTCACATGGGTGAGCTATTGTAATCGCCCACTTGTCTGTCTGTCCCTCTGTCTGTCTGCCCTTTCATCATCTGTCCATCTATCTGTCAACAAATTGGTAGATAATTCTTGAAATGGTTTCACTTTTAAAACGTGTCTGTATAAAGTCTTCAATTGTCCCAAAAGTGGCATCTCAAAGGCTTGCCTTGATTCAGTATGGCAGCCATCTTTTTGGTCATTATTCCACAAGTATTCCATCAATTTGCTTGAAATTGTACAGGTACCTTAATTTATAGGTTATCGATATTGTCTACAGCTTTTAGAAAAATATGTAGTAGATTCAAAATGGCCCCCACTTTAACTGTTGGAATATCACTTTTTATGTCTCCAAAAGTTATAATATTAATTTGCTTAAAATTATTCAAGGAGCTAAGAGTATATGTTCGCAAAATTATCAAAATATTTGACAAAATATCTCATAAAATTTTTAATTACCGCCACTTTTGTTACTGAAAAATCATGTTTCAGCTGGTTTTTTTTATTTTCTAAATGGCTACCATTTTCGTAAAAAATGTAATCTTTGATAACTCAAATACCAGTGAACGGATTTGGTTTAAATTTTAGAAGCTGATATGCTCTGTTCAAGATGAATTTTCAAGAGGACATTAATTATCAAAATGTGTTTTGTTCGGTGGGATTTGCTACTCTGTGGAGTTACTGTTTTTCTAGTTACAATACGGTTTACAAGGCAAATCATATTTGTTGTGTTTCAGTACCAGACTGGCAGTCCAAGCAGAAGTGCCACATCAGCCTATGGGGCAAAGTCTCCCTCCCCTCAGACTGTACGTATGGTAAGTAGTATAATGTCTTCAAGTTTCCCTTCACATTGTGTGCACGACAAGACTACTTCATATCATTATACATGTACTATCCTTTTAAGTATCGAAATTTACCAATTTGCTCATCATCAACATGTGGTGATGAATTTCATGTCATTTTAGAATGCAAAGCTTTAAGTTATATTAGAAAAAGATACCTTCCTAAATGTTATACCACAAGACCAAACACACAGAAGTTTGAGAAATTAATGAATTCAAACAAAAATATACTCATAAAACTCTGTAAATTTTTAATCGAGGCTGGGCAAAAAAATGTTCTTACATGTACATAAATGTTATTTTAATGTTTGTTACTGTATTAGTTAAAGTTACTCTTATACCCTATAAGGGGTGAATTGAGAAAATTGAGATAGAAAAATATAAATAAACATGATTCTGTAATATATAATGATACAAGTGATGTGAGATTCTATTTTTTTTTGTTAAGTCACGTTTTTACAATGCTGGTTACAATGCTGGTTATCATCAATCACGTGCACTACATTATGTAAATATATTGTCTGTATTATGTCTTATTATATAACTTACTTATTACATGTGAATATGTATATTCTCTATATGTCTGTCCTTAAATGTAGAGCAGTTTGATAAGGTTGTTGCTTATCTCTGTTTGCTACATGTATACAGGTGAATGGGGTAGTTATTTTGTAATACCCTTTAGCAAACATAGATAATTTAAGTCCAGTAGACTATTTGGATGAAATTTTGAACAAATTTTGTTTGATGAGATGATCTTACTATTCCTTATATTATACATGTAAATTATAGTGTTTAATATCTTCGTTTCCCAAAGGGTATATAACATGCTTTGTATTCACCCCACATGCAGGGTTTGTACTATACTTTGCATGACACTACACCTCAGTCTTAGTATTAAATGATGTATGCTTATATAATTTACCCTACAAAGGGGTTTGCGCACAAAATGCCACATACATCTTTTCTATCATCTATGACTTTCATTAAACTGAAAATATATTATTTCCATTTTAGTATCCACCCTCCCCACAGGGGTTTGTTGCATCCCCAGTGAGTAATTCCCAACCAGAATATCCTCCTGGCAGCCGCTTCTACGCAAACAGCAAGTCATTACAGGTACAGAAGGCACATCTTATGTGAAAAACTAATTATTGCTTTCTCAAAATGTTCTCTTTATTATTCTACCCAATGAAGTTCAAGAGGTATATATGGAAGCCATATGTTTGTTCATTCGTCTATCTGGGCAATAATTCAAATACTGGTTGAGAAATATTGGGTTCAAATTTTATAGTCTGATGCATGATGCCTTGTAGATATAGGAATATAGATTTGCTACCCTGGAAAGTTTTTTTGTAATTTAAATTTTTGGGCATCTACAAAATGTCATCTTATTTTTCTTGGTCAGAACAAAGACTTTTGATACGAGTGTTGATTTGAATCTAATAGGAATGCTATAATTGGTGGACATGCACATGAATGTAAATGAATCAGGAATGTTAATGTGCAATGCAATGGGTGTAATTTCATGAACAACCTGCCAATCTAAACACTTTGCAAAATGAATTATTTGAGTAAGTCTAAATTTCACCAAATGGCCAGTTGTATGTAATTATGTGTTAATTTGAAGAATGATTTCTTGTATTTCAGACTGACATGACGTGTCTACAGATCCAGCAAATGGAGAGCAAGTCACAGTCAGACATAGAGAGAAAAGAGAGCACCATATCTGATTTACAGAGGGTATGTTAGAAGTACATAGTAGTACACATCTCGGGACATTTATGAATAACAAGGCAGTTTATTATTTGTTTGAAAATTCTACATGATTTGTTTGTTTGTTTGGTCAGTCGGTCGGGCTGTCCGTCCTTCAGTTAAAATAGTCAAAAACCCAATGCATCTTCAAAGGCTACCTAGCCCCATTGAAGTAAAATAACAACTACAAAAGTACTATTTCACATATTTTCAAAATCATTTGTACGTTTGTATTTGTCTCCGTAGCAAACTGAAGAGTTTAGAAGACAGCTGACGGCACAGCAAAAGTTACTGGACAAACAGAAAGAGTCATTGAAGAAGTGTATGGACATGAACTTAATGCTGCTGAAAGAGAAGGTATACATATTTATACCTGTATATGGTTTATACCTATAGTTCCCGGGTTTCTCTTCAAGCAAGGTATAGGCAATTCAAATCCTGAATTAACCCATTATACAGAAGTTTGATGCTTTTTACAATTGTATATTACAACTGCTATGAAATGAAGCCTGACTGTATGAAATATTGACACATTTATTATAGAGTTTACTAGAGAAAAAGACTACACGTCAGAAATGTATGGAGAACAGACTACGCCTTGGCCAGTTCACTACACAGAGACAAGGTGCCTCGTTCCAGGATACCTGGCAGGATGGTTACGCATTCACAGATCTCATCAAGTAAGACATGTATATTAAAATTGGATAATTTAGAAATTGTGGGACAATTCTGGATATCATTTGACAGTGTTGCCATAGTCAGGGAATAGTCATGGAAGACCAAGATCATGAAGAAATGGGGAATTCAGATTTAATCAAGGAATTTTTAGAAAACTGATAAAGTTGCAAAATAGAAAACTAAACCAGAAACTGAAAATAGAGGAAATAAGAATTAAAACTAAATAAAAACTGTTGAAATCTTTTTGTCAATAAAAACAATATTGAAATATGTATTAAAAAGAACTGCTTGAAATGATGAATTTCACTGGTAGAGAAAGGCACAAATGTAGATTTCTCCCTGAAGGATGCTTACTTTGAGGCATGAACATTTATATAAAAATATTTGCATTGACTTTTAAAGGATTTTCACCAAGAACTCCATGAGTTGTTTGTGTTTTTTGCATGAAATTCATGAATGCTAGCCTTAAAACTTGGGCGAAAGTGTTTAAAACTGCAACAAAAATCTTGTTTGTTCTGATTGGCCAGAAAGAGATAATGCATGTCTTGCTATGTGTGATTGTATTTTAAGGCAACAAGAGCGTGTAGCAACAGACAAAGAAGAGATAGACAAACAAAGGAAACTGCTGCTCAAGAGAAAGCCAACGTTAAACCCAAGTTCATCCGCCAAGAACCGCAACAATTCATCCAGAGATGGCAGAGATGATGAGTTTCGTAGACCAGGAGAAACAACTAAAAATATGTAAGTGTTACAAATCAGAGAATATGAACTTGTGTTGCAGGAATCCATTTTTGCAGTTATTTATTGAGGAAAATGTTATGAACAATAATAATGATAAATAAGAAATACTTGTTCAATCTACTGGTAAAACATCCTGACAGTCCCAGCGCATGTAAAGATAAACAATTTTGAATACAAAATCAGTGCTTGAACTTGTGATTGAAGAAATTCTTTATTTTCCAGGCTTACTCTATCGGAGTATTATGAACAGGATGAGATTCTGAAACTTCGACAAAATGCTTTGAAAAAGGAGGATGTTGATATGCAGTTAGAGTTAGAAAAATTGGAGCGTGAAAGGAACCTTCATATAAGGGAGCTTAAACGTATACATAATGAAGACAATTCTAGGTAATGATCATGTGATCCAGTGTTCATATAAGTGAAATAAAATAAGTTCATAATATGATTAAGAGGAGAGATTTTCTTGAGATTGTTTGGGGAAGAAAATGAAATGAAATATACTGGATTAGAAACACTAGTCAGTATTCCCAGATGCTAAAAGTTAACTCAGATCTTCTAAGAGACGCAGATCTTCAAAAACCTTGGAAGTCCAAAAAAGTGATAAAAATTTGATCAACTGACTGAGCTTGAAAATTCTTCAATGGTCGAAAGTAGTCCAGGCTGGAATTTTTATTAATTATTAAGAAAATATGAAATTGAGGGTTATAGTAGTCCAACCTGACCAATGAGAACATACCCAGTGTGTGTTTCAAGAGGTGTCAACCACAATTCTTTATTTTTTCAGGTTTAACAAACATCCAGTGTTGAATGACCGGTATCTCTTACTAAACCTACTGGGGAAGGGAGGTTTCAGTGAAGTGCATAAGGTAAGAAGCTTTTTTTAATTAGATACTGCAAAGGTAATTCCTTAATCAAGCATACCGAATAATTGTTGCCTATTTGTACATGTAATTATTTTAACCAATATATTTTATCTTGAATAATCTGATTAGAAATAACTGTTATAGATACGTAAGTCTAAGAATGGGGATTGGAATATGTTGTCTGTCACTATCTTGCATTTCAGTGATTTGTAACTCATTTTTCAATTGATTGTAGGGGTTTGATATGAGAGAACAGAGATATGTTGCCTGCAAGGTTCATCAGCTCAATAAGGACTGGAAAGAAGATAAAAAAGCTAATTACATAAAGTAAGTAAATAAAGTAAACATTTTAAAAAGAGATATAAATAAACTTAAAATATATATTTAAAAAGGTATTTTAGATGGGATTATTTGATGGACAGATTATGTTGTCTTTGTTATAGGGCCATAGGCCTATATAAGAATTAACCCAACATTTTATTTTCATTTATTTGCAGACATGCTTTAAGGGAATACAATATCCACAAACAACTAGACCACCCTAGAATTGTCAAATTATATGATGTCTTTGAAATAGACAATAATTCGTGAGTAACACATTATCATGCTTAGATATTGTTAAAAGCATGTGATTTTATAGTCAATGATTCAATGAAAGGAGTTATAAAACTCAATCATAAGTAAATATATTCTTGTGTAAAATACTCAAATGTACTCTAAAAATGACAAATATAAATACTTATGGATACATATCCTGATAAATCAAATCAAATATTGATTAATATCATAAAAATTGAAAATATCTGAAATATTTCAGGTTTTGTACAGTGTTGCAATATTGTGAAGGGAATGACTTAGACTTTTATCTGAAGCAGAACAAGATTGTTCCAGAGAAAGAGGCCAGATCTATCATTGTGCAAACTGTTAGTGCTCTCAAATATTTAAATGAAATAAAGCCACCTGTTATCCACTACGACCTTAAACCAGGTAAAATTAATTAAGTTGTTAGTTGTGCATTTTATCAAAAAAAAAGTTAACTCCCTTTAATTAAAACTGGGGAATGACTTACATTGATATATAACATGACAGACTTACACTGTTAATCCAGTTAAATGAATGATATTCCACCTGACATTAGCATAAATGGGAGATATATTACATCTTACCTGCCATCCTGGGGAAACAAATCTGTGTTCTCTTGTCGACCCTTGCCCAAGTATGAGATAACGATGATAACGTGTTGTATGTTGTTGCCAGGTAACCTGTTGTTGGGGGCAGGTGCTGTAAGTGGGGAAGTCAAGATTACAGACTTTGGACTGAGCAAGGTGATGGAGGGAGACAACTACCACCCTGAAGATGGCATGGATCTCACCTCACAGGGTGCTGGCACATACTGGTATGTTATTGCCTAACATAGTATTTGTCATATGACAGTCATCCCTTTTGATGGACAGTAAAAGCACACAACAGCTAAAACATACATATAGAGTATTTGTGAAAAACAGATATGCTCCCCTGACTAGACTTGGCTAATAGTGCTTATATGTTCAAATCTAAGAAATGATTCGAGTATTATTATGTTACCCCAAAAGCATAACAATTGCTAAGGCATTTCAATAGTAAAAGCCTAATTAGAATCATATTGGTTGTAGGAGATTTTTATTATTATCAAATCAACTCTTTGTGGCTATTGATTGAAGAATATTAGAATGAACTGTTGGATTCTTGTATCAAACGATCTGTATTCCATGGTTCTAGTTTATGTACATAATACCAATACTAACTAAATCTGATTCTATATCTTATATTGCAGGTATTTGCCACCAGAATGTTTTGTCGTTGGTAAAGAACCTCCTAAAATATCTTCCAAGGTGGACGTCTGGTCCGTGGGTGTAATATTCTTTCAGTGCCTCTATGGTAAGAAGCCATTTGGACACAATCTCTCACAGGCTGCAATATTAGAGCAGGATACTATTCTAAAGGCCACTGAGGTCCAGTTCCCCGCCAAACCTATCGTCTCCACTGAAGCTAAGGTAGGTGGACAAAGTTATTAACCCATTGAATTATTGTCCTCCACTGTTTCGCTCTTATATGCTCATTGACTAAAATAATTTTTTTGTGATTATGCCATTGCATAAACATACACAGAGGGGTTAGGCAATAATATCATTTAAGACCAGCCTTCGACAGTGGAAAGACTGTTAATACCCATCAACATTTGCGTTTAAAGCAACCATGTGACTGGCATTTGGTGATTTGGACATGTGACAATTGATTACACTTGTATTTGCATACAGGTTTTGACATTTTGTCATGTTGATGCCTTGTCTTGTAATCTGTCCAAGTGTATGTGGGCCACTTGTTCACATTGTAAATAAAAGGAATTAAATGAACTACTTGTTGTTTTCAGAACTTCATTCGCCGTTGCTTGCAGTATAAGAAAGATTCACGCCCAGAAGTGCTATATCTAGCTCAAGACATATATCTGAAACCCAGTGCACTAAAATCAAAGTAAGTTACTTAGTTTCACCTAATAGATTATTTACTGAAAGGGATATTCCGTGTGAGACCATTTCTCCTTCATACGTTAGCTATAAAAGTTTAACACTATCCATCCATATTTAGCAAAACATGGGAAAATGTTTCGATATGGTCAAAATTGATAATTTAGAAATATAGTGCTTATTTCTAGAGGGCTGTCTTTTAAGATTTCACATTCCCCTCATATTCATGTCCCCTGTTATTCACATTCCCCTGTTATCCATGTCCCCTGTTATTCACATTCCCCTGTTATCCATGTCCCCTGTTATTCACATTCCCCTGTTATTCATGTCCTCGGTTATTCACATTCCCCTGTTATTCATGTCCCCTGTTATTCACATTCCCTTGTTATTAATGTTCCCTGTTATTCACATTACCGTTATTCACATTCCCTTGTTATTCATGTTCCATGTTATTCACATTCCCTTGTTATTCATTTTCCCTGTTATTCACATTACCTTGTTATTCATGTGCCCTGTTATTCTCATTCCCTTGTTATTCATGTTCCATGTTATTCACATTCCATTGTTATTCATTTTCCCTGTTATTCACATTACCTTGTTATTCATTTGCCCTGTTATTCACATTTCCTTGTTATTCATGTCCCATTATTCACATTCCCTTGTTATTCCAGGAGTGTTAGTCAGATCCAGCAGCAGCAGCAACAACAGCAGCAGCAGCAGGGAGGTGGTACTGTAACTAATGATGTCAACAGTAGGAACAGCAATTCAGAAAAGATGGAGATGTTATTATGAGACATGACATTCTGGATACTACAGTACTATATAAATACATGTCATGACAACAACCAACTAGTAGTGTATCACCATGCAATACTTGATACCTACTGGGATGTGGGGGTTCATCCAATGGACACCCAGTCAATGAATGCTGGTCTGAATGCAAAGCTGATAGAGGCTGGATACTGGCAGCAGGGATATTGCCGTGGATACCTCAGAAGTGAATAGAGATTTGCGTAGAGATCCAGCAAAATGGATATGAACAGGGATGCATCCTTGCCCTGTCACAGGTTCAACTAGATACCTAATGAATGAATACTGACAAAGATACCTTCCTATTGGATAACTGCCATGTCGATAGTGATGTAACTAGATATTATAACGCATGTACGATAGATACACAGAGAACCTCAATTCTCATCATTGGATTTATTGAATGTGTAATAATCCAGGAATTGGGTAGTGGTAACAGAAGCATTATGGGCCATAAATCATCTTGTTACAGTGATACCACCTGGGTCATATGTGCTGTTTGGTATTAGCGATCTACAATCTATATATCATAGTACAGTACACAGTAGGTGATAGCAGCATTGAATATCTGACTCAGTTTGTTAATCATTTGCTTCATTTGAAGCTGCTCAGTGAGTCTAGAAACTGCTGGTTCAGTGGTTGTGATGGGCACAGCAAAGCATTGTTGGAAGGGGAGGATTGTGTTGAGAAAATATTGTGTTTGATAAGGGGCATTGTGTGAAGCAGGCGTTGTGGAATGAGGAGACATTTTGTGACAGTAAGGCATTGTGTGACAGAATGGTATGATGTGACACATTCTGCCCATAGTCACTCAATACTTCCTCAAGACCAAAAGTTTGGATAATAACATGGCACAATCTCAGAGAAGAATTGTACGTGTGTTGTGTGCTATTCACAAAGCATGGAGTTAAGTAGAGCTTATCATATTCAGGAAGAGTATCATTTATCAGGGGATAGGATTGGATATATATGTTAGGAATGCTCTGGAAGAGTGGGAGTTGTTATTTGTAAATGTATGTGTGTTATAGTGACATTACCAAGGCCTCAAGCAATGAACTCTGCAATAAACCTTGCCATAATTTTACATCTACTGTAACTGGTGTTAATTTTGTGCCTGCTTTTATATTTTGTGATTTTGCATTTTGTCATTCATTTTCAGTTGATCTACTGAATTAAAACTTTGCCAAAAAGCCTAAATTAGCTAGTTGCCAAATTAAAAGCTGCAAAATAACCCTTGTTACAGTATATGGTTTTAGGATGCAAGCAGCACAAGGCAGCATTATTAGTTTGAAATATTGATTAAAAAATATTATTAAAAGTGCGAAGTGATTGTTATCTTTGGGAGGTAAATGAAGATGTTCCAGAGAAAAACATTCTAAGTTTTTTTGAATAATTAACCAAAGATAACAAAAAAATCTGAGTCATAAAATATGATGATGGCTTGATTTGGAAACAGTTAATGTATTTCAGTAGATCATGATGCCAAAATCAGAGGATTGTGAAATTCAAGTGCAAAACTGGTTCTTTTTTCTCAACTAGAATAGTTTTATTAAGTTTCATGAGTTGATAATAATGTCATTATATATCAGTTCTTAATACTGATATAAGTGGATTTTCTATGTGAATATTTTTACTATTTTAAGTTCCTTTGAAGTATGCAATAAAAACCTGTATTGAGTGGCAGTATTTGGAAAGGATGTGCATAAATGCTACACAAATTAGACAGGTGCGTTCTTTTTAGTTGAGTGGCAAAAGTGGAATATTTGCACAACATTCAGAAGATTTTGACGCACCATTCATGTTTTAAAATCAGTTTGAATGATGTTATTGAAGTATAAGTTCCATCGCACTCCATGTGTAGTATCTACAAACATAGTGTGAAAGTATGCCCTTCATGACAATGTACTGGTAGACATACAGTACAGTAAACTGGCTTGATTTGGTGCTTATTTATTAGCAGGATTTAGGAGGTGATTCTATCACATTGACACTGAGCAATCATCCTGAGGATTTTGCTTTATTTTGGTGAAGATTGAATCGCTACCTTGTAGAGAATTGGTGAATTGCCAAATTAAACCAAGCGCTGAATTAACCCAAATTACAGTACTTAGTATAAATCAGAGAGTGAATGATTGCATAAAAACATGATCTGGTGTTAGAAACTTATTTTAATATTAAATACTTGCCTTACATTGCAGTACACATGCACAGTATGATTAATACAAGTGTATTCTACCATAGTTTTCAACTGTGGAGTTCAAAAAAGTTATTTGCCAAGCAAAAACTGGAAAATCTGTAAATAGTTGTCCATGTTAAGTTGCATGGGTTGATCTGTATGTGGAGGTGATAGTTAAGTTTAAACCAGTGTGAGTTCAGTCCAAGAAAGTCTTAGAATAAGAGTAATTTAGAAATTCCCTAAATGTAGAGCTCATGAGCATTGAGAACTGTGTCTGATTGTCAATTACAGTCATTATATTCACTCCAGAGAACATTTTACAATGAATAGTAAAACCTGTCTAATATAAACACTTGTAAAGTGTTTACATTTCAAGGTGTTCGCTTTAAGAAAAGTGTTTGCATTAGATACGTATTTATGAGAAGTGTTCACAATCATAAAAGGGTTTTATCCAAAATGATACACATTTAATTTATTCAGTTGTATTCTATATTTTAGTCTTTGAAATCAGGATTTCAGAATTAAGACATTGATATGGCTTCAACAAGAAATAACAAATCATGTTTAACAGTTTGAAGTGTTTTAATTAATTCTGATTTCATGTCATTTTAAATTGAATCATGTTATTATTTATCTGTTTCACATTGTTAAAACACTTGTACATCATATGTACTTTAAAACATGTTGCATATAGTCGTAGATCCACCACAATGGAGAGTACATGGACATTTTATAATACCTGTTAACATTATAGTTTCAATTCATGTTATGTTTAGAAAAGTCAGTATCGATAAGACAAGATGTTACTATGAAAAGCATCTGATTTTATTATATAAGCATTATATTCACACAAAAATGTTCCCTTGTTTTCTTGTGATGCTTTCATTCTGTTTGAATATGCTTCACAAGAAAATAGTTAGCATTCAAGATTTTTGTGTGCAATTGTATTCTAGAGGCCAATGTTGACATCAAAGTGTCCAATGTTGACATCAAGTTTTACACTCACTGTGCAAAGCTGCAATCAAGTCACTTAATTCTCAGACTGTGACAGTTGGAACATATTCATGTGAAATATGTACATTTTGCTCGAAAATAAAGCAGAAAACAACTTTAAAAAATATAAACATTAATTTGTCTGATTGTTTTTAGCCTGTGTTTTTTTATTTGAGAGAAATTATGATGTGTCTTAAGAAATATCACAATGAGCATCTGCACTTTTACATTAGTTTGGGGTATGTTACCAAAATATTTCAAAAAGGATGATGACTATCAGTCTATCAACACTCTTATGGTCACTCATAATTTTTTGAAAAAGGCAGTGTCAAAATATCCTCAATAACAAGGATTAAAATGTCCAGTAAAGTGCAGACAAAATGTTTAATCTATCAAATCAAAAAATAAGGCATCAAAGGACCACACTTTTGGATACAGAGAACTCAATATCTGCTTAAATGTTGATGTGTTTTTACCCTGTGCGTAGAGTCTAGTTATAAACTACCCTCTGCCTAGCATAGACAATATTACAGTTTAGCAACCCCGCCCTCACGATCGGTGCCTTTGACAGCCCAGGTCATAAATCATTTCAAATCTATCACGCTGACATTTTCTCAACCAACTGGATGGAACAAGTGCTATATACTTGCTCATTAACTATGCGATGGTGTCAGAGGAAATGACCATGTGTAGAAAGTCATCCGTATTGCGACGACAAGCTCTGATTGGCTTGGTGAGATCAGAGATTTATTGTAAACTGAAAAAGTGAAGATGAAGCTCTCTTTTAAGAAGTGAAGTCAAATGAATCCAAAGGGTACATTGTTTTTGAAGTTGATGATGAAAAATGGGTCTTGGGGTAGGCATAAGATGTAAGACATGTAAGAGGTACGCCCCAAAGATGCACTGACATGACTGAAATTGACCTGCTTTTCTGTATCTATGTCCATCTGACAGTTTTCTCTTAGGCATTCAAGATAAAAAATTTATAAGGGACATTTGTTTTCTTTAAAATATATTCATTGCTGACGCTAGTGCCACTGTATGTTTATAAAAAATGATTTACCTGCAAAATGCCACAACTGTGACAGACGCTGACCGCAAAAACACCAACCGCCATCCAAAAAAAAAGTTGGAGACTAACAAGATGGAGTGATATAAAAATAAACCAAATAGCAAACAATATACAAGTTTTTGACGGTTATGATGTTTCCTATTGTTGCCCCTCGGCTTCATGCATATTCTCTGGGATGCAAGATTCGGTTGTCGAATTTGAGCCAAAGTTCATCAGCTCATGTCCTAGGGGGATATTGGCACCAAAAGGAATCTTTAATAGGGTGATGAATCTCTATATATATTTGAAGCCCCATAAGGCGCTAATGTCGCCACCAAAAGTGGTGACATATAAGTCTTCAACTTTTTTGTCAAGTGTTTGGCAGTCAGTGTCAGAGAAATGGTAGGTGGTAATATAATGCATTGCATTACCTAGCTAAGCATTTGTATGGAAGTCAATGGAGCTGAAGGTCGGCTATATATTCCTGTATAACCACCAAACTTTTTACCATGACAGTCTTATGACGTCATGTTTCATTTCTTCCAAATTTCACTCGCACACAGACGTGTGACATCATTGATATAACATAGCCATGGAAATAAAGGTATGTAATACAACAATTATGTCCATATCATTGAATATATGCCTTTGGTATGTAGAAATATTTTGATGACTGACCTCAGGCATATATTCAATGATAGGGACATAACTGCTAATTAATGCCTGTTTTGTTATCTGCGATGAGCCTTTGACATGGTCCCTTATTTTTGGGCCACCCCTTCATTTGTTGATAAAGGATTAATGATTATGATATGGTCATTTAGGTGAAGTTCAAGCAAAAATTGTAAATGATGTTGAAAATGGTGTTTCTTTGTATCTGAAATAACCAGTTCATGGGCATAGGAATTTTATCTTTTGAGTCTATAAATAATTACAAGATAATGAAAATTTTTGAACCAGGGTTGCAATTCTTAAAACATTCTTAACTAGCAAAGTCAATGGTTACAAACATCGAAATTTTGAATAAATTAAAATTTCCTAATTTATTGAATGTTTCAAGAAATGTAACCCAGATATTTAAAACAGATATTTTGACATATATCTCCTTTCCTCTTTACACTCAAACATACAAAAGCTGCATTTGTTAGTTTCAAATGAATTTATTTCACGACTAACTATTGCATTTGTTAGTCTGTTAGTGGCACATTTAGAATGAGTATGTTTATCAGATTTTGTGATAATAGCAAGCAGTACCAATCCTGATGTAATATTTCACTAGATTGGAACTAGCAGTACCATTATCGTATTATTACTTCAACTGTTAGTCCAAAAGAACAATCAGAGATTCATCATCCAGTAATCATAGTCCAGTTTTGTTTCTTTTTGTCTTGGTTTAAAGTTCATGAGTGGTGGGTGATTTAATATTCTTCACCTTCCTCTTCACCCTCTCCCTCAACAGAGTCGACACCGACCTCTTCGTAGTCCTTCTCAAGGGCAGCCAGATCCTCACGGGCCTCGGAGAATTCTCCCTCCTCCATACCCTCTCCAACGTACCAATGGACGAAAGCACGCTTGGCGTACATGAGATCGAATTTGTGATCAAGACGAGCCCAGGCCTCAGCGATGGCGGTGGTGTTGCTCAACATGCACACAGCACGTTGAACCTTAGCCAAATCACCTCCGGGGACGACGGTGGGTGGCTGGTAGTTGATTCCAACCTTGAAACCAGTTGGGCACCAATCAACAAACTGGATGGTACGCTTGGTCTTGATGGTAGCAATGGCAGCGTTGACATCCTTGGGGACGACGTCACCACGGTACAACATGCAACAGGCCATGTACTTTCCGTGACGAGGATCACACTTGACCATCTGGTTGGCTGGCTCAAAGCAAGCATTGGTGATCTCAGCAACTGAGAGCTGCTCGTGGTAGGCCTTCTCAGCAGAGATGACTGGGGCGTAGGTGGCCAGAGGGAAATGGATACGTGGGTAGGGCACCAAGTTGGTCTGGAACTCAGTCAGATCAACGTTCAGGGCACCATCGAAACGCAGAGAGGCGGTGATAGAGCTGACAATCTGTCCAATCAGACGATTCAAGTTGGTGTAAGTTGGGCGCTCAATGTCCAAGTTACGACGGCAGATATCGTAGATAGCCTCATTGTCGACCATGAAAGCACAGTCAGAGTGCTCGAGGGTAGTATGGGTGGTCAAGATGGAGTTGTATGGCTCAACAACAGCGGTGGATACCTGAGGAGCGGGGTAGATGGCGAACTCAAGCTTGGACTTCTTGCCGTAGTCGACGGAGAGACGCTCCATCAACAAGGAGGTGAATCCAGATCCAGTACCTCCACCGAAGGAGTGGAAAAGGAGGAATCCCTGGAGACCAGTGCACTGATCAGCCAACTTCCTGATGCGGTCAAGGACGAGGTCAACGATTTCTTTGCCGATGGTGTAGTGACCACGGGCGTAGTTGTTGGCAGCATCCTCCTTACCAGTGATGAGCTGCTCGGGGTGGAACAGTTGGCGATAAGTTCCAGTACGGACCTCATCTGTAAATAGAAAATGAAGCAAATCATGAATAAGTATTACTTTGGGGAATTTCTGGTAGTATGAACAGCCTTAAAAATCAATAATATTATCATATGCACTAGATCTAATTCCCATGAGTCATAGATCCAAGCTTAATGTATGAATATTCTGTTGTTGGCTTGATCAATATTAAATTTGTATCACCAACTGCTAGATATTTGTATCACCATCTTTGTGATATTCTTAGAATGGATAATTAAGAATTTAGATTTGTATTAAAATCGTGACATATTTTTTACATCAGGCTAAATATGTACAAATGCAAAATTAATCTACAGATTCTGCAGATCTGTAATGGTAAATAACCAGTCCTGAAAATTAGAAAATCTGTACTTACCAACTACAGTAGGCTCCAAGTCAACGAAGACTGCTCTTGGGACGTGTTTGCCAGCACCAGTCTCACTGAAGAAGGTGTTGAAGGAGTCGTCACCACCTCCAATGGTCTTGTCACTTGGCATCTGGCCATCAGGCTGGATTCCGTGCTCAAGACAGTACAACTCCCAGCAGGCGTTACCGATCTGGACTCCAGCTTGTCCAACGTGAACGGAGATACATTCCCTCTGAAATAGTAAAATGATACATTTAGCCTAATAATACGACCTAAAATAATAATTAATATTCCAGACGGACTGCCACAAGAAATATGTCAAATTGAAATGTAAATTCATGGGCTTTCAACTCTAATTGAAAGCCCATGGTAAATTCAACAATATAAAACTGAGTGAAATCATTACTCTTTATTGTATCTAATAAACTATATTCACATGAATTTTGTGTTGATATTTCTAAGGATTGTTTCAGATTGAGAAGAAAATTCTAGACAAGAATTTGGCACATTAAAAAGGCTGTCACTTCTGCTCTTGTCAATTTTCCGCTATTTAGCCACCCATACCTTCAAATAAAATAGCTACGACAATAAAAACATATATTACTTACCATTTTGATTAGTTTTGTTGTTATATATTCTCAAAAAGAATAGAAATCTGTGTTTTGTTCAAGTAGAACCTCACGACGACAACGATGATGTCTTGTAAGTTTAAACTGGAGACGTTGGGACAACAAGGAAGCTTTTATACTACATATCGATCGGTAACTAGGCAATGCAGCGCTAACTTTGAAATATGGACTTTTGATTGGCTCAGGAGAAACGTTGTCTTAGAGATAGCATTTATTTTGGAGGGAACCGATTGGTTAAAGAGTGATCTTAGTTATACATGTTCTGTTCTTAATGTCTGCATAACAGGCCCTTATTGTGTATAACAAAAGCCGATTCAAACTGGAATTTACAAATATTGAAACTATTCATTTGGAGACCGTCGTTACAACACATAAACAATAGACAGATGAATGAATAAATTCCTGGGAATAAGTAAGAATGCTAGAGAGTGGCCGCATTACTCGAAGATATTGTATTTTATTCCATACATAATATAAATTGTAGCATCAAGTTTCCACAGAGACATAAAAAACTATTGACAGACTTGTAGAATACTTGAAATAATTCAATATCTCAGAGATAAAGAACTAAATTATTGGTCCCCCCGGGAATTATGATCCTTCTTGTATGGATAGCTATTTGAGTAATCCATTATAAATCTTAATGAGAGAAATAATCAAATATTTGAGTAATCCATTATAAATCTTAATGAGAGAAATAATCAAATATTCATATAATCCAGGATAATCCGTGTACAAGTCAGTTGGGTGGGGGGGTGAAACGGGCAAATGGCAACATGTTAAGTAACAATGAGGTAACAATTACGCCAGGTTTAAACTAATTAATAAAATAGATTTAATCAGGTAACTGAACAAAACCTTACACAAAACTGAGAGAGGGTAATGGGGGTATTTGAAAAATTATCTATACATCAGCACTAAATGTCCGATGTATGCCAATATGACATTAATCCATGTTATTTAATTTATATTGATACCCTTAAATGGTAAAAATAAATCAAATATTACATTGTGAAAATTTGGAATCCCCTATTCAATAACATGGGGTGTGTGTCACTGTAGGATCCACAGACTGAACAAATATCATGCATGTTGTGTGCATTCCATATATTTCACTAACCATATTAATAGGTTCATTCAAATTATATTTCTACATATTAATAACTTGAACAAAATAACAATGAAATTCCATACGATCTAAGATCAGTTAGTGGAATAATGAAACATAAAGTACCCCCCTTAGAAAGATACATAAGTTCAAGCATCTAAAGTTAAGAGATACTAGAGGTATCACCACTGGCTGATGATTTGATATTCCAATACAATGTATTTCCCAAACCAATTTATATAAATAAACATATACAATATTTTATTCTAAATCAATACAATATTATTGAAAGATATGAAAGGTGATTGCTGAACTGACTACATTTTCATTGACTTCACAGATATTTGAATTTCAAAAAAAAAATCTTAAATTATTTTCAATATCTATAATATAATCTGGGGGGTATAAATAGTCATGTGTTTACTGCATAACAAATCAAATATTAATCCTGAACACATGGCCTTGCCTAAGTCAGTTCTTTTACTTATCTTGATCTTCAATTGTGAAGTAAAGAAGTAAAAATGAATAAAAAAGACACCGACTTAGGCAAGGCTACTGAACACAGAAAAGACCATAAAATAATACATATGATTGTGAGATATGAAATCTGTAATTTGCTATTTTCATTTCAATGGCACAATATAATTATCTATGTTGTCATTCTAACAGACTGAAAAGTTTACCCACAAGCAAAATATTAGAGACTACAGGCAAGACAATTCGAATTGGGTTGGTTTTGATGAAATAAAATGTCTATTTAAGAAATATAGACCGAAGAGCAGGTGTTATATTGATGAATACATACCGCAGGGCTAGGCACAAGCGTTTTCTGTTTGAAAGCTTCGCAAGTTTTTGTGCCTATCCATAAGGTATGTATTCATGGATATAACACCTGCTCTGAGGTCTTTATTACGATTCGAACATGAAAACTCACCAAATTTTTTTGAATATTCATTATGGCCCGCCATTACTATGACCCATCGTTATAACGTCACACATTACTCGTATTACCAGGTGCAGTGTTGACGAATACATACCGGGTGAAATATTGACTTTGTTCACAGTTTTTAGAAAGCGTGAATACAGTCATGTTCGAATTTCAGTTAGACCAAAACATTAAAAGCATGGTTGATTCAATCCTTTCCATCCAATTTGCATTTTGTTGATATCAACATTACATTTTCTATATCCAACTTGTTTTTGAAACAAGCTGTGAAATTTGAAGAGAAGCCTTAGTGTTATTAACTAGTAGTCTCTTCTTGAGCTACAAGGACAAACACATGTTTATGACTTGCTGATCTAAATTACACATCAGGTCTCAGTTTAGAAAAATAAATATTGCCAAAGTGAAGATTCATGTTTACCCCAAGGTTCCTTTTATCTCCTCTAAGCTCCAAACAGGTGTAGAAAGTAATAATGTTCAAAAGTTATGAGAATTAAAAGTATCCCGATGCATTTGATGCCATATTTCAGATCATAAATAGGCCTATCTACGGTCCATGTAATTTTTATATTCTCTAGTCCTTTGGTGTCTGTCTGGTTGTTATGACGACGCAGTTGCAGGATCTGTTGTGGTGGAATCTGCTGGAGGTGCTGGTTCACTTGCCTCCGTGGCTGCTGGGGTATCAGGACTTGTTGTTGTCACAGGCACCTGGGGGACAGAGCTTGACACATCTGTCATAGGTAGAGGGGGGATTGATATATTTGTAGGGAGCGGGAGACTTGTTGGTAACATTGACGCTGGAAAATGAAGTAAATTTAAAAGCATTTCATTTTTATTATTGACTTGAATAGCACTCACTGGTAATTGCTGTTACTATTATCCCAAATACAGTATTCAAAAACAATTTAATCAAAAAGTAGTCAGCAAGTGAATTAAGGTTACAAACATGTAATGTACAGTATTAATTTTACAATAATGTATTGTAAATTGCTTCAATAAGACACCTGGTCTAGTTTGGCAATTCACCAACTCTGTGAAAACTTAAATCTTCATCAATAGCTAGTTTACATTGGTATCCTGTGATCTCATATTTAATGAATTTTATCAAAAATCTGTTAAAATAAATAGCCACCAATGAATTCAAAACAATGCCAAATCAAACCGATTTACAGTAAAAATGGCGAACAATGCAAGAAGAATGTAATCTTTGACTTACTTGTTGGGAGAGGGGGCATCCCAGCTGGTAGATTGAGAGGAGGCATACTGATGGGGGGCATGCCTGGAATCTGTATTGGGGCCATCATTGGGGGCAGGTTTGACAGACCAGGGATATTAGGGAATGTTGATGGTACAGTCACACCTGCAAAATACAACACCAAAATTGTGATATAGCCTACTCCATACTTTCATTTCTCTAAATCGCTAAAAATGTTATTTTAGTTCCAATTTATTTTGATGCCTCCAGAAGTTTTTTAGACTACAGTGAGCATTTTGGTATCATTTGGTAGCAGATAACGCTCTAATCCCTACCTGCTGCTGAAGCCCCTCCTGGGGTACCAGTCAAGTTTACTCCCCCTGGTAGACCACCCTGGGGGGTAACTCCTGATGTATCACCTCCACTTGATGGTGGAATTACAGGTATTGTAGGACTAGCTGGAACACCAACAATATTTGGTGAAAATTGTGCAACTTTAGGAGATTTAAAATTAAAATTTCAGAGAGTAATTCAAGAGTAATTCTAGGAAACAATGGATATCAATATCAAAATAATTTTACAAGTGTGCTTCATTTGCATGTATCTCAAACAAGTCATAGTATGGAATAAAGACACCATTTAGACATACCTGTGTTGAAAGCAGTTGGAGGGGGTCCTCCTAGTGACATGTTGGCCATATTCTGAGCCACACCCGCAGCACCAGCACCTTGACCTGGGGATGCCAGGGAAACCTAGAACACAACAAATATGTTACTCTAGTGGACAGCTCTAGGACTTCGGCCTGCGGATATCAGGGAATCCTTGAACCAAACAACAACAAACATGTTACTATATTGACCAACACATTTGAATAGAACAAACAAACATATAACAATAATGACCTGTAGCACCTTGACCTTGTGATACCAAGGAAACCTAGAACAAAAACAAACATGATACTATAGCTACCAACTTTCTGAGTGTATCATAGAAACCTAGAACACAAAAATCATGTCATTGCATGGCTATGACAGAATAAGTTTGTTATCCAGTCTCATAACCTTACTTTTAATACTGAATGATATTCACCAACTGCAAGGGAGCTATCAGTATCACTGATCATTAAAATACCTTTTTAATATGTTTTAATGGCCTTTGGCAAACCACATTAAATGCATTGGGATCAATAATAGTTATTAGCATGCAACATAATAATCTATGTGACACATTAATATATTTTGAGGATATTACTGCAAATGACTACACATTCAATGCTGAACATGTGCAATTCGTGATTGACAAGCTTTGATTTAACACGTACATAACATGTGACATTTCCTTTGATTACTCCACTCAGTTTGTTGAGAATGAAAAAAATTAAAATGACACCAATTAAAAATCTATTTGATCATTTGTTTGATCAGTTCTGGACTTTACTCATTCAAATTACAGGTACATTGAAAAGTTGGGACCCAAGTTTTAAGTGATTTGAAAAAATGCAGGACTCACAAACATCTCTCTCATCCCCTGACTAATATTCATGTCTCATATTGTCTTACATACTTGGACATGAAAAATAGACACTAACAATTATTTTACAAAAGGATAAATAATTTATTCATTGCATTTGTTTTTACAGTGAAAATCAAAGCTGCAATAAGGTCCCATGTAAAACTATCTACTTGAGTTCAGCCACCCAATTTTCTCAAGCTATCTACTCAAGACCAAGAATTTCTTCAAATGGCCAAATGCACAAAATGATCTGAAAATCTAATCGGCATGTTTTAAATTATAAATAAGGAGAATATGCACCATGACACCCGACTTTTTGATGATTTAGAACCTCAATGGGCATTTCACAATCATAGGTTCAAACTGACCTATGCAATTTGGGACCACTTTGTCTTTAAACTTTTGTTGATTTTTCAGATTATTTTTCACAAATCAAAATTTAAAATGTTAATCAGGGGGAATTTCAATGGCTTTTGAATCATCATAAAAGTGGAGTGTCATCGATGATTTCTGTTTAGTATATAGAGTCACCATCACCAAAGTATCTTTCATGCTAAAGAATATATGAACAAAAACCTATACTAGTTATAGACAAACAAAACAAAGGTGTGTTGGAATCACTCATCTCAATTTTACAAATCAATCAATTTATCTGAATTAACTTTGTCACATGGTGGTTTTGTGTCTAATGGGCCTAACATTGTCTGAGTTGGTGTATTATTCTGGGTGTCACTTGCTGCAATGGTTGGTTCTGTATTGTCTTTTACATTGTCAAGACAACCAGGGACAGGAGGGTTAACTACTACACTTCCTGGTGAAACATTTGCTTGAGTGACATCACAGCATGTACTTGCCACAGGATTTGAACCAGTTGACACACCATTATGTGTCTCATCAGACACTGACACACCATTTTCAATTGACACATCTTTCGACACAACATTTACTGACACAGGGCCTGTAGGAGCATGTTCACAACAGGGTGGTGAGACAACTGCCTGTAAAGTAGATACTCAGTGTTCACCAAGGATAAAGAAATTAAATAAAGCTGATGATATCGTAGTTGTGTGACAGTCTACTGGGAATGATGGTCTATTTCACAGGCTGATAATACAATTGTGTTTTACCTCTGAAAATCCATCCTGTTTAGGAGGCTGAGAGGCTGCAGCTGTTCCTTGGATTGATACAGTTGGGGGAAATTTCTCAACATCTGGTATCCTATGCAAGTAGCCGTAGCCAATACCACAACCCAAACTGTCAATAAAGAAGAACAGAACAGATATTAGCTAATACAAAAATAAATGGAGTAGACTGTATAATTAACTATATGTATAAAGTTGGAGAAAACATTACCATTACTATTTAAATTGAAAAATATTTTCTTGAATATGACCATGTTGCATTCAGGTTATTTTTATCATGAAATTAATACTGTAATTGTTATTCCCTATTAATGCTTATGTATGCCTACCTTCCTTCCCCACCCCAAGATGAGTTGGGTGTAATTGTGACCTCCCTACAACCATCAGTATCTGTATTATAAACATATAGCTTCAGAGGCTTGCCTTCATGGGATTCTATCAGAGTGAACAGGTCTTCAGACTGGAAATAAAAGCAGACAAAATATTGATTTGTATTAATCCGTTCACAGTGAGAGCTCCAATCATGATCATTATTCTGGATATTAATGATCTACTGTTTATAGTCATGTACTTTGTATTCAAAATAGACTTCAAATTAATAACTATGTATGCTGTCATCATAAGGTGGGCAGATTTAGATTAATTTGTTAATATATGCATCGTGAGAGACACAGCTTTGCATCTCAGTCCCTCTGGCCTCAGCCATATGTTTTTTGCAAGGCAGAGACACAGGCCCGTAGCCAGGGGGGGGGGTTCGGCGAACCCCCCCTGGCCAAAATTTCTTTCAAAATCATGCAGTTGTTCACCATTCTGACTATTTTTTGAGTGATTTTTGGCCAAATTTGCAAAGTGAACCCCCCTAGAATTTTTTGTAAAAGTGAACCCCCCCCCCTTGGAAAATTCTGGCTATGTGCCTTAGACATTATACTTCATCTGCTCGATTATGATAAAATAGAAGCAGTTTTTGTACATACCTCATGTAGAATGGAGTCTGCCCCTATGATGTAGTCATTGTTTGAATGTAGACCAGCCTGGGAGGCTGGAGAGTTGGGGTGTACCTCCTAAAGAAATACAATGATCATTATGTATACTTTTTTACATACATATATTTTCTTGGTTTTCAAAGGATGGGGTAAGGTGCTTCTACACATGGAGGCCTAGAAAACATGTTGACCCCCATGTTGGAGTGTTGAGATTAAGAGGATATCTTTAATACTGAACAACAGAATACATGTATATTCATATTTGACACTGGATAGTTCAATATTAATTTAAGGAAAATATAAATTATAGGTCACTGACTAAAATTTGGGCTATTGCTAAAAAACAACTATTTTCCAAATAATATTTTGTTAATTAATGCTGTAGCAGTGAGCCATCTTTTAGTGGTATATAACTACCATAAAACGTATAGGAGTCAGTATATCTTTTGAGCATAGGCCTATATTAAAATTTTCAATATTGAACCTAGAATATAAATGTAATTAAATCTCAGGAATCATTGTCTCATTCATAAGTAAATTTGTACTAATCAATGTGATTTATCTCAACATAAAATGGTCATAAATGTTTTAACTCACCAATACATGCCACACATTCTCATTAGCACCTTCAAATGAACAAAATCTGAAACATAAAGATACTTTTATTCAGATATGCCAGACGCAGAAATATTGAATTGTATCGTCAGATTTGTTTCATTTTACCTACTATGCTATGATGTTATACAATATTATATTACACTAGTAGTTGTTCTTTCTTTTTGCATTACCATCCATGACATACGGTATGGATATCCTGCCATTGAAACAATGTGATTATGATACCCTTGAATTGACACATAGACAAATAGCAAAACGTATTCAACAATTGCCATGTAGTGTGCATAACGAAGCTTCTTTGGCACAACTGGGCTGGTCGAGGATTCGTGCGGTCATAGATACAAAAAGTTAATGTTTCTGTGGTGCATCCTAAATCTACCAACCACATGTGTGTATAAAATGATTTTTATAATTGAGTTCTTTAGATGGAAGTCAATTTCTGAACATTCAAAGTTGTACAGCAACTATTCAGTAATAAATGCAGTTTTGAACCTTGTGACAAGATACAATTTATGGCGATATATTGATGAATATTTTTTGAATTATGACCTGATGCCCAAATGTGCGTGGAAACGGATCGTTAAAGCATGCATAATACAATACGAAGAGGACAGATGGCACTTGTTATGTAACATATCTAACAGACTTAGCGTTTATAGAACGATACAAGTTACGATAAAACCATGCCTATGGTGGAGAATTTGTCAATCGAATTGTAAATATATAGGGATGTGTAGGGATATGGTAAAACTGCTAACTGGTGCTTTCCCACTCAACTATGACACTATTTGTCCTCTGTGTGGGATGACAAATGAAATGACAAGGCATTTTCTCTTAGATTGCCTTGAACTTCATGTAAGTAGGAGTGACTTGTTGGCAGTTTAAAGTGACAGAATATTTGATGGATATAATATGGTTGAAAAAATGGAGGTCCTACTAGGAAAAAAATGAAGCATTCGACTACAGAATGTATGTGAAGATAATGTTAAGTGTCAAACATATGTTAAAAACAAGAGCTACAGCTATAGCTCTATAAACTATTAAATCAACACAGTTTGCGTTGTAAATATATATATATTTTTATTTTTATATTTTTAATATTGCCACATTAACTTTATAATTATTATGTACTCATCTGCATAGGTGGAAATAAAGATACATAAACATAAACATTGACTTACCTAATGCTGACCCCAAGTAGGCCCTGTCCTCCCCAATGGTGACTTGGAGTGATAGAGACATCTCTGACACTTTGTGTCTTGCTGCTGTAGACAGTCATCTGTACTGGCTTCTCAATGTTAGTCTTTAATAATTCCTTTAGGTTTTCATTGTCTTGGTTCTGGAAACACAATCAAAAATATGCATGTATTATAAAATGACTACTAGCTTTTGAAGAAGTGAATGTGCCAGAGTGTGTATGCATGCGTTTCAGTAAGACTAGATATTCCAAAAGTATTTATAATGGCCTGTTTGTAAAGCTGATTTATGATATAAAGTCAAATATTTAATACATGTACTTACAAGTCTTGTTGTTCCTATTGCAACTATGAAGTCAAAGAAAGCTTCTAGTCCAGCTTTGTGGCCTGGGGAGTTCTCCTGCACCTGCAAGAATGAGACATGCTAATTGAATGATTTATTGATTGATCAACTGAATGGAGGCATGATTGAACACTCTAGTTGCTGTATGTCATACAGTATCACCAAACAGTAATATTCTATTTTGTTAATGAGATTTATGTCAGTCATACATGCCCCAGTCTCATACTTATAAATAAAGAATGAGATAGTAATGTTATATAGACCATAGCCTATCTATTCATATGTGCTAGTCTCAATGAGCACAATAAACGTGTGTGCACTCTGATCATGTTATGTGGATCTACACAAGTACACAATATGTGAAGATGTAACGAGACCCTATCTGTTGCAAGACCTATGCCTGGCACAACCATCACCATGTTATTAAGTGTTTTTAAGTTTTGCAAGGATCCTGCCATGACCGTGGTAGAATCTAGTGTTATCGTGATAGCCTGGTATAACCGTCACAATGCTATATTATATTGCATGGCCTGTCATAACCGTGGTAATGTTAAAGCCTGATATGACCTTGACAATGCTATACTATATTTTAAGGCCTGACATGACCATGGCAATGTTAAAGCCTGATACAGTGGCCTTAGAAGAAGGTACATGTAAGGCAGAATGCTCGATCCTTATGATTTACTCGAGTCTCTAGCTTACAGCTAGACGAAACTTCATTGATTTCGTATGTACTGTGCTACACGCACCAACACGCACCTAGAACTCATTTTTAATAAATTTTATAAATATTTTTAAGAATATTAATCATATTTAGGATGAAGCGTTGCTTGTCTGGATTTAGATATTTCAAAATTTCACTTCGGAGTTTGACACATGGTGAAATTTTCTCGCTGTAGCTAAAAATGGCTTCCGGTTCTGGACGTGAATAACATTTGAAATTATTCTCGCTTAAAGAAATCAAATATAACAATAGATTCAGACGGGGATGTGAGCTGATGTTCTTCAAATCTATACATAAAGGTATATTTCATATTAATATGCCATTTTTACTGTGCGTGTGACACAATGATTTACAATATTTATAATTCTAAGGCAGCTCAATCTTCCTCCTCAAAGCTGGAATATAGAGAAGGCTTTGGACCGAAGTAACTTATGATAAACCGAACAAAATGTAAAATAAAGACATATGACAAGAAGAAAGACTGACTGTCATGCATGGATCTAGCCTAAGTCTTAGCCCATCTGAAAGATTTGTAGCCTAAGCTTAGATCTAGACTAATCAAAATCATTTTTCAATTTTTTGTAGGCCTAAAAAATTGATTGAGATTCGGAAAACTCCGTCCATGTTTTTATGAAACATATACTTACTCTCAAGACATGGTACCCCTCAGTTCCTCCACCTGGTACTGGAGAGCTTGCTGAACCTCCCATATTTCTTACCTAAGCGCTAATACAATGAATATCAGACGTAATTTTGGAAAATTGCAACTTCTTCTTTTACGTCCGCAGATCCAACATGGCGACGTGGCAAAGTGTTGCATTGTGGGATATGCCAACATCGCCCTTTGGTTATTTGTAAATCTCAAGGAACTGACAGTTTTTAGTGCATTTCACAACACAAAATTTTCCCAGGTGATTCTACAAATACCCAATAGTCTATCTGGTGTATTTCTGTGAGTGTGAATATGAGGAAAGTTGTCTTGTGGTCAATCTTGTAAACCACGAAATGCAGTATGGGTAATTTTTGTTCAGATTCTTGATGACCATGTTCTTCACTTGTCACTTTCAATCAAACATATCTGCGTTTTTACACATCATCTATGCAACAACCGTATATCTATTGTGAAATAAGTTCTTAATGCATCTTTTGATAAGTTAATTTTAAGTTAAAAGGTTCAAATTGACAGAAATCGGCGTCGAGCGATTGGTACTTGAAAAGATGAGAAAATTTTAGATTTTCTTTGTTCACATTGAAAGACATTTTGATGTTGATTAATCATCATGGCAGCAGAAATAGTGATCAAAGACATTAAGCCTGGTCAAAAGAATATTAACGTCATATGTATTTTGCTAGATATAGGTAGGTAGAGGGAGAAATAACCCTCTCAATGAACGTATTGACCTCGAATAATTCACCAGTCTCAATTTTCATTCACTTTCAATTGGTGTTTTCGTCAAGATCATGACAAGGTAGATGTAAATCGATAGTTGAAAGTTACGATTAATACACTTTTGTTAACTCATGATCAGTCAGGTGAACGATTGAGTGATTTGTGTTGATTGGGAGGGGATTAAATAACACGGAAATGAAAAAGTAAGTATGGAACTGCTTATAGTTTTGCTTTTAGCCAATAGGTGGCGTCAGATACACCAGATTGTGTTTCTAACTTTCTTTTGGTTGTGCCATCCAGATGAAATATGTTTGTACAGTGCAGGCGCAGCATGATCATTCAAGTACACTGCGACTTTTAAGATTTTTTATTTACTAGTTGGATTGTTATATTAACTGTCGGTGGGTTATCTTGATGACTATGGACTGGTTTGTTACGATATGAACAACAATGAACATGGAGCGAGCTGACATATTAGTGTAAAATAAAAATAACATTATTCTTCTATTACAGATATTTGCAGTTGTAGTATTCAAATTTAGCCATTCGACCTCTTGCATCTAGGAAACGAATGAACAATATACTAACTTTATAGGGAAAAATGATTTTAAACATAACTGATTGTACTTTAGAATGTGTGATTGAGCAACACAATCAGTTAACACAATCAGTTTATTCGATTTACTAGCATTTTAATGAAGGAAATAAAACTAAGCTTCAGTCATTAGAAATTAAAAGAGCAACAAAATGTACCATGTTTATAAAACAAATTGTTTTTCTGCGATATTTTTGTATTTATTATGTAAATGGTTTTATCTCCTTGATTGTATTGTTTTGATAGTTCGATATTTGAGAATTTTCACAAATGTTTTTGAAGTATTTCTTTTAATTTTACCAACAACATATTAGATAGTTCAAATAAATAAATCTTCTGTATTTATGGTGATGTTTCTGTAAGTAAGCAATTATTCCCCTTCAATATTTAGGAAAGCCCACAAGAACTAAAGATGGACATGACGTGCGGTCGTGTAAAGTTGCAGACAAAACAGGTTGTATAAATATATCATTATGGGATGAAGCTGGTGACATATTGCAGTCAGGAGACATACTCAGGCTCGTGAAAGGGTAAGTCCTTTTGTCATCTAAAATTTCTGTAAGGGCATAAACATTTGAATTTGGAAAACTCTTCTATATATGTTTAACAAATTTCAAAAGTTAATTTAGTTAGGAATAAAAAATGAGTTAAACCATGGACATTCAATAATAAAGTTAAAATTATTCATTCATATAAATTGTCACGTTTCATCTTTTATGTTGCCATTTCCAGCTTGACTACACATGTACAGTATATATAGGACTGCACTCGATACATTACAGCAATGTGACTAATATATTTGTATGGGCACTTTTTTGTTTTGCTATAGGTATGCAGCCATGTGGAAAGGGAGCCTAACATTATATACTGGCAAAGTAGGAGAACTAAATAAAATAGGAGAGTAAGTGCAAAAATCAGTAAATATTTAATTTATGGATATCCTTGAAATAAAGTATTATTACCATTTTAATAATAAGTGAAAATAGATAAGGAATAATACAAATTGAAAGTATTCTCAGAATGAACACAATATTATTAATATTATTAAAAAGTTGCTCTTCATTTCCCATTCTCCCTTTTACTTAGTAAAAAATCTTGAAGTTGATGATGAATTTAATGGTGAATTAATTTAACATTTTATTATCAAGCTGATCATATGCAAACAATTCAGTTCACATTTAATCAATAAATACTGTAAGACTTGGTAATTGCACTTCTTTTTTAATTTCACAGCACTATGAATTACAACAAGTAGAATGCAAATATTATGATATTAATATTTCTACAATAATCAAATGAATAGTGCAAAAATCATAATCCCAGAGTCTCCATTCCTTTGATGCATTTGAGTTTGTTTCATTTTCATGTTTGATTACAATGGCTAGTTGAATTTTAGTACATGTATAATAAACTTCTTTTTCACAATTTCAGATTTTGTATGCAGTTTTCCGAACTTCCAAACTTCAGTGAACCCAATCCAGAATATATGAAATTGGTAAGCCAACAAATAGTTTTACCTTACACAATGACTTTGCCATGCTAGTAGTCGTCATGAAGGGAATCCAAGTTAAACGAAGCAAAAAACGATCAATGAGGGTGTCAAAAATTTTGACATTTAATTTGTATTTGGAGTTTGTTTGCAACCATCTGGTACATCTGCGCTACACCCATGGTTGCTTATGAATTCTGCATTTTTGGGCTTAAGGACTCAGGACTGTCAATTGATGGAACAAAATTTGTTGATTTAACTTCATACATTACTTGTAAGCAGAATATATAAATTTCTTCTCAAATCACCCAATATAGCCTAAATGTAGTAAAGAATTTTGAAGACAAAAAAATAATGTCATTTTGATCAATATCATGTTTTTGAAGTGGACATGTAAAGCAGCATTAAAAGATATGACTTTTCTTCATTCCATACAATCTTGGGCTAGTATTATATAGTTGCAATAAACAGCAGTCACAGCATTACATGTATGTGTTTCTCTTGTAGTTGGAGCAGCAGAACAAACAACGTAAATCACCAACAGAAGATCAGGGAGGACAGAATGGACAGAACAGACCTCCACACATGGGAGGACCTCAAGGTATGACTACATACAATACTGCAGTAGGCACTTGCACAAATGAGGAAAGGACTTGTTAAATCTATAAGATTTTGGGTCTAAATGGCCTCATTTTCAGAAATCGGTCTGTCAAACCGCTCCTTTGAAAATTTGCACATCTGCTTCTTCTATGTTACAACTTACAACTAGTCGTAAATAAAAGTGAAAATCTGAAAGAATGTGTCATTCAAAACCATTTAAGTAATGAATCTTTTAACTGGAAAACTCTAGTTTTGATAAATGAAAATGTGATGCTAATTTTAACACCCACATAACTTTGGTCTTTTTTGCAGGGCAGCAAAGCAGTGGAAACAATTCCCGTCCCCCAAGACCTATGGCCCCAGGGGGTGGTCAAGGGGGGAGACCTCCTATGAATGGACTTCAGGGGCTACAACAAGCTGTTCAAATGCAGCAGTCAAACATAAATATGGGAAACAGAGGGAGGGGTGGCAGGAGATAGAATTGCCTTACAAAATGTTATGATGGCCATGTAGTAAAATGTTCATTCTCATGCCATATGTCTCAAGTGGTCTCTCTGATTTTCATTGTTTTTTCACATTTCTCCAGTGAAGCGAATTATTCCCAAAAGACCTTAGACTGATGACTGAATGATGTTAGACTATAAAACAGGTCATACTTTAGAGAAAGCAACACTTGGAACATGATTTTTAAAGACAAATAAATTGCAAAAAATTATTACCCGTCTCTAAATAAGATGGAGAAAACATCTAAAAATGGAGGACATGCATGAAGAATCTCATGGCCATCATGACATTTTGGGGATGTTGTTAAGCTTATTGCCCAAACAAAGATCACCATTTATACCATTATTTTGGGAATGGGTTGGATTGTTTTAACTTTTAAATCTCAAGAAATGTTTTCACAACTCCATGTAAAATTTAATGAAAATAAGCAAGATTTGCTTTGTTATGCAGGAGTTTTCAGATTAAAAAATTATCAGACTTTTGTGAGTTAAGGCTTACCACACAGCAGTTAACAGTTAACACAAGCCTCAGATTTCATCTTGACAGAGATGGATTATTGCTTTGAACACTTATTGAATACTCATTGTGTATTTAGCGACACAAAGCCCCCTCATGTAACTTCATGAAGTTCCTTGGCTTTGGAGGAAGTGAATATTTCGCTCAGTCAGTTTTCACTGGCTAAGAATGAATGTATTGTCAAATGTTTATTTGAATTTAAATTAGCCAAGCAAGATAAAGTATTAAGAAAATATCTTAGCAAAATTATCCAGTGGAGATTCATCCACGTTATTGTACAATGACACCTGAGTAACTGCATAGTAATCCACATCACATGAAATGTGATTAACATCACCTGACTTATAACATGAGACTACATCACATATAATGTTACTTCCAGTGAGATCTGGTGCTTTGGTTATAAAAACTGTATATATGTTCAAGTGAAGATATCAACACAAAAAATGTGTTGTCCTGGTAAACTGATGCTGCAGCATGAAGAAACCAATTTTATGGGTTACATGCTTATTGTCTCTATTGACTGACTAAATGACTACCCTATTTAATATAGATTAGGTTGATATGAATTTTCTCAAGCCAAATAGGCCCAATTCTTCATTAAACAAAGTGTTAAAGATTGTATCCCAATGTTAGATGGTTTGATAATCAAGTTTACATATACACTTTAGATCCATATCAGGCCCATAGCCAGAATTTGTCAGGGGGCGCACTTTTTGAAAAATTCCCAGGGGTTCACTTTAGCGGTGGGGGAGGGGGGACTCCCCTGGCTACGGGCCGCCATATTATAAGCATTTTGGAATCATCTTGTCAGAGTGAATATAAATGAAAAAGAACACATGTGAGTGAACATAAATGTTGCAGTGAAAATAAATGAAAAACAAATTCCCACTTCAGAATTAAGTGAAAGGACTGAACTCACTTTAAAACACAGACTATGATTTCAAACCTAAATTTTATTGAAAGCATAATTTTTACACTGTAAGATTTACCACCCAAAATGTACAAATATTCTGTTTCTTTCCCACATTCTACATGGCTTACAAGATGTGGGATACAGTTACTGTACCCCATATAACTTTTTTCATAACACACAAAGGCAAGATATTATCCTCGATGTTCTTGAAGTAAATATGTTTGTTGAAATTCCACATATTAAGCAAATAAGTGTCTTGTTTTTTTTATTCTGATTTGATATAAAGACTAGATCAGATGAACTAGAAGTGATAGAGATTGTGGATACACAAGTGTTTGAAGCACAATATAGGATGGAGACTAATTGCATACTAGTATTCAACATTCATGATGTCCTCATTTCTGAGGGTCAATACTATTGTTATATATCAATAGATTAATCTTAACATTAAAGATGCAACAAATAGTGCCCTGTTGCCTATTTCCAAAATAAGCAGGTGCCAAATTAACCAAAGTTAGCAATAACTAAGTACTGTATAACAGAAAGATCACAGCACTTTTATGGGTTCATACCCTGCACAATAATGTAAAAGGAAGATTGTTTTATTTTAGCTAAAAGTTACCTGTATATTTGTTCCAACCTAGTGACCTATTAATAAAAGTATGGAGCCATGGAGAACAAGTGCCCTACAGTAGCAAAGGTTTCGATGTTGATGTCCCAATTACGAGCGAATATGCAGAAACAAAGGATGCCATGGTAATGAAGGAGAAATAGTCACAAACGGACAAATAAACAATATCAATCCATTGAACAAAATCGCAAATCCATCAAAGTCAAGGTTTTAACATGTGAAATGTCACCACCTGCCATTTGTTACAGGTGATGTATATCAACCGCCGAACACTGTCTACAAAAAAGTTGGAGACTAATTACAACATGTACAATATGAAACAAAAACAAGAGTATGTTGGATATTTCAATTTAATGTCCATGCACTTATTGCCACGTGGCTTATTCACTCTTATGTATTTTACAATTCTAAATACTCTCATTTTATTGAAGAATTTGTCTTAATCAGAATCTCACTCTCGAACTAAAAAGTTATTTGCTCATGGTGTACCTTTTTGTGTACTACTAGGCCTTGGCGAATTGCAAACCTCAAGTTATAAAGCTTTTTCTTATTCTTATATGTCACAACCATCATTGAATTGTTGGTTCATGTTGAGATGTGTAATTTAAAGGGTGACGCATATCGTTTAGCAAATCGAACGCTCGTTTCTGGTGTTGCTCACCGTTTAGTATAAAAGGCCCGATCCCGGAATAATACTCAAGGGTTCACAGGTTCGAGGTCGTTGTGTCAACACCTCTAACTGTTATATAGCATAAGTATATTATAGATCGTCACACATTTATAAAAGGGTGATTTTTATTTTGACAAATCAATTCCACATTTATGGGTGAAGTTTCAGGATCTTCTATTTGTGTATAATAAGAAAAAATTGGCATCTAAATTTCCCCATAACGTAATAGCAAACAGCTTGGCATATGAAATATCCTACAAATGAAACAAAGCAAGACAAACCGGTTTCTAATACAAGGATTTATATTGGCTGTTGTACATGTATTCTTTGAACGCAATCACTCTTTGGATAACGTTTTAAAATCATTATAAACGGATTACTTTATCTCAAAGACAATTTCAATAAACTGGATTTTAGAGAACTCCCCTTATTTCTTAAAAATGGACTGATCCAGTTGATTCGCCTGGAGCCGCCATATTGTTTTTATACGGGATGCTAATCGGAACCCTTTAAACAGTGAATCAAAAATGAATTGACCCATTGGTTTTTTGCTTGCCAGTTTTAACCTTGGTGTCTTGCAAGTCCAATGTAACAGCATTACACAACCTACATACTCTTGATACCCCACTGTTAAATTTACACTGCCACCATGTGATTAGATTTCTTGTTATAGGCCTTTTCAATCCATGCATCAATATTTTGATCAGATTAGATGGTGACAATAGAATATGTAACAGTAAAATTTGAAATGTTAGGAACTACTTTGAATTTAAAAAATAAGCAATCATATTGCAACAGTATATAAAAAATAGAAACATATGTACTTTTCCTAACTTTTGTATATTTCAGATAGTTATGTATAATGTGTAGTAAAGCTGTGGCCTTTTGTAATTTAGGGAGTTTCAGCCATGTTAATTTTTCCGAAAATAACATGGCAGAGAAGCATCAAAATATAAGAGGGCACAGATATGATAGCTAAACTACAAAACAAACTAAAATATACAAAAAGTTAGGACATGTATAAATGTTTCTATTTTTACATATAATGCTTCAATATGGTCCTTTGATTGCTTATTTTTTAAATTCAAAGTAGTTCCAAACATTTAAAATTTTACTGTACACTGTAATGTTTCGATAATAAATAACCATCACCTTTAGAATGTTGTACCCGTCCATCTGTTGATGGTCACAAAAGAACACAAAATCATATTGCTATTTGAAAAACAGAAAGATGAGAAATTACCCTTGGGCATGTACGTCGGGGAGCTAGTGTAACAAGCCAGATACAAGACCTGAAAGGGATTGTGCTAAATTCGATGCCCAGTGCAAGAATCGAACCCAGGACCTTCCACTCGCAAGGCAGATGCTCTATCCCCGAGTCATAGGGGCTAGTAGCCACTACACCTGAGACAAGAGTAGTGACATAATATCGAAGGTCAGGTATCAGAAGGGATAGCTTTTCCCCTGATTTGTTTTTTTGATGTCCAGGTTGGACATCATCCTCAGACAATGTTACCCTGCAGTGCATTGCAAAGTTAATATTCATAACTATTAACCTCTCTTTGACCAACAATATTTGCTAACAATATTTATTGTCCACCTGATATGACATCCATGTATCTTGTGCCTTGTGATGATATGACACTAACCTCTTAATGACAAAGACACGGTGATATTGCACTTTGAAGAGCTAAATGGACGCCATTAATTTACCCAGCATGCGATACCTAAGCAGCCTGCTCTTGCATCATTTCAAGATAAATGAATAAGCAGTTTTCCTGGAATATGATAAGATTAATGTGGCACCCACTTACGCATGCCTATCAACATAGGACAATGGCAATATAAAGATATTGCACTTTTTAAAGAGGGACATGGGGTATAAATAGGAGGCAGGCAACATGGGCAAATGGAACAGCCAAAATAACATATTTAATTTGATATTTTCACAAAGCTGGTCAATTTTCGCATATTTCATATTGATTGAGAAAATGTATTGGTTCCAATTTTGTTATGTGTATCTTTCAATGTTTTTAAAGTTCATATTCTGCAGTTAGATTTCAACTTCATCATTTTGTTGGATTGTGATAGTACATTTAAAAACTCTGATAACATTTTTCAAATTTAAAAGTCCTCAAGATTAGCCAATCAAAATCAAATATTTAGCAATGCTGTTAATTAAACTTACTAATCCTGACTATCTGTGCCATGTTAAAGTGTATATGTAACCTGATATTTTAATGAGAGTTGCTAGCAACTTTAAAACCGGCCTTTAAGTGCAATAAAAATCCATTCTCCAACTTCAATCGTTATTCTTTTAACAGTAAAAGATCCACTTACAGAAGACAATAAGTTAGACAACTTGAATTTCAATTCATCAGGATCACTAATTACTCTTCAATTATAATATATGGTACAAGAAACTGAAAAATTAACTTTTTTAAACTCTTGGATCTTGTCCTCACTATAACTAGATAATGGCAACTCCGCGGAGTAGCAAATCCCAACGAACAAAATATCAATTACCGAATTCCAATCAATTATACTCATTACTTTGGTTAAAATTGAAAAAATTAGATTTTAGAATTGCGAATTCCTGCTAAGCAGCCATTTTGAATTTTCTGAGGTACAAATCTGAAAAACAATACCATAATTGTGATCTACTCCAAATATCCTTCAATTTGAGTATAATATAGCCATACTTTGAAGGGATCGAAAAATTATTGCGAAATCGTACATTAGACGGCCATTTTGAATTTTACGAGGCTCGAATCAGAAAAAAGATACACTATTTGCAATCTACTCTTAATTGCCTTTCATTTGAGTATAATAAAGCTATGCTTCAGAAAGATCTAAAAATTAGCGAAAATTTCTGTTTTCCTGACCCCCTATACACGGCCCCTGGGGTTCAGGATGAAAAACACGGAATATATGTGAAATAGATAAATGTTGTGAATATACTACCAAAATTTCAAACAATAATATTAATTACTTTGGTTTAGAATGAAAAATTTATGATTTTTGCGAAAAAGTCCCGTCATTTTTAAAGCGGCGGCCATCTTGAAAAAAATTATTCACCAATATACATCTTTCCACTAAATATGAAAAAAATCCCTCTACTAGTATTTGAGTTATCTTCCGGACGGACAGACGGATGGACGGACGGACTGACTGACGGACGGAGGGCTTCACTATATCCCTACCGAACTTCGTTCGTTGGGATAATAATATAGCCATCTTACAACCCTTGCAAATAATGAACAAAAAAGTTGGATCTTGTGTGTCGATAAAATCTTTTATTCAGTCAGAAATTACAATGGTGACCTTATGATTTGCTGTATCATAACGCTGTATCTGGAATATCTAGAATCGTAGGGTCACCAATGTACATCTATCTTACTAAGAATTGGACAGATATACATTGGTGACCTTACGATATGATGTAGATCTGATGTAACGTAACACTGTATCCAGAATTATCATACATGCAAAGGTTGCAAGCTCTTATTTTTAGAGGCATTCAACATTAATTACAGTTATCTAAAGAAAAGGAAAAATAATTTGATAATTTGTGTAGATTTAGCAGTTTAGTTATATGATTTGTTTGAAAGATAAATCCTGTAGGCAATTTCTGAATATGAATATTCTGATCAACAGATCAAGAAAAAGGTTACATCCCGTTGTCTTTACATTAGGGTCGAACATGATATCATATAGTAGAAATCAAGACAGTTCTTCATTCCACGTTCTAGATCTAGTAACCATATTTATCATTACAATAGGTTAGAAAAATAAACAGCATCATATATATTACAACAATGATAACATCACGTAAGCAAATCCTGTGGGACTGCAAGGATAATAGGTCTTCTCCACATGGACATATTAATTAGTTTAGTAGCTTATTACATTCTTTTGTATTGGAGTCTCCTTTTGTCTAAATCCATTAGCGAGAGGCCTTGATAACACAGCAACAATTTATCAAAGAAAATAGGCACACTATTCATTCAGTTCTACAAGCTATATTTAAGTAAAATATTCTCTAAAAATACAGCTCTGTATCAAAAGTGAAAATTACATCATATAATTCATAAAACTTGTTGATTTACCTGGTTAAACCTATTTGGTATGTAAGTAATGATGATTAATTTAATCAGAAAGTCAGAAAGTTCGCTACAAAATCAGACTGATCTTAAATGAAAATATCAGACTTATCTGGGATATGTACATCCATAAATTCCATTATGAAAATATATAATATCATTTACAAACAATTGGGTTCCAATCTTGGAATTTGGATTTCACAAATAAACAATATAAATTAAAATAGAACAAAATATAACATCACAATAGAAAGATTGATTTATACATCCATTTATGACTAGGTCTAATAAGTTGAAAGGTTCAATTATACTTCATGATTTTATAAATTAGCATGGAAACAACAAAGCATTGATAGGAAATAAAATAAAATCAGTAAATTACAGTTAAGAATGTGCAGTACAGTTTATAAATACACTTCTTATTTGATTATGTACAACCACCTTACAAGTAAGCCTTTATATATTTAAGTTTCTCCAAACATGAGAAATGTATGAAGGTTCGATACTTAAGCGAGCAGATATTACAAATATTACAAATATATCTGAGTACAGCATGTATAGTCTTAAGTACATGTAGTCCTGTTACACAGAATAACAGACAGTAATACAAACATTCATATCATTTTGTCATATAGCTGGGCATGCTCATGGTGCATACTAGCCACAGCATTAACATAGTCTATTCTACTACACAGCCCCAAACAAAGATACTATACAAACTGTTATGAAAAAAATTGCCAGATTTTTTATATTTCCTGGAGCTGTGTCTTAGCCTGAGTGATGAAATACACGCAGTACATATTGCTAATGTCTGAGTACATGGATACTTAGACACAACAAGTCAAATACCCTGTTATATACAGATATGTAACATGTACATAAGGGCTAATACCAGCCGACTGAGTTGTGTAAGTCTCATAATCTCAAATAAGTGATATTGTGACAATTACAGTATGGAACCATGTCATGGATTGTGGGACTTACGTTTATGTTTTTATGAAATGTTATGTCATTGTTTGTAATCATTAGATATAATCTGATAATATACTACTTTTCTGTAATAGAATATGGTTGATTAATGCAAAGCGTGAATATGTTATTACACGTATGTTGTAATTTGAGTCTGGAATAGCATACATAATATGTGTATTGTAATGGAATTCTCCATATCTGTGTAATTGTGTAAAATGTCCTGCATAGCTTAGTATGAATGTTACTTCTGATTAACAGAGATGACTGTACTGCCAGTATTGGTAGTTGTAGTGACAGCATTCATTGTGGTGGTAGCATTGTCTGCAGGGGGTCCAGTTGGGGCAGCCTGTGGGGTAGCTTGCACAGTGGGTGTGGCAGCATAAGGGGGAGGGGCTGGTGGACCAGCCACTGGGCCAGGTGAGCTTACTGTGTTAAGTGGAGCTGGAAACAACATTGAAGTCATGGTTAAACAACACTGTTTTATAGTGCTCCAACAATTAACTAAGTAATCTACCATATCAGTGGCGTAGGAACAATGTACGCCAAAACGCCAATGCGTAGTGCTGAAAAGTTAGAATAAAATAGCTTATTAATTTTCCTATTTAATATTTCCTCATTCTTCATAAATTGCCAAGTTTGTGATCTCGAGCACACCAAAGAAATGTTTTTGGACACCATGTAATATGTTCAATTTTTTCAATACATGTAGTACTCTTTGCAAGTTTTTTGTTCCTCTGTTATTTCTCTAGCTTCAACCACAGATAAATGGTACTTTTTGGCGTAAAAATCAAAGTGATTTGGGGTAGAGGGGCAAGTTATGATAGTTGGAAGTTTAAGCCAGTAAAAATTCGTAAAATATTGATAGTCACATTGTTTCTAATACTGTAGAAAAATGCAAATTAATCATTATGTGTTTGGTAGAAAGTGCTAATTTAACAGATTGAATTCTCTTTTCAACATGTTTTATTTCATGAAAATCGATATTAGTTCATTTTTGTGCATGTTCCGTAATGCTTATGTAAACTGTGGTACCAGAATTATAATCATAAACCTCTCCTAATTTTAGATGTAATTTTTTTTCCCCTCCCCCGATTTCACTAATTCAAGTTATATTCCTTTGCTATGTGGTTGCTAGCGAAAATCATGGACCGAAAATATATTGTACTAAATCACTAATTGTTATTCTTATTTGTAGTACAAATAATAATTTATAGATGGAATTTTATGTTATAGTATTTCATGAACAATACATATTATTTAGAATACACGACTAAAGAATATAGTACCAGGGACCACATGATTGATTACCGAGAGATACGAATACGCGGATACGAAACAAATCTAGTAAACGAGTGAGCTAGCAACAGACAAGACAGACAAGGTAGGGACTAGGAATATCAAAAATGTTGCTGTAAAACAGTGTTTTTAACTGTTTTATTGATACTTGACCAATGAAATATTAATCCGAAAACGATCCGAAAAGCTGATCCGAAAGTAGGGCCGTGATCCGAAAACCGATCCGAAGGCTATGAACCGCGGTTTTTCGGTATTTCGGTTATCCGTCCCACCCCTAATAAAAATTATGTTTTACCAGCATAAAAGAGAGGCGATTTGATAATAAAGATTTGACACATTTTTTCATATTTTTGGTATAGTGTTGAATTTACACCTTCCTACGCCCCTGTATATGATGCAATTATAGATTTAGCTCAAGGCAAAGGCATATACATTGTAGCTCTAAGTCAATGAAAACATATAATTACTCTATCAAATAATGACACAGATTACCAATTGGTAAATTTTCTTAGGAAAAAATATATCTTGCAGATTTGTTGAATTTTCTAGCAAAAATAGCATCATCCCCCTCCCCTCATTTTGCCTGATTTACGGCAGTAGAGCTGAGAACTTAATATGTGAAAGATGTTTTACTTAAGCAGATCTTGAAATCCTTCTTTCTATTTAAATCATGGCTAGTACGTTTTGCATTGTGTCAATTATATCATGAATGGGATTGTGAAATGATCTCCCATATAGATTCCAAGGTGGTGAATGTCCCACAAGCTGTCGAATGTCAACTTACCTTGCGTGAAGCCTGGGTATGGAGGCAAGTCTGTCTTCGAGCCTGGGAACTGATTAGGTTTAGATATTACCTGAAACAAACAACATATTGGCTAGTGGAAAGTTAACAGTGATGAAGGAAGGACAATATGGTCCAAGTAATTTAGAAGGCAAAATGCAATAGATAATCAGGTCCTGTAGTTTCTAAATACAAGTTTCTAATATTGGGAACTCATTGTGGAGTTCTCACAATTATCATACATGATATATTGTAAATGATCAGATATCAATGTATCAACATCTTAATCAAAACAATCTGATATCAATGGCACTTGCAGTACTAAAGAAAAAAAGGTTTCACATTTCTGATGAATAAAATTTACTCCTTAATTAAAAATTTCAGATTGCCTTTTAAGGACACTCATTGTGAGTGGTTAATAGTAGTTACCCCACTCAGAAATAAAGCAGATCATTAGCAGCAAGCAATAAATTTATTGTCTATTTTCTATTAGTGGCAAACTTACTGCACTCAAAATAACAGTTTATAGAATATTTGCCTCAGTTTTATTTTGAACTTTTAAGATAGCATACATATGACTTGATTCATCATAATAAATCACATGTGATGAAGTATTGTAATGCATCCTACCTCACTGTAAGCTGGTGGGGTGGGGAAGGCACCCTGAGGGGGCGCAGTTGTCTCTGTAGTTGCATAAGGGTTATCATATACATATGGATATACTGGCATACCAGGCATCGGCTGGAAATAATGATCAAGTGGGTTTTTAGCATTCAGAACAAATTTGAATGCTTAAATATAATACATTCTCTTGCTTTTATAGACCATACACCTTATATCTCTCAATTCATTCAAATTCAGCTTAAACACATTACATTACATGGCAAAACAAACCCAATAAAAATATTCAAACAAGGCACAGACGTGAACAATATCGTACCTAAAACACAGCATTGTGGTCTTGTTGACCAAGAAAGCAAGATGGCCGCAAAAAAGTTAATCAGCTCTAGAACTTATCACTGTGTAACATATGTAAAAAATTTGAACGGTTTGGCTGGAAACCTGTAGACAAGTCTTGGAAGTGAAGATTTTAGGACGGAAAATCCAAAATGGCCACCTTAAAATTTACCCAGAATGCCCCAAAACCAATCAGTTCTTGACGTTGATATGTAGAAACATCCCTGAAAATTTCAGATGAATCCCTCAAATGGTTTGGCTGAAAATCTGTAGACAAGTCTTGAAAGTGAAGATTTTAGGACAGAAAATCCAAAATGGCCACCTTAAAATTTAACCAGAATGCCCAAAAACTAATCAGTTCTTGACGTTGATATGTAGAAACATCCCTGAAAATTTCAGATGAATCCCTCAAAAGGTTTGGCTGGGAACCTGTAGACAACTCTTGAAAGTAAAGATTTTAGGACGGAAAATCCAAAATGGCCACCTTAAAATTTACCCAGAATGCCCAAAAACTAATCAGTTCTTGACGTTGATATGTAGAAACATCCCTGAAAATTTCAGATGAATCCCTCAAATGGTTTGGCTGGAAACCTGTAGACAAGTCTTGAAAGTGAAGATTTTAGGACGGAAAATCCAAAATGGCCACCTTAAGATTTACCCAGAATGCCCAAAAACTAATCAGTTCTTGACGTTGATATGTAGAAACATCCCTGAAAATTTCAGATGAATCCCTCAAATGGTTTGGCTGGAAACCTGTAGACAAGTCTTGAAAGTGAAGATTTTAGGACGGAAAATCCAAAATGGCCACCTTAAGATTTACCCAGAATGCCCAAAAACTAATCAGTTCTTGACGTTGATATGTAGAAACATCCCTGAAAATTTCAGATGAATCCCTCAAATGGTTTGGCTGGAAACCTGTAGACAAGTCTTGAAAGTGAAGATTTTAGGACGGAAATTCCAAAATGGCCACCTTAAGATTTACCCAGAATGCCCAACAACTAATCAGTTCTTGAAGTTGATATGTAGAAACATCCCTGAAAATTTCAGATGAATCCCTCAAATGGTTTGGCTGGAAACCTGTAGACAAGTCTTGAAAGTGAAGATTTTAGGACGGAAAATCCAAAATGGCACCTTAAGATTTACCCAGAATGCCCAAAAACTAATCAGTTCTTGACATTGATATGTAGAAACATCCCTGAAAATTTCAGATGAATCCCTCAAATGGTTTGGCTGGAAACCTGTAGATAAGTCTTGAAAGTGAAGATTTTAGGACGGAAAATCCAAAATGGCCACCTTAAGATTTACCCAGAATGCCCAAAAACTAATCAGATCTTGATGTTGATATGTAGAAACATCCCTGAAAATTTCAGATGAATCCCTTAAATGGTTTGGCTGGAAACCTGTAGACAAGGTGAAAAGTGAGACGCCGCCCGCCCACCCGCCCGTCAAGCTGACTACAATATCGTACCTTTTGTTAGGTACGATAAAAACATATGATTACAACAATGCTTTATATAATCATGTGAGGTCATGAACACGATGCCCATGTCAAACATAGTGCCTACTTATCACACAGTTTGAAACTCTGACAAACTGCGCGCATATTTCAAAATGTGAGACGGGGAGGACACGACTCCCAAAAAGAGCCAAAATACGAAAAATACAAGGTTAGTCTCGTTCTAAAGATAGTACCATTCTGTGAAGATGAACTTAATTAACTCAAAGTACTCAATGTTTTTCCCGATGAAAACCTAGTTATCTCAATATAAGGGTCTCAAGTAACTTCTGTGTTCAAAATTTACAGTGTAAAGTTATATCTATGTCTTTTTATCGTCATTTGCCGTTTATTCAGCCATTGTGTCTGTGTATGCTAGAATATATAGAATCCCTCCATCTGATTAAATCAGCAAAGTTTGTGTTCAAAACCATAATACGCCATAAACTTGATTTAAACATTTTTCTTGTCAAACTGCGCGCCTATATTCACATGTATTTCCCAAACTGCGTGCCTAATATTTCCAAACTGCTTGCCTATCCAAGCTTGTTTTGTATTATGCCATACAAGGCACATATGTGTCTTATAGTAGAACCCCATAATTGAAACACTATGAGAGTCCATCCACCAAGATGGTGATCTGAAAATAAAAGTTTTTTTCGTTCCCAACTTAATTGTCACTTCTATTATACATTTTGACTTTCAATATGAAAATCTCATAAAATCTGACGATAAAGCAAAAGTTTTAATAGTGTATGCGCACAGTTTGTAATTTCTGGCTAAAATAGGCGCGCAGTTTGTGATTTATTTCTTTTTAATCTCCTGATTATCTGTTTTATCTCGAAATATTTTGAATTATACATGATAAATGTGTAAGGAATTAAATATAAAACGAGTCTAAAGTATTTGTCATTTATGTTTAAAGTGCTAGATCGATTTACGTATATACATTCCCGTCAAATCAGTGACGAAAATGCCATTAATCTGCTTATGTTTTAAAACTTAGATTAATTTGCACATAGTTTTTGCTAGTATTTGCAAGATTAGTATATTCGCCACAGAATGAACGCAATGAACAAGAAAACAATGCAGGATAAATGTCTTTAAATTAGGGTTCAAAATACAGACTCCAACTTAAATGATGCAATGTTCTTAGGCACGCAGTTTGTGATCGAAACAAACTGCGCACCTAAGTAGGCGCGCAGCTTGACATGGGCACCGTGATGAAAGATCAAGTTCATACTAGAAGTTGAGGTCAAGGTCAACTCTTACCTGTCCAGTTGTTTGTTGGTGAGCATTTGCCTGCATGTGTGCCCTCTGTTGTGACATCATCCACTGACGCCTCTTCCAGTAGCCACACCCTCCAAAACATGACATCAGCACAAATATGATTATAAACCTGAAATCAGCAGAAATATAAAATATGATATCAACACAAATCCAACAACAAACCTGAAATTAACATGGTAAATTCTTAAACAAGAGTATGGTCACGCCTAACCATCGCGTAAGCAGGCGTCACCGTACAGCGTCAAAAAATACAGTAGTACAGTTTTCTGTACGGTGACGAAAATTAACTGAGTTGAAGCAAAAACTATAATGAGGGTTTTAAAAAGATTAATAAGATGAAAATAAATACGATTTTGGGTGTAATAAAAACAGCATTCTCTTAGGAATGGTTTTAACTTTTTAATTATGATAAAAGTTTTTCGAGCACTGGTAGTATTTTTTCTGACTGGATCGGCCCACATAATCGACTCGAGAGAAAAAAGTTGTTTTTTTCATTTTTCGTTTGGTTATTATTTTCCCTGTCGTCTGAGAGTATGGATTATTTTTATGAGAATATGTAATGGTTATCTACACATTTTAGAACAGATGAATATTCGGCAAAAAATCATTCAGTGTATTTATTCAAAAAAGATCAGAACTATACGGTGACGCATCAGCTGTACGGTGACGCTTCCTTAGATTTTATGAAGTGCTCGAAGCTTACTGTTCGAACAAGAGGTAAAGAAGCGTCAGATCTACATGTACATTATCACTGGTAAGTATCAAGCGAAGGTTACAGACGTCACCTTCGCATTTAAGATGGCGGACAGGAAGTATTAATTTCGATATTTTTAGTTTTCATGGAATTAACTATTTGAAAGTTGACGTAATGCTTTGGTATCATATGAACTAATCCAGACAAAGATAGCCTACACAGCCATCTTTACCCCATGCAAGATATTGCATCTTTCATCCTAAAAAGTCACACGTGCAAGATGAGATTTAATTGTGACATCCCTTGTTTTAAAACATCAATAACATAGCAACAAGAGAGTTTTTGGTTTCATGATCTTTACCGTATCATACATTTCCAGTAACCTTCCATTAAGCGGTGGAAGATATCGTTGAACTGTAGCGCCCATGTGCTATATATGAACAAATGATCATACTCCAGAGTTTCCATTTCATACAATCTTAGTCTCATTTAGTTCATCAAAGCATAGCGTCACCGTACAGCTGGTGCGTCACCGTACAAATTTGATCTTTTTTAAATATACATAATGCAGGGTTGTTTGCTGAATCTTCGCCCGTTCTAAAATGTGTAGTCAACAAATACATATTCTCATAAAAATAATCCATACTCTCAGACGGCAGGGAAAATAATAACCAAACGAAATGTGAAAAACAACCTTTTTTCACTTGGGTTGATTATGTGGGCCGATTCACTCAGAAAAAATCCGAACAGTGCTCGTAAAACGTTTATCATAATCAGTAAGTTAAAACCATTTCTAAGAGAATGCTGTTTTTATTTCACATGAAATCGTATTAGTTTTCATCAAATTAATTTTTTTAAACCCTTGTCATAGTTTTTGCTTCAAAGCAGTTAATTTGCGTTACCGTACAGAAAACTGTACTCCGCTATTTTTTGACGCTGTACGGTGACGCCTGCTTACGCGATGGTAAGGCGTGATGGTCGCGGTTTTAGATTAAAATTGTGAAAATCCTCATTTCACCAGCTCGTTTTCAAACCAAGCAATAATTTTTTTTGTATTATTACTAGCTTAATAAGCAAAACATAGAGTGTTTTTCACATGATGAACTGATACAACACAAGTAAACTTACCAAAAGTACCACATGTTCCATACACTCCATGTGTAGTGATAACGATACATACAACAGCCAGAAGTGCAGCAATATTCGCTACCACTACATCTGAAACAAAGAATGACACATTATGTGACCTATAATATTGTGTCTTAAGATACAAATCAAATACCCATATGGCATATTGGCCTTTAAGATAATTGACCTTTAAGATAACCTTGGCATATGGAAAATATATTTACCATTCTTAACTGACTAATGCGTTTGACCTACTAAAGTGACACCAATAGACTGCATACCATATTTGAGATTCCGAGCCAATGTTTTTGTCATATTGACCACCATTGATGATATACTGATATCTGAATTATCATGTGACCTTAACCTATTAATTTCAGGTTTACATTCCATGAATTTTATAAAGAGATATTCAGCTTCACAGATATTGAAATAAAAAACAAAAATTGCCTTAATTTAGCACAAGTGATATTTGTTCTTAGATGGCCCAAATTACAATTATGTCCCAAACTGACACCAAGAGCATGTATCGACCCATGAAGTTACCCTGACATGTTAACATCACCTTGATATTACATGATCTAATATTATTATCATTTATGAAATATGTATACGATATCCTATGATTTTGAGTAATATCATTTTTATCCATGAGTTGATATCAATATCTGGACAGGAATTTGGGATGAATTTTGATAAGATAATTTGTTTGACGTTATATTGTTTTTATTATTCTATTGCCATGCAGTTATGTAGTGCTTTAGTTCAGTTTAAAAAAGAGTTGATAAAGGATCCAGAAGGATTCGAAATGTACTAAAAAATAAATACATAAATGTTGAGAATTGAAAACTTTTTTTTATTTTTTATTAAAGAATTAACTTACATTTTGCCTGCTGCTTCACAATAAGATGCAAATGCCTGAAAGTACAAAAAAAAATAGCATGACATTGTGAGATATTCTAATATTTTATATTTCTAGTAAACCTGTCTTAGTGAACACTCAGTTTAAAGGAACATTCCTGGCCAAACCTTTTCTATCCTGATGTGATAGCTATAACCATATATATACTTTCCATATTTAGCAAAACACCAGGAAATGTTTTAATATAGTCAATATTGATAATTCAAAAATGTAGTGCTCATTTCCAGTAAGCTGCCATCTTTTAAGATTTTACTCAGGAAGTGATGTCATCGACTCTCAACTTCCAAGACCTTGCATATAACAGTATAGGGAAGTAGCACAGAATCACTTCTAGACAAGTGGTTTTTACTTTATGTGCAAAAATATTTTCAGAGTTTGTCAGCTTAGAATAATAGAATAGACTTATTGAAGGATTAAATCATAGACAAAATTGAAAAAGAATGCACAGCTGGTTTTTGTAATTCTTAATAGCTCCTTATAATGTTATATGCAAAGTTGAGAGTCGATGACATCACTTCCTGAGTAAAATACTAAAAGATGGCAGCCTACTGGAATTCAGCACTACATTTTCAAGTGATCAATATTGACTATATTAAAACATTTTTCCCTGTTTTGCTAAATATGGAAAGTATATATATATGGTTATAGCTTACTCACTTCGAGAGCCATGTTAGATTTTGAAACTTATGGCTCTCAAACGGAGAGGTGAACAGCTGATCAATAGTGACCTTTGAAACTGAATTAAGTCGATCCGCGGCTTACTTTTGGTCTCTAACTGTGTCTTACATCAGTATCATCAATCCGTGTAAGTATTGGAGCGCTGGAGTACTTCTTTTTCGATCAAGACTTGTAAATTGTTCATCGAGTTAAAGTTTTACAGACCTATTTCCAATATGGCGGTTTGCTAGGTGCGAGATACGCAACGAACGAAATGAATTTTGAGAATTAGTTAGGTTCGGACAACCTCCGGAGATTTACGAAAATGTCCGAGCAGAAACCGCCATATTGGAATTTGGCAGTAAAACGATTTCCTCGACTAACAATTACAAGTCTTGATCGAAAAAGAAGTACTCCAGCGCTCCAATACTTACACGGATTGATGATACTGATGTAAGACACAGTTAGAGACCAAAAGTAAGCCGCGGATCGACTTAATTCGATTTCAAAGGTCACGATCATTGAGCTGTCCAAATGCTCCGTGGGAAAGCTATTATATCAAAATCCAAATAGCTTTCGCAGGAAGTAAGTTATAGCTACCATATTAGGAGAGAAATGGTCTGGCCAGGAATGTTCCTTTAACAGTGTGCTACACAGACAGTGAACACTTTTATGACTCCTGAACTGTTCCCTACATAGAGGTTTTATTGTAGGCACAACCCTTCAATAAAATCATCAATGCATAGTATTGTATATGTACATGTGTTACCAATGAAAATATTTTTGAATATGGTGTCGATCTTTTTGGATGATGGTTTGTAACAAATTTTTCATATTTTCACGAGGGACTTTCAAAAAGATATCAGCTAGGTCCAGTTGATATAAAGTGTGTTTACAGCTGCAATAAAATGAAACTCTTATACACATGGGAACTGAAGCAATTATTTTACTTTATTAGACACATTTAATATGAAAACATCGATGTGGAATAGAAATTGTTGAAGGTGACATGAAAATTCCAAATTAATCATGTGTAAGTACAGAAGAGACAGGATCTTATTTGGCCACTTTAGCAGATAATTCAGATTTTACACATAATAAATTAGAAAGGATTCTCTTTGAGATATGATATCTTTTCTCAGGATAAACCACATATCCATCCTTAGTACCTATCCTGGATTCTTCTGATAACTGTGATTATACAGCTAGCTATTAGTAAATTAACTCTGCCAGCACAGTGACATAAACTATTATTAACATGAAACATGAACCAATTGTTGCTAAAACCCATAGCTCTATAGCTATATAGTATAATACCTACAATATTGATGTATCACCATAAAATGGCTTCACGTTTTCAAGAGCCTGTTTTCTAGTCTAGAATTCTCTAGAACTAATTAGTGTAAAATGGATCATATGACAGGACGTATAATACTCATCATATCTCCTTTCTTAGCACATGGAGTGAGGCTAAATCAAAAGGTTACCATGGTTATCCATGATGCATATAACTGAGAGTTTGAAAAAACATATTTAAGTTTGCTTCTCTGACTTTAACAGTTTTAAAGGGGAACAAAAAACTAAAATATACTTGAAACTACATGTATATTTAAGACAAATAGACTGAATAATAGTAAATATCTTAGAATAATGATTTACATTTCATAAATTCTACAGGAGCTAGTTTTTTAATATAAAATCTTGAGTTGAGAATGTACAGAACATTTCATTTATTTAGCATAGCATTGCATATTCTCCTAAATGGTTTAAAATGGGTTTGGAGGTTGAGGTCTCTCACAACATGTATGCCAGTTTTTTTAGTTTTATTTCAATTGGAACTATTTACTGCTTTTTTTATTTCAAGTGAATACCTGTACACAAAAAGCCTCATAAAACATAAATAAATAAAATGAATATTTTTTATATATATACTGGTATCAAGGTTATCCTGATCACATGCCAAAGCACATGCCTACTTCGTTTCTATACGCTATATAACAGGGGACAGCATGTCCTAAACTATGAATCATATAACCAATTTTTCAATGGCAATGTCAACAAGAGTTGAATTATACACAATTCTACAAGTGTAAGTTTAAATAAGTCAACCTATGATCTTTAAAACATGTGAAGGTTTATGAAACGTTTTATGAGTAAACGTCCAGAACAAAATATCAGGGTTTAGATATTTAGATATTTATATTTCAAATAAATGAACCATAAAAACTAAAAAAAAGATATTCTTGTCTAGTATTACAGTATAACACATTTGACCTTGGTATTTGTAATTACATCCTCACATTGACTAACACAGCTACAGCCCAAAAATTTCATTTCTTGATTATTGTTTGAACATACTTCAAATATGATTTGTCATTCTCACACCGGAATAGCCTGACTACGGTAAAGTCAGATACCATTGTCACAAATGGCGGACACAACTGTCGCTTCAACTGTTATCACTTGGTCCTCATTGCATGGGATTTTATTGTTGTTAATTCTGTACATGCATTAAGCTCTTGTGATAATGTATCATATGAAATCCCATGTTCGATCAAATTGGGTTGGAATAGCCACAATATAGCGTCTTCGATATCGTCAATGACAACGGAAACTGAATTTGAGTAATTTAGAAAGACAATGACATATGGTAATTACAGTGTCCGTTGTCCCATATCTCATTTTGAACGGTTAAATTAAAGACTTTATTTCGATGGTAGAACCTTATTAACTGTACAATAAGCATTAAGACACTTTGATTGATTGTTGTTCCAAAGGAATTTAGTCTTGGTGCTCTATTAAACATACAGTTCATGAAAATCTAATTGAAGCGATGGTTATGTCCGCCATTTGTGACAACGGTCTCTGACTTTACCATAGTCAGGCTATTCCGGGGTGATTCTACATTCTATTTCATAAAAAATAAAGTCTTTAATTAAACCGATCAAAATGAGATACGGGACAACGGACACTGTATTATCATATGTCGTTGTCTATGTAAATTATTTCAAATTCAGATTCCGGAGTCATTGACAATATCGAAGATGCTATATTGTGGCGATACACGACCCATTTTGATCGAAATTGGGATTTCATATGATACATCATGACAAGAGCTTAATACTTGCCATGCCATGAAATGAGGACCAAATGATTGAAAAGTTGAAGCGATTTATGTCTACCATTTTGTCACAAATGGCAGACAGGTTCAACTGCTTGCCTTTGAAGCAGTTTAACAGACGGTATCTATCTCATTGGTCCGAATATCAATCATACGAATCCTATTTGACCGATTCCTAATGAAATGGACTATTACTAAGCCTCCAACAGCCATTAAAGAGTGTAACTTTGCAGAATGAATTGATCTATTTTGATGGCATGTCGGGATTACGAAAAAGACCGCCCGCCGACCAGTCACAATCCACAGTTGGATCCATGAGGTGGGAGGTCGGTGCTTGGTTGGCGGTCTGTTTTTTACACAATCACTGTTCTAAAACAATAAGTACTTGAACAACAGTAATCACCTATTACCGTACATATTACGTTGTTTTAAGCAATTTAAGTCCATTTTTCGAATGTTTTCTCTTAATTGAAAAGTCCTTAAAATGAATGAAATGAACGCCAATGCGCCTTTATAAATAGAGAAAGACTTTCATACACCCTTCTTTCAAATTAACACCCATAGACCTATTCACTAGAACCCCCCGTTGTGTTGAAAATGAATAAAAGTGTCTGGAAATAGATTCCATATGTTCCTGAATCTTATCCCCTCATTTAGAAACCAATCTGAATATAAAAATGGTTTGTGATGACACGTAAATTGGAAAACTATTTTGATATATTTGGTCAATGAAAACACAGAATCAAAGCATACAATTTGATCCTGGGCAATATTAACTACATGTAATTGATCTTTCTTATAAGTGAATTTCATCCTAGCAACGATCAGCAATGGGCGAGGAAGATTTACCTCAAATGTTCACATCAAAAATAAACTTCATAGGCTCTTGCCTCACCGCCCGCTTTTTAAACCTTAATAAAACGTTCTGGCATTATTCTTTAGGTAACTGGTTGAACATTTATTGCAAAGACGTGTCTAACGATCCCGGACCTACATACAGTAACTGACATACATACAGTAAAATAATGTTCTGAATGAACGCTGCAGTTAAAATCTTGATATCTCAAAACATATTTAAGTGGGACTCCTCTTATGGTAACTGTAAACTCAATTTATATTCCTAAATGCTGAAATAGCCTAGATTAAGGCATGTCCATCCATTTTAAGAAAATAAGCCTGACAAAGAAGATGTTAAGCCAAACGTTGCCCTGATAGCTCAGAAAAAGTGAATTTCCCCCTACTTGGGGCCTTGTTTATACTGGAACCAATATTAGGACAACGGTGTTTGAGTTTTTGCCTGGACAGACACGGACAGAGCCGTTCTCTATATCCCTCCAAACTTCATTCGATTGGATACCTAATTACCATCGAAATCAGGAATATCGTTTTCCAATTGTCAAATTGGTCAGTGGCACCAAAATCAAGTGAAAATGGCAATAAGATTTCATAAGACTGCCTGTTAACGCAGCTTTTTTTCGCAAATATTTAATCTTAACAACAGGTAGACTTTTTTCTCTTGGTCGGTCTTTTACATAGTAGTCGGTCTTTTACATATCTTTTCAAACCCTGTTTTGAGGCTACCTATGGAAAACACCAACCAGTTGGTGGTCGGTGGGGTAGGTCTTTTCATAAACCCATGGCATGTCAGTTTACATCCTCTCTGGATTTGGGATTTTTTACTTTTTATCAAGGAGGATTGGAAGCCAGAGTTCCAACTCAATACTCTTTAATCACCAGCCGCAGGCCCGTAGCCAGGGGGGGTTCGCAGGGTTCGGGCGAACCCCCCCCTGGCCAAAAATTCTTTCAAAATCATGCAGTTTTTGACCATTTTGAGCACTTCTCTAGTGATTTTAGCCTAATTTGGGCCAAAATTGTCAAATGTGAACCCCCCCTGGAAATTTTTGAAAATTGAACCCCCCCTTGGCAAATCCTGGCTACGGGCCTGCCAGGTAATGCGATATTGCCGATCATGCCTGTATATTTTTACAGCTGCAGGGAGAATGAACGATATTCTCCAACAAAGCTGGCGTCATTATTGTCTGAATTTACCTGGCTATAAATTCACAATCAGCATTTAAAATATTGAAACTAATGGTCATCTAATTAAGCCACTAACGATCTTGATTTACCTTCTTCTAAGGCCACTGTATTGTGGCCTTCCATTAAAGATAAATTCCTGCATGAACAACTGGTCATCAGGGCCGTCAGATGGGGGGGGGGGATTTATTTTATGTATAGTCTCAGACACTTTTAAAGTGCCCTGACATCATCAAATACTAGTAGCTTTTTGATATAGTCAATGATTCTTGGAGACTAACACTTACTCGCCCTCTGGCATCCCCACCAGTCATATACTTTGAAAGTGCCTAGAAAGCACCAAATAGGATCTTAAAATTGTAAAATATTCTAGGAGAGTTGGCCACCCCTCACATCCCCCACAAAACAGTTGAAATAATTCTGAATTTTGTGTATTGTCTCAGACACTTTTAAAGTTCCCAGACATCATCAAATAGCTCATTGATATAGTCAATGATTTTTACTCGCCCTCTGGCATCCCAACCCAACATCCCCCTCTAGCATAACCCCCCCTTTGACCTCAAAAATTCATACACTTTAAAAGTGCTCAGATGCACCAAATATCGTTTTAAAATTTTCTTGGAGAGTTGGCCATCCCTTAAATCCCCCACAAAACAATTGAAAAACTTCTGAATTTCACTTATTGTCTCAGACATTTTTAAAGTACCCAGATATCATCAAATAGCACCTTGATATGGTCAATGTTTCTGGGGGACAACCACTTGGTCCCCCTCTGGCACCCCACACTTCACCCTCTCATCCTCTTTGACACCACCCCCAAAAGAATTCCCATTTTTTTATTGACTCATACACTTTGAAAGTGCCCAGAAAGCACCAAATAGCATCTAAAAAGTGTAAAATTTTCTACGGGGAGTGGGCCACTTCTCACACCTTATACAAAACAATTGGACAGTTTGGACACTTAAACAGTCACCAAGTGACATAATGATATCATAAAAATTTCTGGCACCCCACCCCAAAAACTAAAGCATTCATTTACTCAAACGCATTAAAAGTGCTCAGAATTAATCAGACAGCATCTTGAATTGGTAGAATTTTCCTGTGCTGCCCCCTCGGTCCCCTTAGAAGAAAATGATTGAAAATCTGAACTTCTTTAATTGATTCTATTGATTAAAACACCTTAAAGTGTGTGCCAAAGTTTAAAACTGCGCAGGCGCACCGCTCTCGCTAACCTATATAAAGAGATTACCAGGTACAGGCTTCAGAGGTAAGCCAGGAAGGTGAACAATCTTCGTTCCGTGTTGATTCCCCGTATAATCGTAACCAAGTAAGTTTCACCATTGAAATTAAAAATAACTACTAGATATACTTTGTAGATGTTATTTATGAAGCTATTTTGTGTATGTATCAATCAAATGGCTCATTTTGAACATATAAAAGTATTTGTGTTTTGTTTCCTAGGGAATTGTTTTCCCATGTAGTACACACATAAATAGTGTACATTATGTAGTACTAGAATAGCCTGGTTTACATATTGAAGGGCATGCTGATTACATGCACAGGAGTACATGAATGAAGGCCTAATATTGATATAGCTTGCATACCTTAATAAAAAATAAACTGTTCTAATCCCCTAATGTAAAAACGGCGGTATACGTAGCCCGATTTATCGGGAACTTTAAAGTGTCCAGGAATCACTGAATGTGATCTTGAACTGGTAAAAAGTTTCGGGTAAACAATTATATTGCACACCTTCCCCCTATTCCAGTGTTTCTCTAAATTGCCCATTCAATATTTAGTCTAAAAACAATAAAATACTATAGGCTGAATGGCCCCAATATAGGGAGTAACCGACCCCCCCCCTCTGACTTACGCGATTTGATTTACACGGCAAAAATTGACAATTTCATATTCTCTTTAGTAAAAACCGCACCCCCTTGGAGAAAAGTGTCTCACGGGCCTGGTCATGTCGTAATCATAAAATTTGAAATCATATGTCCGCCATTTTTTCACATCACAATTTGAATTGCGAGTTTCGGTCTTATTACTTCACAAAAAAATTCCAAAACACACGTAAAGTGATCAGTGTATTAGTCACATCTTCTGGATCACTAACTTAGCATTTACAGCCAGTTACTACACTCAAATTATTTATTCTGTGAACCAGTTCATATGGTTAAAATAACGAAATAATGAAATGTTACCATGTGTCTACTTAGCAGTTTGTTCTATGTCATCCATCCTCCTAGGTTACATTGTGGAACTCCGCCAAACACGACACTTTGTTTTAATTTTAGACGAAATCCTGATGAAATCATGTCATATCTCATCAAGGAGCCGAGCCAGTTCCGTTTTAATTAATGATTTATTTATCTGGCGATTTTGAAAATATTCAATAAATTTATGACACGGCGGCCAGCTTTTTTCAAATGGAGTTCACAGTATTCCAGATGAAATCACCTAGCCAAGTATTCGCTAGAGACTTGAGTAAATCTTGATCATTTCTTGCGTGTTTTCAATTATTTTGTTTGGTAATTCCAAAACTTGCGATTCAAATTTTGAAGTGAGAAATACGACTTCATGATAGACACTAGCTTTGTTAGGGAGTATCACTGTTGCATTCTGGCTGCCAATCCTCCTTGCTTTTTTATAATCATTCTCATTTTTTATTTCATAATCATCTTGATTTTGAACAAGTTGAACTAATTTTTCATTATTTAGATCACTAAAGACTCACCTGAGAAATAATCTGTGAAAACAGAACCAAATAAATAGAATTCGTTGTAGACGATATACTCCCCGACATTGTAGATATATTCTGGGGTATCAAAACTAAGTGAAATGAACAAATAAAGGTAAAATAGTAGCAGGGTGCTCGAGATATATTTCGATTTCTTGTTTGTCCTAGTTTTTCTGACGTCACATATTTGAGTTTGATCTGAAATTAGTATACGACAGAACGAAAAACTAGTATAATAATTATAAATTTATGTATTTTTCAAAGCATAAATATATGATTGATCTATTTAGATGATGAAAATATATAGTTTATATTAAATTCGACAAAAAAACATTATCAGATGCTTTTGAGTGTTTGTTTTTAAATACGTTTCAGGATAGAGTTTGACATTTGGAAGGTGGCAAACCCGGAAGTAACAGAAATCAGAAATGTCTTTTTTCAAGAAATATGCTAAGTCTTTGATAATGATAGGGCCCCCAGTGTTCGGTTGTACTCTGTATATGGTATTCGAAGGAAGCAAAAGATTCAAGAGGAAGACAACTCTTGGCATGCCAGAGGTAAGTAATACCCCTAGATAAGGACATGTGCTTTCAAGAAAAAAATAGAAAAATCTAGACTTCATAGTGACTGACCTACTTTTTAAAAGTACAAAAGTGTAGGTCACTGAATTTTCTCTTTTAGATAGATCAATATATCACGGACTTCAGGGGCGTAGTGGGCAATTGTCAAGGATGTGCGATTTTTTTAGGTTTGGAACAATGCGAGCGAAGCGAGCCCAAAAAGGGGGTATGGGGCACGGATCGGAGTCATCTTTCTTCGAAGCATAGTATCAACAAAAAGGCTTGTTGATACTATGCTTCGGAGAAAGATGGCTCCGATCCGTGGTATGGGGGACGGGGGTTCACCCTAGACTATATCCTCTGTAGAACTATAGTCAAATCATAAATGTTTGTGAGTACAGTGGGGGACAATTAGACTGTATCCTTCGTCTGAATAAATTCAATAATATAAATATAAATATTTTCAATAATATTCGAATATTATATTCGGTCTGTTGGATACATACTAGGGGGACAATAATAAAACTCAACGTTCACAAGTTGTCACAATGAGCTAAATTCCAAGTTTCGTGTCTCAAACTCTCCCAAGCGGTAGAAAAATAATTCCCGTTCACTAAAGTAGCACAATAAATGATTCCAAAGCTTCATACCTGCAAATAATGGATAAATCCCTACCAAATCGAACGAATGTTTTCATGAATCGCCATGTTTGTTATCCAAGGACAGTTGACTCCCAGAATGCAACATCAGTTAACCGTATTTACTCGTGACAGGTTTCAAAATGGCGGAACAGCATTTTGAAAGCTGGCACGTGTCATGTTGCATTCTGGGAGCCAATCCTCCGTTCCGGCGCAATCGGGCGACAAAATCACCTCAACATTTGAAGAGTCGGCATAACATGTGAATATCCACTTCAACTTTTTAAGTTCTTATTTGTCATTATGGACACAAATTCCACTATAGTTTGGACTTACTAAGACATAGAAAATAGAGCACTGAATACACTGAAGTAAGAATTTATTACATGTGCGACAGCATGTAATTTTCATAGCTTTTGCAATTCTTTATGATCCCAACTGTACTTTGAATTTAAAAAATAAGCAATCAATCAAACATTTATATTTATCCTAACTTTTGTATATTTTAGTTTGTTTTGTAGTTTAGCTATCATATCTGTGTCCTCTTATATTTTGATACTTCTCTGCCATGTTATTTTCGGAAAAATTAACATGGCTGAAATTCCCTAAATTACAAAAGGCCACAGCTTTGCTGTACATTATACATTACTATCTGAAATATACAAAAGTTGGGATAAATATAAATGTTTCTATTTTTACATAAACTGTTTCAATTTGGTCATTTGATTGCTTATTTTTTAAATTCAAAGTACTCACAAACATTTATGATTTGACTATAGTCTGATATTTTTTTGAAATTTGGTTGAAAATATTCAGACTGAGTACTAACTCAGTCTGTTGTTGGATACATACTAGGGATCACCCCCCCGAAATTTACATTGTACATGGTGCATTCTTAGCATTTCAAACTGTAACTTGTTATATGCTTTTTCAACAAATTTTACAAAATCGCACCCTTCTGGCTACACCCATGGACTTTTATGGCTTTTATCCTCATGTCCATTGATATTTATCCCATACCAGTATTATATACTATAGTCCTGGTACGAGATAAATGGATATATTCATATGAGGATATAGTCTAGGGGGTAGGGGGGGGGGGGGGGTTGTGCTTGGGTGGAAAAATATATATTTTTTACCTTGATTGTGCTTTTTAATAAGAGAATCAAAGCAATGGTCCTCAATGAGAAGGGTTGAGATAAGACTTTAATGCTTGATGACCTAAATCACGAGGTATTGTTTTTTTCAGAATGCTGAAGACAAATCGTTACGCAGTGGTGAGGCAAGAGTTAAATTTGCAGTAAAATTCAAGAGTACAATACAACAGTATCTAACACCAGCCCAGCGTTCTACTCAGCGTGATTTATGTGCTTCCCTTGCCAAGGCACTGTGGGAAATAGAAGAGTCTGGGGCTGCACCAGTTGCACCAGATGGTAAAGTTGGTGGCAATGGTGCTGTTCTCTTCAATAATAATGGAAAAACTGAACTTCTTATTAGTAAATCAGGCAAAGATGCTGGAAAGCTGATGGATGTTGATTTAGATGTTTGTCTAGTCACTGACTTCAACAGAGAGAAATGGTCAGCTGATTTCTGCTCAGAATCTGAGTCTGTTCTACCATCTAGTGACACCCCCCTGCATCACACTGCACTGATCAATACAATGAAGTTTGACTGGAGTGAACATCCTACTGCGGCACTACATGGACATGCAATAGCTGACGAGGCCTCAGCAAAGAAACTTGACATTCCCATATCAACTGAGGAAACATTGTTCTCAACACCTGCTGATTCTGATGCTCTCATGAACCTGATACGTGAATACCCGTACCCTGCATACAAGATTTACATCAGAAAGGGACATGGGTTTGTCATAATGGGGAAAGATGTTCAGGAAACAATTGACATTTTCAATGAGAAAGTGAAACCATATTGCTCAAAGTAATTTCAAGTCACTTGAAAGCTTATTGCTCAAAGTGTCCTGTGATGTTTCTAACCTTCATTTTTCATTATTTGGGTATTTAGTCTTTTTCCAGAAAAAAACGTAAAACATATGTTAGTAGATTACCTTGCAACAGCTGTACTTAGAAAATAGTGTTCCACTTGAGAGGTTCCACTTCCAGAGGTTCAAAATACTCCACTAACAGAGATGTTCTACTTCTGATCAGAGGTACTGTTACTGAATATCCAAATAAAAGGATGAAGTTGAAATATACTTCACAATGTTGAGTTTACTTGATTAGTCAAGTGGTGCCAAAAACATATGTTTGCCAATAGTTGCAATAAATAAATGAGTCTATTACAAACTCTTTGCATAATACATGAACATAAAGCAAACTGTTACATTTTATTTTGATCTTGTTCTTTTATTGCTCAAATCCATTATTTTCTACATTTATAAGTGGCAAAATATCTTATCCTGAACTCATTCTAAATTAAGAGAGTTTCTTATTCTGTAATTCTGATCCTAAATAATCCCAAAACTGTCTTAATGATCTGTCACATGCACCATAAATAAACCTACATAGGGCAAACCAAAATACCATAGTTATAGTCTACTAGTACAGTAAGCAGTATGACAAGTTCAAGATTGAATTTTTTATATTTTTCAATTTTAAAAGGAAATTGATTCTGTTTCTTTCTAAATGAGCACATTTTCAAACTTTGATAATTACGGAAGAGTTGTATTAAAGTCTATTAACAAGTTATATTTTATAGATGTTACAATACAAGTTATATTGATACTGATTTAAAATATTTTGGGGTAATTTAGGATCACAATAACAGACAGAAGCCTTTTAAGATAGCTATGAAGTTTTATGAATACATTTCAAATAAAATAAAATTATTGCAAAATATAGATTTACTGTGCTTATTCTGTCTATAATGTCTCAATATTGAATATGTACAAATGCAGAGTTATGGGATTGATAGTGATAGTGGGGTATTCTCATATATTAATATAAAAACTAGGATTATGTACATGTATATGTATGTTCATTTCATGAAGGATAAACCAATAAACAATGGAAATAGTTATCGAGTGGAGTTACCAATGGTGTTTAAACCCTTCACTTTTACATAAGACCAAATACATGCATGTATAATACATTTAAATCAGTTATAACAAAAAATAATAAAAATGAACTAACAAAATAATCTCCTTTACTGAGAATGCATGCAATACAAGTGGGTGATTGCAATAGCTCACCATGTGAGCTTACAAGATATAGAAGTACGTACTAGTGCCATGTAAGTTCATGTTGAATTGATGTCCACATTCATTTACGAGACTAAAGCTGATATAATTCTGACCACAACAGTTCTGGATGGGATGACATGACATAAACTCTTCTGTTACTATAGTTATGTAAACAGAAAAGGGCAATAACTGTAATTCCAATCATGAATATTCACAGAATATTTGAATTCGCAAATGAATGTCTCTCATTTAGTAGTAGTCACCATCACTGAACTTAGATACAAAAATTATTTTCTGAAAATATAAATAATGGTATGGCAAGTTCCAAACTAAAAAACTACTGGTACACATTTTTAATCTGAAAAGCTTCAAGTTTCATTAAGTGCTGGAAGGAAAGTTTATGGTTATGTTAAATAATAAATACAAACTATGACTTGGAAAATATTTGAGAGTTATTAAGAATTACAGTTATCAGCCATTTAAAATATATTTTTCAAACAATAGATTGTACAATTACAGAATAAATTCCCTAAATTTTCAGTTATGTAACATTCTCGTTTAAATAGAAAATCCAAGAAAATATGCAAGAATGCTTATTTCCACTAAAAATCTACCAAAATATGTAAAAGTATAAAATTGATTTTTATATAATTTTAAAAAATGCCTCAACTTATCAAGCACAAAAAGTAGTAATCCACATAGATTGAGTACTGTCTTAAAACCTGAATACTTCAATATGAACAACAAAAGTGTATGACCTCATATCATATATGACTATTATGACAAATACCTTTAACAATTATATTACATGTATACCATACTCCTAGTTATTTGAACTTATCTTTATTAATTTGAAAAAATTAGATTTCTTCCTCAAGGATTAAATCAATTTTATGCAGCGTTACTGTTTCAAATTCAGTTCTATATCAGATCAAATTATACAAATACATTATACAAGTATCTATAAAATTATTGAATAATCTTTGACATTGTCAACAGATGTTGACCATTTATCCCAATACGGTTTATTTATACAGACTTATTTAGTAATTTTAAGTGAACACTCCAAATAGGTTTCAAATTAACAAAAGGTATAGAATTACATACATAGACAGTCAAACATTTTACACCGGTATCTAACATATACATATAGCTGTCTATAATATATTATTATTTTCAACTTAATCTATGACATACAGTATACTGAAATGCACTTTTTTTGTCATGTAAGTGCAAAACAATGTTTTCATTAAGTAATGACATTAGGTCTCCAATTTTTATACTTTTTAGACAAAAGTGTCATGAAGTGTCATGAAAACACTATACATGTACATGTATATACATTTTACAAGTCTCTTGAGGATGTAGTTAACAATTACTGTAGATTGGGTTAATTTGGCGCTACTTAATTTGGCAATTTTGCCATTTTTGCCATAATGGTGGCTATTAGGTTGGGGAACACTAGGGTTTGGACATTGCTCTGGCGCCACACTTATTCCTTCAATTCAACTACCATATCTTGTAACTTATTAATGAAGCAACTCCCCTTAGCTAATTTAAAAGTGACATGTTCTGAGTTTTAAAAACTAAACCATAAGTGACTTAAACACACAAAACTCCCGGCATCCTTTTTAAACTTTGGCGAAGATGTAAATTGGCGATCTTTTCAATTTTACCAAATCAAAACAGGCGCCAAATTAACCCAATCTACAGTATCACAAAGAATAAAATTTCACAATAACGTACGATGAAGTAAGTTGAATATTCCGAGGCAACATGATATAAATCCCTCGGTCCTATGGCAAGTTACATTTGATTTGTCATCACATGTAATATAAACAATAAATGCAGAAGAAGAATAACTTTTTAGCAAGACATAATCTCATAATGGAAATGTCATACTCATATTATGCTCTTCTACTGTCATAACAATTTAAAGTAATATTCCTTGCCAGCCCATTGCTGACTTGATATGGTTGCTATGGTATGAAAAATATTGAAATATATGTGAAAAGGTTTTATATGGTCAAATTTTATCATTTAAAATGTATTGTTTATTTCAAGTTGGCTGCCATCTTAAGATTTCAGGAAGTGATGTCACTGATGATAAATTTTGCAGCATGGGGTTTCAAGAGAATGCCCATAGTTTGCATATGGCATAGGCAAGAAGCACAAAACCAGCTGAATATTATTTTTCAGTTATCTCGTATCTATAATTTAATTCTACAGATAATCTTGTCTTCAATTCTAAATTGACAAGCCCTGGGCATCTCATTATAGGAAAAGTAAGGACCAGTTGTCGAGAAGTGATTTTGTACTACTCTCCCAGAGGCATAGCCAAGATCTAAATTTAGATGACAACATTAAATAAGCCAGGCAAATTTGGACTGAAGGAGGTATATTACTACATTTGAATTTTATTTCCACAGTTAAAGTGGCAAAAACGTCTGAAATTTTTTTTGTAAAATTTTGGTAAAGTCTGCCCCATGCCTTGCTATGACTCTCCTATAATGTTATTGACAAGGTTATAAAAGTTTATAAACCATGACATCACTTCCTTTGCGAAATCTTAAAAGATGGCAGCCTTTTGGAAATGAGCATTGTATTTTTATTAAATCAATGATCAATATTGACCATATCAAAATATTTTCCCATGCTTTGCTATATGGATACTCTATACACTGAATATATCTACCATATTAAGACAGCAGTGGAGCTGCAAGGAATATAACTTAAATAGTTTAAGAATGTTCAAGAATTTGGTGAATGTCATAACTCCAAGGCCAATGGGAGAAAATGATGGCATAATGGCACACGTTTTCATTTCACCAAAGGTAAGTTATAGAATAGGGACATAATGGCACATGCTCTGATTTCACCCAGAGTTAAGTTTCAAAATACTGGCATACTGGTAAATGGACCGATTCTACCCTAGTATTTGTTATGAAATACTGGCACAATGAGCTCAATCACGAAATGGTTGTGGTCCAAAAGGTCCGTTGTACTCAGGATGGTACTCATGCTTGTCATTCACAATCTGCCACTCATATTCATCATTTTCTTTTAAGGGAATTATTGTAATTTCTGATTGGTCAATGTTTGCACAGTCTGTCAATACTACAATATCCCCTGATTCGTGTTTAGCCGTATATCTTGCTATACCATATCCATGTATCTATAAACAAGGTCAAATACTTCATTTAATGAGTTCATCAGGCGTTTTATGAGTGATTGCTTGGTTGTAGGCCTAAATCATATTTTATTTATTTAGCCTATTTTGATCTTTGAAGAATGAGAAAAGTTTAAATAATCATGAATTACACAAATTAAACTATGTTATATTTGTACATGTAGTAATAAAGATGGGACACCAAATGTATGTTTCATTATTCCACATCATTTTCAAACTGCCACCAATGTTTTTCAACTTTGGCAGTCACTACATGTGTATTTTGTATGTACTAAAATTGAATAAAGAAGAATGAAAAAGAAAAAAAATTATTCCACATTTAATGATTTACATTAGAACAATTTGTAAGGTCCTTTAGTCTTTCACAATCCATGTATAGCCATGGTAATACCAGAGACTTTGGCTTGACTGAACCTAGTTATCCAGGATTGGCTATAGACTACTAGCACTGGCTACTTACACATTCACTTGCGGACTCCAGCAGTATCTCCCATGTAATGGTGGTTGTAGCCATAATCTTAGCAAGACAAAAACCTGACTTCAGACGGAATCCCACTTCAAATCCTGCAAACAAGAACAGATTAGAATCTTCTAGAGGTATCAAGACTTTTCCAAGAGGTGAGGTGAGGTTTAACTGTTTTACATTTAAAGTTGCATCAAATGCCCATTTTGCAAAATATTTTAGATGTTCTTTCATTGTATTGTCAGCAACAGAAAATGAATTTACGTAAAGAGAATACATAGAATAACTCCCTTGCAGCGAGATTTGTCAATTCTAAATTGTTACTATAACTATACAGGGTGTCAAAAAACAACGGCACCCCCCTCCACAGCAAAAACTCCTTAATGTTACATGGCGTGTCATATCTCATTTGAAAGATAATTCAATTCTGGAGTTACTCAACAAATTTCATTTGATAAAACTTTAAACTAAAAAAGTTACATTGTTTCGAAGTTTGCTACTTCAGTACTTTGTTTGCTACTTTGTTCCTGGTTTAAGGTCAAATCTTGGAAAATATTAATATGTAGGAAATAGCCCAGATCTCATCTACCCTGAGTATATATGTTCAATTGTGAAAGACAGGGTAGGAGAGCTGATGGATAGGGGGCCTCTTGAAAATGGACACAGTAAGGATGTATTTCTGAAGAATATGCGGAAAATGCTTAAAGGATTACGCAATGCTGAACCTTTCTTCGAATCTTCATTGAAATCATAATCATCCAGATTAGCTGCTTTTCGAGCAGCAAGTGGTGGCCGTACCACCTACTAACAATTGGCTATAAATCTGTAAAATTATATCGTACAAAGCTGAAATTTCTCAATTAACTCCAGAATTAAATTGTCTTTAAAATGGGATATGACACACTATGTAACATTAAGTACATTTTGCTGTAGAGGGGGGTGCCGTTGTTTTTTGACACCCTGTACATGTACAATGTTCATTTGTCCAGTAACTCCACACTGAGACATCAAGGATGTTTGATTGATAAGATGTAAGTATGTTAATTGATGTCTACCTAGTTGATTGGTGCTAAGTACTGCTTACTATAAATAATACAATACATTGACCAATATATTAGTGTGGCCATACCTAGTTGTCTATTGCTGGCATGGTCCAGGCTCCCAGGGGGAGGTTGTGTATCTAAATCTGACTCTTTGGCAAAATCCTCATCAATCTTTGCCTGCAACATAGTATTCAAGTCCATGTATATAATTTACAAGTGATGCAATAATCTGGATGTTTTGTCAGTAGTTAATAACCAGAACAACGGCAACGCCAAAGCGTATCGAATCCCATCGAACAGCCATGGATGGCATTTTTACAAACAAAGTACATGTATATAGCTCAATGAGTTATAGTAAAATACGTTAAAATGGTGGCCATTTTGAAAAATGACCGCCTTCTACCAGAAGTGTCATTAGACAGTGTGCCATGCTTACAGTATTCACATACCAAATATGAACAAAATCGCTTCACTACTTTTCGAGTTATAGTAAAATACGTTAAAATGGCGGCCATTTTTCAAAATTTTTTTCAAAATGGCCGCCTTCTACCAAAAGTGTCATAGGACAGTGTGTCATGCTTATAGTATTCACATACCAAATATGAACAAAATCGCTCCACTACTTTTCGAGTTATAGTAAAATACGTTAAAATGGTGGCCATTTTGAAAAATGGCAGCCTTCTACCAAAAGTGTCATAAGACAGTGTGCCATGCTTATATTATTCACATACCAAATATGAACAAAATCGCTCCACTACTTTTCGAATTATATATATAGTAAAATATGTTAAAATGGCGGCCATTTTTCAAAATTTTTTTCAAAATGGCCGCCTTCTACCAAAAGTGTCATAGGACAGTGTGTCAGGCTTATAGTATTCACATACCAAATATGAACAAAATCGCTCCACTACTTTTCGAGTTACAGCAAAAATCGTAAAATAATGAGTAAAGGCCGCCATTTTTCAAGATGGCTGCCATGTGCTTCTTTAATATCTACATTTCTAGCTTTATTAATGTCCTATATAATTTTTTTACATCTAAAACATATTGCTATTACAGTTTTACATATTGCACCTAAATTACTGTAAATTCGGCACTAAAATGGCCGCCATTTTGAAATGAGCCGCCATTTTGAAAATCGACTTTCGAGCAGAACTTCTATCCCCATAGGGTATATGTGTACAAAATATGAACAAAATCGGGCCAACGGTATTTGAGTTATTGCCCGGACGGACGGACAGACGGACGGACGGACGGACGGACGGACGGAGGCGTTCCCTATATCCCTCCGAACTTCGTTCGATGGGATAATAACTAGAAGTTAATAAACTAGAAAACTGAAATTCCTAGGAGTAGCAAATCAAACAGTAAAAATAACATATCAAATCTCTCATCATTTTGAACATATTGTCTCCTTCTGTTAAAATCGACAAACATGATGTAACGTGATGGCATATTAGAAATTCCTTCTCAAGTAAAAATCTTAAGACCAAAAGGCATGAGCCTATTAAATCCTGATAACCAGTATTTGAGACATCAAAATTACATTTTTTAAAACATGATGGCCATTTTAAATTGAGCAGCCATTTTGAAAATTCCCTCTTCACTGTTCCACAGCTTGATAAGTCTAACTGCAATTAGTATCATTCAAGATGGAGGTCAAAATGATTTTGTTTTCAAACCTCCAATTTCAGCTAAACTAAGTTGAATCTGGATTCCAAATGTTTTACCAGGCAAACTAATAAAGTTACGATTGTAGACGCTCACGAGAAAACATTCAAACACCCGTGATAACGGAGAAAGAAAATGGCCTCACTTGACTCTAACTGAACTTGATGATGTGATAATTTAAAGAAAAAATGGTAGGCATTTTAAATTGAGTGGTCATATTGGATTTAATGATCCTTTTTGAGCAGATCCTCTTGGTGGTCATTAAGGCATCAGGACAGTTGTATACACAATGGGATCATAAATTTTGCATACACTTTTAACACAAATAGTACTCCTTTCGGGTGCAGCCTTATTGATCAATCTTTGATACTAACAAATAATGAGTTGAACATGAAATGGTACAATATACAATTATTGACCTCTCCAGAGGTTTACTGTCAAAATTATATCCCGAGACTGTAAACCGAGACCGTAGGTCGAGGTTTACTGTCGAGGGATATAATTTTGACAGTAAACCGAATGGAGAGGTCTATAATTGTTTTGTTAGTCTGAAGAATTTCTTAGATTTTTCTGACCCTTGAAGTTGACTTGAAGTTGGATCCAGACCCTCGAGACGTTCATGTTGTATTTCAGTATATCGGCAGTAAGTTCACTCAATGGAGTCAAATTACTCTCCTGGGCGAAGTCCACTAAAAGCTTTGTACAAAGTTTTAGATTTTTCTTCGTATTTTGACTGTCTTTACTCTCTAAGAGACTAATAATATCCTCATCTTCAACATTTTTGAAACGGCTAGTGCTAGCGGCGACCATTTTATCGTTTGATAATGACGTCATTTTAGTGGAATGCTGGGAATATTATTCACCGGCAATGCATTGCGCAGTGTACAGTTAAAATTATTCACCGCTCGTTGACCAATCAAAATCGAGTATTTCAACTGAGGTACTAACAATATCGATTCATGGGGTTTCTCTAAAAGCTTTATGAGTTGAGCAGGTACAAACATCTGAAATATTGCACCAATCTTCATTTACAAGTGACATCCAATTTTGACTACAATGACACCTGTGAAGTGGAACTCCTGTAGAAATATGCCTAATATAGTGTCATCCACTTTAAACTGCTTTTTTACTCCAGCTATTGCTCACAATAATATTAGTTCAATCTTTAGTCAGATTTGAATTTCCGAGAACACTTAAGATGGAAAAGAATTGGTAATTTGAAGCAAGTTTTTCACCCTGAGAAGGTCATTGAAGGTGAAATCTGAAATCTAAACTCAGATTTGAGCTTTTGAGAACTTGTAGATGATTTTGAAAAAAGGTCAATTTGAAGCAAGTTGAAAAAGACCTTTTTGACCTTTCTTTGACCTTGAGAAGGTCATTGAAGGCCAAATCTTAAGTCAGATTTGAACTTCTAGATGATTTGGAAAAAATTGAAGTCAGTCTGAACCAGTATTTGTTATAGTATAAGTTATTGGAAGTTTTAAGAATTTGTTACAGATGCCAACCGCCGCCCACCAACTGCCGCCACCCACCAACTGCCGCCACAAAAAAATGGGAGACCATAACAATATATCCCCACTTCTTAGTGGTGACATAATAACATAAAAAAACAACTGACGAATCTCTATAAGTTGAACACCTCCCAAGAAGAACACTTTTTAGAGGTATCAAAGGTGATCCTATTAAGACACATTTTGATGTACTTACAAAATCACTTCTTGAAGATGCATTGAAAGATTCATCAAGTTCTGTTAACCTCTCCTCAAAGCCTTCTTCACTTGGATCTTTGTTTGATAAGTCTCTGATTATATTTTCTAAAACAATAAACAATCTTTATACAATGCATTATATGCTGAGACCATTGAATGGTTAAAGACATAACAGTGAGCTTCTTAGATTGTGACAGCAAGCTAGGAATATTATCATTCATAAGGACTTGAAATACATTGTGTCAAATGTAAAATTACATTTTATATGTATAATCTTGATTTTGTATCTCTAGATGTCTTCACTTCACTTCCAGACAGGCCATATGCAAATTTTGTCATTGCTACAATAATTGTGATCACAAATTACTCTAAATTGCCTTATAATTCAGTAAAATAAAGCTTTACTTCAGAGAGATTTTAACATTAATGAAAATTCATGTTTTCAGACCACCCTCTACAGACCCTGGGGGTCATGCCAAAGAACACTGAACATATGTCCAACAGATATGTTTTATGAATAAGCTATGAACAATTCAAACAGTAATACTCATTTACCCCATCTTGAAAAAAATTACTGCATAAAATTATTTACGAATATACAGTACATCTTTCCATCAAACTTTAAGAAAATATATACACCAGTACTTGACTTATTTTCTGGACGGGTACGGACAGACAGAGGGCCTCACAAACAAAGCATTAACATGACAAAATGTCTGGTTGAAGCAAGTTAAGAAGACCTTTTTGACCTTGAGGAGGTCATTAAAGGTCAAATCTATTTTGATCTTGAGAATATCATTGAAGGTTAAATCTATAGTCAGATTTGAACTGTTGAGAACTTGTAGATGATTTTGAAAAAAAATTGGTCAATTTGAAGCAAGGTGAAAAAGACCTTTTTGACATAAGAAGGTCATTGAAGGTCAAATCTCAAATCTTAAGTCCTATTTGCACTTCTGATAACATATAGATGATTTTGAAAAAAAGGTCAATTTGAAGTAAGTTGAAAAAAGACCTTTCTGACCTTTTATGACTTTGAAAAGTTGAAAAGGTCATTGAAGGTCAAATCTTAAATATAAAGTCAGATTTGAACTTATGAAAACATGTACATGATTTTGAAAACAATTGAAGTCAGTCTACACACTATTTGTTGAATTATTGGAAGTTGTAAGAATTTGTTACAGACGCCAACTGCTGATCGCCAACCACCAACCACCATAAAAAACGGGGACCATAACAAATTACAATATGTCACCACTTTTTGGTGGTGACATAATAAAATGGCATATAGGGTATCTATTTTTGGTCTGAAACCGAAGATGGGAAAAGAAATGGTAATGTCTTGTTGATGAGATATTGAACGTTTTCATTTAAAATAGAAGTTGTCCCATTTTTGCAGCCTAGTCAACAGGAAAATGGTGGAAATCGGAGAAAAAGAAGGGGGGGGGGTGCGGCCCATAACCCATAATAAAATAATATAATATGATAATAATAATAAAACCATGAGAAAGAGTGAGAAAAGAGCTTTAAAATGCTTTTTATTTGAAGTTTCTAACTCAATTTTGAAGGAAGTTACATCGATTTTTGTAAAATTCAAAAGAAATCTTAATCATTTGGCTTGTTTATGCCACGATCGCACCCCCCTGACTGAAAACTGAAATTCTTTTGGTGATTGCAGCCCCCTGACTGAAAGATGGCTACGCCCCTGCTATAAAAGAGAATAAATATCATGCGAGGTAGACGGTTCTATGAACTAGGACTGCGTGTAAAGATCAATGAAGGTGAGTTTATTATGTTTACATCAATAAAAATAACATGGCTGGGCAATTTTAAAGGCAAATTCAAAACAACAAAGAGTGTCTTATTTATATTCTATTGTCACACTCAGTGGACATAGAATATGGTAACATATATGATGTACACATATGGCATACCTTTATAAAGCTTCTCATACTCCTCTTCATTTTGACTGTGATCCCGTGGAGAACTCTCCTCAACCGTAGATGGACCCTCAAGCGGTTCCACAGTATAGGAAGGTGGCTGAGGGGTTAAAGTATCACCATATTTAGGAGGATTTGCTGTCTGGGGGGTGAGGCTGAATGGTTTTCTAGGAGTCTGGGGGGTAAATGGGGAGTAGGAAGTGTCCGTATTATACCCAGAGGTATCTGTAGTACGAGAAGAATCTCTCCGTAGCTTTCTAGAATTCCAGCTAAGTGGGGACAATGAAACTGGAGTTTCTTGTGCGATGATCAAACTTTGAGATTTTACTTGATAAATATTGGGAGCAGACGTTCTTCGTTTTTGTGCAGGGACAGAGCATAAAGGTGGCAATGATGCCTCTGGTGATGAGGCTTGCTTCCTTAGAGGGTTGCGATGTAATGCTGGTGTTTTAGGAGTTAATCCATGAAGTTTATCTTTGCATTCACAACCAGCTGCACACTCCTCTTCATGGCATGCTTTCACTTGTGTTGGCGAGTTGGGAATATTCACTTTAAGTTGTTTAGGATTTCTTGCTTTCATTGTCTCATTTGAAGAGTTAGCAAAGCCTGGAGAGTTGGGCGAGACTGGGGATATTAGTGTATGTGAACTACTGTCACTACTGAAGTGTTTAGGAGTGACTGGAGATGGAATGTTACCTAAAACCTCCCTGAATTGCTCAGGTGAATGGCCCAAAAGGTCCAGATCATTATCAATGTTTCTCTCTCCTTGATGTGGGTGTTTTACTGGGGGATTATATTCGTCAGTTGGTGGACCCCTTGGAGACAGAGCTTCCTCAAAAGTTGGGAAATTTCTCTCAGCTGTGTCAGATTGTTTTCTTATGTCTTGTTTGGGGGAACCATGGCTTGCAGAATCATGCTCAGTTGTGCCTGGTGGTTTAGCAATGTCTTGTTCAGGGTCAGGGGAGCTGAAGCTTGCATAATCCTGTTTAGTTGTATCTGGTGGTTTAGCAATGGTTTGTTCGGGGGAACTGAAGCTTGCCGAGTCCTGCTCAGGCAAACTATTCACAGTACGTGGAATAAGATCGCTCCAGTTGTTATCCATTTCCAACAGGTTTGTTGTGTTGTTGCCTTTTGAACCAGATGTATAGATATCCATGAAGCTATTAAGTTGAAATTCTTCATCTATTTGAACCATTGTTTGTTTCACAGAAGGAGTTGTCCCAGGATGCTCCTCTCTCATTGTTATGATTGTACTCGGCATCTCACCAATTATATCATCACTCAGCTCTGATTTGATATTCCCATTATTATCATCAGTGCGATTGTCTAGATGTTCAACACTAAAATACTCGCTGGTCTGTGTTAAAGGAGGCTTGTTGTCTACATTCTCTGAACTGTAGTCCTCAGGCTCACTGGCTTCTAAGCTCTTGAAGAAACCCTCATCTAAAGAACAAATATTTATGGTCACTGCTTTTTTGTGTAAGTTTTCAAAACTTATTTACCATAGTGAAAAGAATGAATTACCAATTACTAACATTCTCAAAGAAATCTAGTACTTGAAAATATTTTTATGAAAAAATATATAAATCAATAGAAATGTTTAGGCTTTCTTGACTAAAATGTAGTGTCCTGTAGTGTGATAACAGCATTGACAAATGAGAACAATTTTCCAACAGGGTGAAAACAGCATTGGCAAATATGAACAACATTTCAACTGGGTGAAAACTGCATTACCCAAAGAAAACAATTTTCAGCTGGGTGAAAACAGCAATGGTAAATGCAATAAATATTCTAAATCAACTGGATGAGCACTGCATTAACAAAAGGGATCTATTTTCCAACTGGATGAAAGCAACATTGGGAAATAAGAACAATGTGGGTGAAAACAGCATTGGCAAATGGGAACAATTTTCTAACTGGATGAAAGCAACATTGTTTCACTTCTAGAAAGACCATGGTCCTGAGGAATTCCAACTTACCAAGTAGCTTAAAAACATTATGTTTTAACAGACAGGCTGCATCCGGCCGTACATCAGGATCTTTTGTCCACCCAGAGTGGAAGATGTCCTGTATAGCAGAGGGAAGACTGCTTGGAATATCTGCATAAGGGGATTCTGTAGCTATCTGCAACAGAAATACTGTACATTTAATTTACTGTAATTGTATCGTAAAGCTATGGTAATTTAAATATGAACATGTGAAAAATACCTTAATCAATGATACACCTTTCTTTTCAGGCATTGTTTCCTAAAATTAACACTCGATGCAAAGCATCTCTTGCAAATTTTGGAAAAAACACCTTCAAAAATGGCCATTCCACATTGTACTGAGTCAAAGGCTTAAATCCTTAACTCAATCATATTTGGGGAGTTTATTGTCAAAAGTACACATTATCTTATTCTCACAGTACTATGTTATACTAGACTAAGTACAAAGTTTTCAACTAAATGGCCATTCCACATTGTACTGAGTCAAAGGCTTAAATCCTTAACTCAATCATATTTGGGGAGTTTATTGTCAAAAGTACACATTATCTTATTCTCATAGTACTATGTTATACTAGACTAAGTACAAAGTTTTCAACTAAATGGCCATTCCACATTGTACTGAGTCAAAGGCTTAAATCCTTAACTCAATCATATTTGGGCAATTTATTGTCAAAAGTGCACATTATCTTATTCTCATAGTACTATGTTCTTCTATGTACTAAGTTTTCAACTCACTTTATAATGTAGAAAAGCAGCATTTCCATATCTCCTGACCCATGGATGATCTCCCGTTAACATATGAAGCAAGACACATGTGGCTGCCCATACATCCACTTTGTGGTTGTATGGATGGCTCAACGCCTTTTCTGGAGACCAGTGAGTCTGCGTGCCTGTTGGTCTCTTTACACGGATTGTCGGAGAACTGTCAGAAATTAATTTTGCTAATCCAAAGTCAATGACAACTACAGCATCAACCTTGTTTTGTTCCCCAGGCAACACCATAAGGTTGGCAGCTACAAATGGGGCATACATGAGTATTATCCTTCAGGTAGATTGGTTCATTTTGATTCCATTATGACCTAACAGACAGTCAATCAATTCAGTTTAATTTTGAATACTGTCTGTATCAGACTTGTCTTTTGATATAATATGTGCATTGAAATCAGACCTGATGAACAATTCCAAAAGAGCTCATTACAATCTAACATACCTTTGAAATCATTGTGTATGACCTGCTTCTTCTGGAAATGTTCCAAGTGGGATAGGCACTGTTTATAGATGTATAATGCTTCTTTTTGTGGTAAGCTGCCTGTGGGTTTCTGCTGGATGTACTGGGCCAGTGACATACCTATATGATATAAAAGACATCTCTTAATATATTTGAATTTTGAAATTATCAATTTAAGATAGTTATACAGGGATTAAAGATAACATCCTGCTAAAATATAGACACAATGATGATGTTGCCCTTTGCTATTATAATTAACAAAACAATATTAAACAAGGCATGACAAAATGTCACCACGTACCTAGCTGCTCACAATATTATGAGTTTAATCTTAAGTCAGGTTTGAATTTCTGAGAACTTGTAGATGATTTTGAAAAAATAAATTGGTCAATTTGAAGCAAGTTGAAAAAATACTTTTTTACCCTGAGATGGTCATCGAAGGCGTAATCTGGAATCTAAAGTCAGATGTGAACTCCTTAGAACTTGTACATGATTTTGAAAAAAATGGTCAATTTAAAGCAAAATGAAAAAAACACCTTTTTGAGCTTGAGAAGGTCATTGAAGGTCACATCTCTATTGAATTTGAGAACGCCATTGAAGGTCAAATTTATAGCCAGATGTGAAATTCCAAGAACTTGACGATGATTTTGAAAAAAAATTGGTCAATTTAAAGCAAGTTGAAAATACCTTTTGACCTTTTTTGACCTTGAGAAGGTCGTTGGAGGTGAAATCTCAAATCTTAAGTTAGATTTGAACTTCTGGTAACTTGTAGATGATTTTGGAGAAAAAAAAATTGGTCAATTTGAAGCAAGAGACAAGATGTTGCCAAAATTGTAGAAAGATTGAGTTAATAGTATTCAAATGGCAAAATCTTTGATCTTAAAGGTAGTTGCTCTAGCATCTTGCTTGCCCGATTGATATGATTATTTTAGTTAATTTTACGAACTCAATCTACTGTACGACTGTTTTATAATGGATAAATATCAATTTGACCATGAACTAATTAAATTCTAACCAGGAGGAATCTGACCTACAGGCCTTACTTTTTATACATATTTTTTTCTGTTTTGAAAAATTTGATATGTGATGTATATTTCTTAGTTTTTCAAAGAAATCTACAAATATTTCATTACGGTTTTATCTTTACATCGTAATTTCGACCACTGCCTTCACTTTTTGAACGAGTTACCTTGAAATATCAAGACGTCATTCTATTCTTATACTTATAGAACTCAATGTAACTGTCCTTGACCATTATCAAGCAGTAAAAAATTAATTTGCTTCATGGGTGACAAAATGTTTCTTCTTCATGGGTGTCGAGTTTCGCATCATACAAATGTAATTTTAGGCGATCTGTCTGCATGGGGTGTAAATACAATTACAATATATTTTCCATCGACTCGGATTTCATACGTGATCAAGACGAGTTTCTTAATTGATTAGAATGATTATTGCCGAATCTGTTCGGTGATGAGATGGTTGAGCAACTACCTTTAATCCTGCATCACACTGCATGAATGATTATGTAATAAACATTTTGAAAAAGAATAAATACATTTTGGTCTCCAGATCTACTTTCAGTTCAATATATCATAGTATCATATCTTACCTTCAAGGAACTCTTGCAAAAGATAGACATATTCTCCTTTTCTGAGAGCACCATAAAGGAAGGCAACCTCCCCTGTGTGTACAGTTCCCATCAACCGTAACCATGCTTGGATCTCCATAGGGTCAAAGTTCAGTAAATGCACCTACAATTATAAGATAAAAGCTAAATTTGATTCATTATCTTCTAAAATAAATGCTTATAAATTGATCATCAGTTATTGTTTTTCATCTAAAATTTATTTTAAGAGGATTGCCCAGTCCTTATCGATGGGCTCTCCTCATTTATTTAATTAGGTTTGATGGATAAAATATCTTGTAAATTGTGTATATGTATGCACTGTCAGTATACATCAATTCTCTTGATAAGTTCTTAAATGATGATATACCTTCTTAACACAGAATAATACGTAAGTAGTTTCATCCATAGCAAGGCTACACTTCCCTTCTACACCATTTCCCAGGAACTGTATTTTTCTCCACTGATTCTTTTTCTTATAATTTCCTTTTTTAATTTTCAAATACTGAAATATTCAAAATACACATATATGATCAATGAGAAAAACATATCTTATCATAATTAGAGGTTGAAATCCATGCTTTTTTGTCTTGAATGAATCATTGTTCTGATCTCTTTTTACAGTTTTATCGCAGATATGGCATGAATAAGATCTAAGGAATTTCATTTGAAGAATCATGATAGAAGATTTCCAATTTTGATGGATGTGAAATGTAACAGTGGCTATGAAATATAAAAATGGGTGTTAAATACAACAATGGGTCTTAAATACAACAACATTGTTAGTTTGAGTACCTGTTTCATATCATTTAAGATGACACCTTCTTCATGTATGTAATCCAGCAAAGTTCTCTTTGCCAGAACATCGTTTCTCAGTCTATCCCAATATCTTGCCAACTCTTCCAAATGACCATGGCTACCATAGGTGACCTCAGCCTGCCCTGCCATCCTGGGATGTAAGGATACAAACTGCTTACTGTTATTCCCACACTGAGTTCCATATCTTGCCATGTCAAGGGGCACACTTGTTGTACCTTTGAACAGCATCTCTGGTAAAATACTCTCACATCTCTCATCATCTTCATAATCATCAATTGGAACTACAGGTGTGATTGCTGCTTCAGAGGAGGGTGCCACCTTGATAATTTGATCATCAGAAAATGATGACTTTACACCTATATCTTGGAAAAAGGACTTAATCGCATCCATGTTGGGAGTTGGAGCCTCAGCCTCTAATGAGGGATGTCCATCATCAATTCCAAGTCTAGAAGAAGACTCATTAGCAGATAGGTTCAGTGAAGAGAGTTGGTCATCAAGGTCTTCATTCTCCAGGTCTGTGGATAATGCCTCTAGCATCTCCTCTGGTGTTCCTGTGGTAAGCACATTCTCTTTAGGTGCTTCATCATGCAGTGCCATAGGTGTTATACTCTCTTCAGTGTCAATAGGTTCACCATCATCAATGTGTTTTACCTGCTCCGATAGATACCTCACTTCAGTTAGGGGATGTGCTTGGGAGCTAAAGGCAGGGGTTTCAGGGGAAGGGAGGATGATGCCCCTTTGTCCAGATATGTCATGATCAAACATGAGAGCAGATGGTCTATAATTAGAACTGGCAATCTTAAGAGGCTTAGCTTGAGCTAAACCATAGTGACTCTCAAAACCACCAGGTTCCTCGTGATCTTTAACAAGATCATCCTGATGGGCTGATTCATTTTCTTTGCTTGCATCTTTATATTCAGGGATAATGTCTCTAGACTTTGGAGGTAATGATGGAGTCCTGTTTGATATGCCAAGAGCCATCTTGGGAGGACTAATCAGACGGCTACTGAGGTGTCCACGGAGACTTGAACTTGTCTGGGATCCAAATCCTCCACTTTGAAACAAACTTCCTGAGTTGTTCGAGTAAAATGAGTTGTCAAGAAACATTTTTCCGAGGAATCGCTTCAGTTTCTTCCTTAACCAGATCCCCTCAAGTGTCTTCAAACGATCTGGTTTAATCTTAACCTCAGGTCTCAATTTTTTACATATCTTATTCTCACAATGTTTCCCAGCCTCACATTCACTGACGTGCATCTTAATAGCAGAAATGACAACTTTACACTTCCTACAGGTGGTGCATTCTGGGAAGTGTTTAAAGATGGCCACCAGCTCATGACAAAGGTTACAGTTTGTTATAGATGCCATGCCTCTCTGTGTGGGCCAACAGTCAGATTGCATACAGGTCAACAACTCTTGCAAGGTAGACTGGAACTCACTTTCCTCGACCTGGAATAATATGAGAGAAGATATCATTTTTAATCATTCATTTTTATTAGGTTTGTACATTAACAGATAATTAATTGCACAAAATACTGGACGACAGGGCTAATCTCATCTGTAATTTTTCCATTTTCTATAATTTTCACACTATTAAGTTATCATTATCATCAATAATTGCTGAAAGTATGACATAAATCACTGGTGATTATCAGGAGTTCAAGACCATGTCTTTCAAAATGGCAAACTGCATATCTCCAATTCTCTTTTTATACTAACCTGTGATGAATAGGAAAGGTTGGAGTGTCAGGTATATGGATCTGATACATTTAAGCAACCTGCACTTGCTATTAACATTTACTGTAATTCAGTAATCCTCTTTGTAAATAAATTGTGTTTGGTTTCAAGTGTTATTACAACTGTTTTCCCCTGTCTATGTACATGTAGTATTCTTAGTGCATTCATCCAAGGTTTTAACACATTGCTATAGAAAGGGGAAATATTCAGATAACAGCAAGCTACTAATCACAAAAGTTAAGTACATAAATCAACAATATTCTCCTAATTGCAAGGTTAAAGTTGTTTTTAGATTTATCATGTTTAGATCTCTAACTGTCAAGACAAACAGGCAATTTCCATCTCCCTTTATATGAATGAATCTCCTTTCCTGTTTCAATTCCATATTCATTTTCTGAATATTTCATTTTGAATGATAATATATGTATCTCTCTATTAAATGATAAAATCTGGACCAATACTGATGAATTCATTATACAATGTCATACATTGACTTTTATCATGATATGTGTATGCCATATCCAAATTGTCATGGTTCAGGGGTAAATGATCACATATTTACATCAATGACAAGAACAAATGATCTGTAATTGACTTCATATCTAATATTGATAACTTAGAAATTATTATGATTCACAGATATCATTGAATGCTAAATAACTCATAGAATAAAAAAATGATCAAAAATATCCAGGACTTTTACATCTCTCAGATCCATGTCTTATACTTTATTCAACCCCTAAAAAATCATCAACTGATTTCTTAAGTCCCGTAGTGTGTTATGAAGTAAATGTGTAAAGTAAACTACTATGCCTTCATTGTCCCTCTGGACAATGTCTTTAGAGCAAGTGAGAATGATGCTATTAATTTCTATCAGAATAGTAAACTGTGGTTGAAAAAATACAGAATATCAGATCATTTTAGTCGATTAATGAGTTGATATCAAATATCAACACAAGGCAATAACATGACAAAATGTCACCACCTAGTTGCTCACAAAATTATTAGTTCACCTTTAAGTCAGATTTGAATTTCTTGGAACTTGTAGATGTTTCTGAAAAAAATGCTCAATTTGAAGCAAGTTGAAAAAAGAGCTTTTGTGACCCTGAGAAGGTCATTGAAGGTGAAATCTCAAATCTAAAGTCAGATTTGAACTTCTGAAAACTTGTAAATGATTTTGAAAAAAAATGGTCAATTTGAAGCAAGTTGAAAAAGACCTTTTAACCTTGAGAAGGTCATTGAAGGTCAAATATTTTTTTGACCTTGAGAATGTCATTAAAGGTCAAATATATGTGAACAGTTCAGCAGTAAATCTTGAATCTAATATACACCTACCTTTTCCAAAGCTTCAGCAAAACTCTTCAAACGACCATGTTTTTTCCTGTATCCTTTGAAGTCCATCTCTGGGGCTTCACCACCTAACATGTTGCCAAGCTGTGCAATATCAGCATTGGAATCTGTCACTGGTCCCTAGAATGAGATCCACTATATATGTTCTTTTATTTATCAATGTACATGAACTACATGTATATTTCACTAAAAAAAGTTACAATACTACAGTATTTCAAAGGTTTTTCCCTATACTACCTGAGTGGGAAGAAAGAATATATGAGGGGTGATCAATTAAAAAAACATCCATTACCTATGAATTACTCTTGTAATTTAACTACAATAGTATCAGATTTATCTTATTATGGACCAAATTTTTAATTTAATTAATTTCTAATTCTCAAATTACAAAAATAAATCTCTAACTGAAAGAAACCTTCAAAAGGTTTGAACAGTAACTTTCCTATAGTGCCCTATTAAGTACCAATAAAAATAAAAATACATTTAATTGTTAGGGCCTAACTGGGCTCCCTGTACACTTTATGAGTTAATGTTTAACATTTATTGCAATATTCAGTATACTACAGTATGAGGCATCTTCTCCGAAGTAAACTCATGACAAAATATGTTCATCGTCACATGTGGGAGGATATGTCAAGCAAGCCACGCACACAAGTCTAGGTTATATTTACATATAATTGAGTTCAAAAATCAAGTTCTGACTACTATTTAACAGAAAGTAGGCCAGTTGTATTTGCCAAAAGATATTTCCTGATTCCCTAGAAAATGATCAAAGATTTGAATTATATTTGCAATACAGAATTTTCAAAATGTCACAATCTTTTCATATATTAGAGGGTTTGGGGAATTTTCATACATGTACTGTGACACTACACTGAACTAGGGCATTACATGGAAAGAAATGACCTTCATACTCCAGTAAAAACACGAAAAATAAATGAAAAAATTGCAATACTTATTAAACCTAGTGCAACAAATGCATATTGATGAGTTTAAAGACATATCAAAAATCTAGAAAAATCTAAGTAGTGGAAGACATGTAAAAATCACTATTTGTACCCCCTGGTCTTATTTTATGAGGGGATACTGTGATAAGCATTTATATCTTCTGTTGTGTGCCTCCAATTACATTCAAATTTTCAGGGATTATGCATCCATATATACTTAGTTGTCATGAAAAGATTGATCTTGATTGGTCAATTGGTTACCATGGCAACATAATTTAATTGCAAAATATTGTAAATATTAAGGATAAATCTACCGTTTCCCTACAAACAGATCGTAGTTTGTCATTTTTAATTTTTCAAAATGAACACAAAGTTGAGCGTAATACATATTGAAGGAGTTTACAACAAGATAACATGATATATAGGTTAATAGGATGACATATTTGGTTCATGTTTGATAACTACACTGTACTGCTCAATTTTCCACAAAGTGGGCGTGGCACTTTTTGTTATTACAATTCCAAATAATTTCATATTTTCAAGGGTCATTAATACATATATAATTATCTGGAATGGTGAGTCCAAATATCTTTTGTCAATTGGTTGCCATAGTAACACAACATATTGTATGTGAATCGTGGGTAGAGGTCATTTCAGGCAATCCTTGTTAATCTTAATTGTTTATTACATTCATCCTTAAGAACTGTTTTAGTGTATGATCTTTTTTAACAAATACAGGTTTGGATAATATTAATATGCGTTTGCTATGGTAACACAACTAATAATGCTGTTTCTTGAAATACTGCTCTGTTTGTTCGTCTGCCCGCCCATCTGTCTAAGCATTTTCTGACCTATTAATTAATCACAGATTGGTGTTATATGTGACAAAATGGTGATTCTTGACATCTTAGACTCAAGAGGATGTACCAACTTAGACCCTGTACGCTGTATCAGTCTTAGATTATGGATATTCTACCCATTGTAGACTTTGGAGGATGTACCCATTAAACACAAGAGTCTACAACCTCTAAGACTCTAGAGGCTGTACCATCTTATATCTATTTATTAATCACATATTAATGTTACATGTGGCTAAATTGTGATTCTTGACATCTTAGACTCTAGAAGATTTATCAACTTAGACTATATACATGTAGGCTATATCGATCCTAGATTATGGATGCTGTACCCATTGTAGACTCTGGATGATGTACCCATTAAACACTAGAAGCTCTGGAGGCTATACCCATTGTAGACTCTTGGAGGCTGTACCCATTGTTAACTCTGCATCTGGAAGGTGTACCATCTTCTCTCGAAGGCTGTTCCCAGAACTCATCAAAGGTTCTGGAGGCTATACCATTTTTGACTCCGGAGGCTATATCCATTTAAGACTCTAGAGGCGATATCATCCTAGTCTCTAGGAGGCTGTATCCATTGTAGACTATGAGGGTCTACCATCCTAGGCTCTTGGAGGCTATACCATCTCAGACTCTTGTAGGTTGTACTATCTTAGACTCTTGGAGGCTGTACCTATATTTGACTCCTGACTTTCATAGAAATCATAGACTATTGAGGCTGTACTATCTTTGGCCCTAGAGGCTGAATCCAAATTAAACTCTGAAGCTATACCATATTGGTCTCTGGAGGTTGAATTCATATTATACTCTGGATGTTGTACCATATTATACTCTGCAGGCTGTATCAATTTTAGATTATAGAGGCTGGGTCATCTTAGACTCTTGGAATTGAAGGTTGTAGCCATCATAGAAGTAGATGTACCCATTAAACTCCTGAGGCCATATTAGACTCTAATTGTTAATATTAGTCGTATTGTTAATATTAGTCTATACCATTTTCAACTTTGGTGGCTGAACCATTTTAGGCTCTGAAGGCTGTACCATCTTAGAATCTGGAAACTAGTCCTATGTTATATCGAGAGGCTGTACCATCTAAGGGTTGGAGGCTGTACATGTTAGACTCTTGGAGGCTGTACTTATCATAGGCTCTGAATGCTATAGCAATCAAATGATCTGAAGGATCTACCATCTTGGACTCTGGAGACTGAACCCATGTTATATCTGGAAGCTGTACCATCTTAGACTCGTGGAAACTGTGCCTGTCTTAGCCTCTGGATGCTATAGCAATCATAGCCTCTGAAGCTGTATCATCTTAGACTCTGGAGACTGATTCCATGTTATATCTGGAGGCTGTACCATCTTAGACTCATGGAGGCTGTACCATCTTAGACTCATGGAGGCTGTACCCATCCTAGGCTCTGAATGCTATAGCAATCATAGCCTCTGAAAGCTGTACCATCTTATACTCTGGAGACTGATCCCATGTTATATCTGGAGGCTGTACCATCTAAGGGTCTGGCGGCTATACCATCTTAGACTTATGGAGGCTGTACTGATTCTAGGCTCTGACTACTACAGCAATCTTATATTCTGAATGTTATATCATCTTGGACTCTGGATGCTGAATACATATACTACTTGGGGCTGTATCATATTAGATTCTTGAGACTGCACTAATTTTATACTCTTGAGGCTGTACCATCTATATACTCTGGAGGCTGAACCAACTTAGGCTCTACTGAACCATTCTATAGTCTCAGGTTCTACCATATTAGACTATTGGATGACATGTTCTTGGTATTGAAGGACACCATATACGCTGGGGGTTGAATCATATTCTATTATGAGATAAGTTTTTTCAGAACATATGCACTACACTATTTGCGTTTATTATGCTCTGTGTTACTATGGCAACCCCTTGACCAATCATGTACAGACTCACCATATTAAAGAATAACATCCGTATCCATGAGCCCTAAAAATATAACTGTGACTGATTTTGTAAAAATAACTGTTTTAGGACATTATCACTGAAAAGTGCCACGCCAACTTTTGAGTAGATAGAGAGGTAGTCACGTAATAGAATAGAGTTCAGGGTCAAAGATATCATATAATTTATCACATTTATCATGTTATCTTATTAAACCCTCCCCAAATATGTTTTTAGGGTAGTTTAATGTTCATTTTCAAATGATTTGAAGAGTAATGGCAACATCTGTTATTATAAGAAGCTTCAGACTTACCTGAAATATTTAAGATTTTGAGTAATCAAATTGTGTTGCTATGGTAACCAATTGACCAATTAATTTTAAAATTGTCGTGACAACTCACTATATATAGGCGCATGATACCTGAAGATTTTATAGTGATTAGAGTTATGTAACAGAAATCATTAATGATTATCATATTACCCCCTCATAAAATTATCCCAAGGGGTATAAATGGTGATTTTAAGGTTTTCCACTACTTAGATTTTTCTAGATTTTTGATATGTTGTTTTACTTACCAATGGCTATTGATTACACTAGGTTTACTCTGTGTTGCAATTTTTTCATTTATTTGTGAAAATTTACAACGATTTTACTGGAGTATCAAGAATAAATGTTTAAAAGTAATATTGCGTCAAGTCTTATGTGCAAAATTGAATTGCAGACCATTCATCATTTTTTCCTATACATTAAATGTAACTGTAAACAGATTTTAATAATCTTTAATGTTCACCCTGAGCACACATCAACAAGTTGGTTAGTTGCTAGGTAACAAATACAGTAAACCTCTATTCAGTATTATAGTCCGGTAGGAAACTGATGAAACACATAAAAAACAGAAATCTGGCTAGCCATATTAATATAATTTCAGTGACAGAAGTGATTAGTGCTAATTAGTATAACACCTCCTCAAGTTTACACTTTTCAAAGTTCACTTTTCAATTACCTTTGTAAAATTAATTCCTGCTTGTGGAACACCTGGCAAGTGAAACACTATTTTGATGTATTAAATATGTTCACTTACACAGGTATATATAAGCTATTCAGTCAGCCAAAATCTATTGAGCAGGATGTTCCAGATTTTTTTTGATTTAATACGTTTTTTATTTATTAAGTACAATACTTAAAGGATATATCACACATAGAGAAAACATGGTTGAAGCTGCACACAATTTAAGAAGCCGGTTCAAGGATATAAAGATCCCATAGAAATAATCAGGTGGCCAAGATCAAAACAATCTGGTTCTGTACCAGTACTTTTTGGCTCTAGACTGGCATTTATATTGCACCAATCAGGTTTAGGTGACTATGTAGGCATGTATAATATCAGGGGAGGTAATGAGAATTTAAATTGCACAGTACCTCTAAGTTGATGGGGTGCATGGACTGGCCTCTGTCTGGCCTATCATATCTCCTGTGTCTATTGCTCTCATCTTGCTCCTCTTTTCTGTCATTATCTTCATCTCTGCTCCTCTAGAATCATAAGACACATGTGCAGTAACAACTGTGTATGTGAACAACTCTATAGACATTAGACATATGTACATTAGTTCCTGTGCATGTGAACAACTCTATTTAAACATTAGACATATGTACATTAGTTTCTGTGCATGTAAACAACTCTATAGACATTAGACATATGTACATTAGTTCCTGTGCATGTAAACAACTCTATAGACATTAGACATATGTATATTAGTTCCTGTGTATGTGAACAACCCTATAGACATTAGACATATGTACTGTACATTAGTTCCTGTGCCTGTGAACAACTTTATAGACATTAGACATATGTATATTAGTTCCTGTGTATGTGAACAACTCTATAGAATTAGACATGTGTACATTAGTTCCTGTGCCTGTGAACAACTTTATAGACATTAGACATATGTACATTAGTTCCTGTGCCTGTGAACAACTTTATAGACATTAGACATATGTATATTAGTTCCTGTGCATGTGAACAACTCTATAGACATTAGACATATGTACATTAGTTCCTGTGCATGTAAACAACTCTTTAGACATTAGACATCTGTACATTAGTTCCTGAGCATGTGAACAACTCTATAGACATTAGACATATGTACAATAGTTCCTGTGCATGTGAACATCGCTATAGACATTAGACATGTATATTAGTTCCTGTGCATGTAAACAACTCTTTAGACATTAGACATCTGTACATTAGTTCCTGAGCATGTGAACAACTCTATAGACATTAGACATATGTACAATAGTTCCTGTGCATGTGAACATCGCTATAGACATTAGACATATGTACATCAGTTCCTGTGTATGTGAACAACTCTATAGACATTAGACATATATACATTAGTTCTTGTGCATGTGAACAACTCTATAGACATTAGACAAATGTACATCAGTTCCTGTGTATGTAGAGCTGGCATCGAATTGGATTTTAATGTCGACATGTCGGAGCTCTCGATCGACGACGATATCGACATTGTCGGGTCCAATGATATTCGAAAAATGAAACAAATTTTGAAGAAAATCCGTCTGAATTTTAGCTTGTATTTAGCAATACAATGCACAATAGTCATCCTCAGTTGTATGTTTTATATTTAACTTACAGATAAACCATGTTCAAGTATCAGACTTTGATGAAAAAGCAATAAATAGACATAAAACTACGATTTCTGTTGTTATTTCCGGGCAGCCATTGAAAATAAATCTCGAGGGTAAATCTCGAGAGGCCCCAAGACCTAATTCGAGAGCAGGAAGTCGATCAAAACAAAAAAGAAAATTTGAAAATGTAGGCGGTAAAACTTCACTAAAATACACCATACAGCAGATAGTAACAGAGATTTTAATTCATAGGGAAATAGCTTATTATGTTGTGAGTTCCGACTGTCGATCAAGAGGTGTTGTGTCGACATGGGTGTCGCAGAGAGCATTCGACTGACAATCGACCATTCCGACATTTGATGCCAGCTCTATGTGTATGTGAACAACTCTATAGACATAAGACATATGTATATTAGTTCCTGAGCATGTGAACAACTCTATAGACATTAGACATATGTATATTAGTTCCTGTGCATGTGAACAACTCTATAGACATTAGACATATGTACATTAGTTCCTGTGTATGTGAACAACTCAATAGACATTGGACATATGTTTATTAGTTACTTTGCATGTAAACAACTCTATAGACATTAGACATATGTACATTAATTCCTGAGCATGTGAACAACTCTATAGACATTAGACATATGTACATTAGTTCCTGTGCATGTGAACAACTCTATAGACATTAGACTTATATATATTAGTTCCTGTGTATGTGAACAACTCTATAGACATTAGACATATGTACATCAGTTCCTGTGTATGTGAACAACTCTATAGACATTAGACATATGTACATTAGTTCCTGTGCATGTGAACAACTCTATAGACATTAGACAAATGTATATTAGTTCCTGTGTATGTGAACAACTCTACAGACATTAGACATATATATATTAGTTCCTGTGCATGTGAACAACTCTATAGACATTAGACATATGTACATTAGTTCCTGTGCATGTGAACAACTCTATAAACATTAGACATATGTTCATTAGTTCCTGTACATGTGGACAACTCTATAGACATTATGGTCATTAGTTCCTGTGCATGTGAACAACTCTATAGACATTAGACATATGTACATTAGTTCCTGTGCATGTGAACAACTCTACAATCATGAAACAAATCTACATTACCACCTGTGTGTGTGAATGCCTCACTCAGTAAACACCTCAAGAACCATGAATTGCAAATACTTCTCTCACTTAACACTATACAAATAGTGACTGCCATTGAGGGCAATAGTGTAAATTATTTCCCCGAGGGAATATCCTCTACAATGTACTATTCCCGAAGCCGCAGGCTGAGGGAATAGTACATTGTAGAGGATATTCCCAAGGGGAAATCATTTACACTATTGCTCGAAATTAGGCAGTCACTATTTGTTTTATTATATACCCTATACTGACTCTTGTCCCGTTTCCTCTGCGAAGGCCAAAAAGGCTTAGAAAGCCCCCTCCCCGGGTCCATTGTTAGCATTATAAGCTGTGACGTCATCAGATGCTCAACAGAAATTCTTGCCTCTGAGACTCTCATTTGACAAATTCAATCGCGTTTAACACGCGGAATAGATTATCATAACACTTGAAATTACACAGACGTATTGAGCTTAGGGAACTTTATACACGTTGCTTATATTGTATCGTTCACGCACGTCTGTCATGGTGAACGGAGTTGATTTGTGTTTGTGCTCATCCTCCATTTTTCTGTTTTTCGTCTGCGCAGTGATGATGCGCAGACGTTTCCAAGGGTAATAGAACTTGCAATTGTGACGTCAGCGGGCAATAGTTCAAATGTATATTCCCGCTGACGTCACATTTGAGGGAATATAACTTTCCGAGGGAAATAGTAAATCTATTTCGGAACACGTGACTAGGTATTGACCAATCAGGATTAGTGTTACATATTGGGTATATAATAAATCAAAATATGAAATTTTATCTGTAATAAATCTATGTAGAAAAAACCTTTATTGGATTTTAGAACTTTTGAGTAAGATAAAAACTGCACAGAAAATAATTGAACAAAGTATGAAGGGACTTGAATACAAATATGAAGATCAATATGACATTGAACAATGTCAGTGTTTTGCACTCACTACTTGAAAAGTAACCAGATTTTGAATAGCAATAAAATGGTTACCACTACAACACGCCTTACCATCGCGTAAGCAGGCGTCACCGTACAGCGTCAAAAAATAGCAGTAATGTAATGTACAGTAACGCAAATTAACTGCTTTGAAGCAAAAACTATGACAAGGGTTTAAAAAAATTAATTTGATGAAAACTAATACGATTTCATGTGAAATAAAAACAGCATTCTCTTAGAAATGGTTTTAACTTTCTGATTATGATAAACGTTTTACGAGCACTGTTCGAATTTTTTCTGAGTGAATCGGCCCACATAATCGACCAGAGTGAAAAAAGGTTGTTTTTTCACATTTTGTTTGGTTATTATTTTCCCTACCGTCTGAGAGTATGGATTATTTTTATGAGAATATGTATTTGTTACTTACACATTTTAGAACGGGCGAAGATTCAGCAAACAACCATTCATTATGTATATTTAAAAAAGATCAAATTTGTACGGTGACGCACCAGCTGTACGGTGACGCTATGCTTTGATGAACTAAATGAGACTAAGATTGTATGAAATGGAAACTCTGGAGTATGATTATTTGTTCATATATAGTGCATGGGCGCTACAGTTCAACGATATCTTCCACAGCTTAATTGAAGGTTACTGGAAATGTATGATACGGTAAAGATCATGAAACCAAAAACTCTCTTGTTGCTATGTTATCGATGTTTTAAAACAAGTGATGCCACAAGTAAATCTCATCTTGCACGTGTGACTTTTTAGGATGAAAGATGCAATATCTTGCATGGGGTAAAGATGGCTGTGTAGGCTATCTTTGTTAGTCATTTGAGAAAAGCCTGGTTTAGTTCAAATGATACCAAAGCATTACGTCAACTTTCAAATAGTTAATTCCATGAAAACTAAAAATATCAAAATTAATACTTCCTGTCCGCCATCTTAAATGCGAAGGTGACGGCTGTAACCTTCGCTTGATACTTACCAGTGATAATGTACATGTAGATCTGACGCTTCTTTACCTCTTGTTCGAACAGTAAGCTTAGAGCACTTCAAAAAATCTAAGGAAGCGTCACCGTACAGCTGATGCGTCACCGTACAGTTCTGATCTTTTTTAGATAAATACACTGAATGATTATTTGCCGAATATTCATCTGTTCTAAAATGTGTAGATAACAAATACATATTCTCATAAAAATAATCCATACTCTCAGACGACAGGAAAAATAATAACCAAACGAAAAGTGAAAAAACACCATTTTTCTCTCGAGTCGATTATGTGGGCCGATCCAGTCAGAAAAAATCCGAGCAGTGCTCGAAAAACTTTTATCATAATTAGAAAGTTAAAACCATTCCTAAGAGAATGCTGTTTTTATTACACCCGAAATCGTATTTATTTTCATCTAATTAATCTTTTTAAAACCCTCATTATAGTTTTTGCTTCAACTCAATTAATTTTCGTCACCGTACAGAAAACTGTACTACTGTATTTTTTGACGCTGTACGGTGACGCCTGCTTACGCGATGGTTAGGCGTGTACAATTCATTTTAAAAAAGTAAGTTTATTCCAGATTCCATTCATGATATAAGAACTACACTTACTATGATTGTTGTATCAAGGACATTTAATTTGCATCAAAGTCAATCAGCAGGATTTAAAGTCTCAATGTTCAAATAACTACCTGATCATGAGGATGAAACACTTAAGCTTAAATAAATAATTTATGTTTGTATATGTGTGAGTAATGGTTATCATGTAATTTCTTTTCTGAGAAATTAAA